CTGATATGCTTGACAATTCTACGTTGTTCGAAGTGAAAATATCCTTGAACCAGATATCAGTGTCCCCCTTAGCACACCAGTCCACGATGCCATGTCTCCCCTTGTGCTTTCCCCCTGAACTTCTATATAATCCCCGATTTGGATTGAGTCAGACTCGTAGGGCTCAAAATATTGCTGTGTTGGCAACCGTGAGGTAAGTGTGTGAGTCAATGGACGCCCATCTAAGTAGTACTTTGACACTTCAATCTATGCACAACTCAGTATTAGATAGTTCAAAATTAAAAATAGAGATTTACCTCTTCATTGGTACCGTATTGACAAACATGACATAATCTTCACGCATCTGGATGATGTGCCCTTCCAGGCCAAAATACGAGCCGGCCACAATTCTTACAGTATCACCGACTTGAAAGATGTGTTCTATGTCCTGCAGAGGAACTTCTACCTCCGTTTATGCCCATCGAAGGCGGATTCCAAGCATACTGAACCGACAGTATGGTCAGTAGAAACAACCTTCCCAAGCTCTCCACGAAGAGAGCCTGTGACAACCCTGACTGAATCGCCCACGCGCAGGAACTGCATCGAAAATGCTATCACAGTTTCTTTCATGAAGATTCTGTCCCATCCGGACTCCAGGTGCAATGAATGTCATTGATATGAGGGATGTGACAAGTTCTAGTCGGTCACGGTAAAAGTTTTTCAGAAGGAGCCCCAGTAGTAGCTTTCACCTTTAAACTTCCACCCTACCACTTGATCGTCATGAATGACATCAGACACAGTCTTGTTCTTTGGGAGGCGAGATTGCTCAACCAACGCCCGAGTTCTGCCAGGCATGGCATAGGGCATGTCTCGCGAAACAATTAAGATCGCGACGATACCATTTGGTAACTGTTCGAAGACCAGCGCTGTATCGCCCCTGTACGGGCCGTTCTTAACCCTCACCCACGCTGGGTTAGGAAATTCGGACTGTGAACGCTCTACAGCTCCACGTTCTTCCTCCGTGACGAGAGTGTACTGTTTTACAGCCAGGTAAAGTGAGAGGGGCAAGGACTTTGCGACTGTTTTTTGGACTGTCCGCCACCACGTACAGCTGGCCAGCTGCCCAAGCTGATACGGTCACGGGAATCCTTTCTTTCGAAGGTGTGAGGTGACATATTCAGTGGTAGTTCCTACGATAAATTAGCAATATACTGCGTGATCGAGAAGTAAACCTACTTTGAACGTGAACCAGATACATCCTGGCTTCGGGAACTCCGTGAGTGGCATTCTCGCAGCCTTGTGACGAGCAGCGCTGATTCTGCTCAAACCGAGTGGCCATATCGTCGAAGGTTGCAGCTAACTTCTGTGTTGCCAACGGTCTTGCCAAGCGCGTAACCATCGCAGACCCCACAGATGTGCCATCCCCATAGCCCTCCCCCCTCCTCCCCCCCTCCTCCTCCTCATCATCATCCCCAACCTTGGCCATATCGAGGATAAAGGAATTCTTAGTCTGAATTTGTTTAATTCACAGAAATATCACCATGACATTCACTTACTTTGGGTTGCTTATACGATTTTCAAATGCGTGAGTGTCCATCCACTCTCCATCTCCTCCTCCCCAATCTTGGAGGTAGAATTTGTAGCCTACAATTGCTGTTTAGTTCACAAATATTACCAGCCGTGACTGACTTACTTTTGGTCGCATAAGCAACTTTCGAACAGGCGAGCTTGACAAGGAACCGTTGGTCCTTGATGCAGAGGTACCCACGGAACAATCTTCTGGTGAATCAGGCACGTACTTTACCTTGAGAGAGTTTGAGGTTCCTCAAAGATTCAGCGTCGTTTCCATCGCCGGAGAATAAGAGACGTCGAGGTTCCACCCAGTCATCTTCATGGTATCTATCGCCAAGATAAGATACAAGCATGTCATCCATCTCAGACATTGACATAGATGAAGTAAGGAATTGTGTCAGAATGTCCCATGCAGCAGGCATCATACAGTGCTGGTGGTAATGCATCATCCCCTATATCGTGCTCGTCAATAACGATCTTGATGGTATGATACAACTTACCTTCAGCAGTCCTGTGTCACTTTGCAGATGGTTCGTCACCTCTGGATCCAACGTGAAGTCCGGCACGCTTGGACATGGTTCTGTATAGTCTGTTATCAACCTCAGCATTACAACCAACTTAATTTTTCACATACATTCAATGTCTATTCGATAGTCTAGACTCTATGTTCTCTACGTTATATACTAGTAATGGTGTCGAGGTATGGTAGTAGGAGGAGAAAGAAGACCTGCTAATGCGCTGTGTAAGAGAAATAGTGACTAGGCTGGTTAGAACTAGCGCTACTGATCCAAATAGGCGCGAGTGTAATATTCGACCCAAGAGGACGCCTATTGAAGCAACTCCCTTCAAATATGCAAGGGTAGCGATGATGCGAAGGGCTAATAACCTATAGCGACCTAAGACCAAAAACTAATGAGTAGCGCTGTAGCGATCAGCGACTAGCGACAAGTGAGTTCCGACAGAGAAACGTGCATATAAGTAAGTAGCGCTATGCAAGTTGTCCTATGTGATAGCGCTATGCGATGTCCGACTAGCGACAGCGAGAAGAAATTAAAAGAAGGGAAAGCGAGGGATAAGGTATGATAGTGCAAGTGGAATGCCTGATAGCGACTAGATTATAGCTCGACTACCACAGCGATCCTGACATTGTGAAGATCAAACTTATGAAGGAACTTTAGCAACGTTCACTTGAAGCAAGTCAAGCGACACACAATCAGAGAGATTGGCAAGAGCGGAATCGATTGCACCAAAACTAGGATATGCGACTAAAGTGACTCCGACACCAGCAAAGGTCCGGGGAAGGGAAGTACTGTACTGTATGTGCGACGGGTCATTTTTTCATACTGCATAAAAGTTCGGGAATGCGTAGGCAAGAATAGTAGCGACACTGATGGAGGCACAATGTAGCGACAGGTAATAAGACATGCAGCGCAGCGGAACACGAGGATGCATGTAATAAGACCTGCAACTGATGAGTAGCGACGTTTAATGAAAAATAATGCACCAGCGGAGGTAGGTGGACATAGGCAGGAACATGGGAGGACGGAAATACCTAGGTGTCAGGCCGGGCAGCGCGCTATGGGAGAAAGCAGTTCCAAAGTGGATAGCTTGGGAGCTGAATAGCGCTGGTGACTAGCGCTTTACTCCTTTCCTCAAGGTAAGGCAAATGTGCCTATGACACTCATACGCGCCTAGCGCTGGTATGATTGTCACAGCGCGAAGTCAGTATTTATAGTGAATCACTATTTTGGATTAGATACTATTGTGGCGAGCTGTGGTTTTCAGTTGCACAATGGACTGACAAGCGCAACAGCATTGAGTCCCTGAGAATTGTGGACCGAGACCTCTATCATATACTATATTTGTCGAATTAAAGTCATGCCCACACAATATAGTGTGGCCTGGCTTACTACAATCGCTTTGGGTGGTGACAGTAAAGGCCCTGCTGCAGGACTAGAAACGTGCAGCCAGCCAGAGCTAAACACATACTATCACGATCACATGTACTACTCTACATGTTCACATTTAAATATAGGACTCATGCCCAGACTTGGGAGAGAAAAAAAGGTGATTATGCGAAGGACACCTTGATATACTGAATGAGTATAATGTAGTTGTTCACTATATTAGCACGCTCTTTTCACACAACGATCCTCTTCCCAACTTTCATCATACTTCACTCTAGTATTAGTATGATAGCTAGCTATATAAATTGGTGTTGTTGGACTTGCACAGATTTTTTTTTGAAAATCAAGCATTTGGTTAACTTATGGGCCGTCGAATTTACACTTAACTAGAACCTGGAGAAATGACTTCGAACTTACCCAACTCTCAACACTTCACCAACTAGAAACTAATACCTATACAATAGTCACTTAACAAAAAAACTCCCTGCTACGATTATCATGTGGTGTATATTAGCAGTATGCTTTGTACTGCATATACTTATTAATTACTAATAAGCGCTCCCCCAGTTGAAGGTATCATTCAAAGATGCGCTCATTGAGCTGTCCCGCGGGGGATAATACCTCATAATTGTAAGCATATCATTTATGTATCTACATGCAACGATGACTACGCATGTCAGGTAAACAGGATGACGAGGTTTGCTTTACTTTACGGCACCTATGGCGCTGGGAAGGCCCAGTTTTGTCGTTACAATATCTATGGCGCTGGGAAGGCCCAGTTTTATCCTTACAATATCTATGGCGCTCGGAAGGTGCAGTTTTATCCTTACAATATTTATGGTGCTCGGACGGCGAGGATTTTTCATCTCCGTGTGCACATATAAAGCCCCACATCTACTAATGGTACATCGCTTATTCAACTTAGTATGAGTAGTGACGAGAACCATCCCTCTCCCAGCAATCCTTCGCGCAAGCGTAGTGGTTCAGCCCTTCGTTTGGGACCGCATAAAAAGGCGTAAGTGCCCTTTCAGGTGAGCTACAGCCTTCCTGACTTGTCCTCGTCAGGACTTCATCTAATCCGCTTGTTCTTCATGGCCGCCATTTTGGCCGGACAGTATTTGCACTCTGCAATTATCCTGCACTTCTGACTACAGGAATACTCCAACTCGAAGAGTTGATGGACTCTCCCATTGAGGATTATCCAGCAGAGTGAGTACCATCGTGACAATGACATACCGCCAGCGCTTAAAGGACTATGGTAGCGTACGACAGGAACACAAGGTGTTTATTGAGCTAGTAGATTCGTATCCTGGACTTCTAGACCGTCTGACAAATGGCGAGGAGGAAGACATTATCCATGCGGGAGAATTGGTCAGTTTTCCATACCGGAAGGTTGTCATACTCAGCGCTTTGCAGCTAGGTAAAGGTGCTTCTGTTGCGCGAGGAGATGACACAAAGACCCCTCAAATCTGCCATCCTCGAATGGCTTGTGCCCAAAGGACAGGCTGTCATCCCACCCCTCTCCCGAAACATCAAGTCTGATCGTGGATTCAATCATGAGGTTACCAGTGCATTGCTCTGTCCCACTGGGCTTGACTGGTCGAATGCAGAGTAAGTCTTGTCATCTAATCACCCAACCCTTGTAACACTATCCAGAACCAAGCAGAGCCTCAAAAGCGGTGAAACCGCAGTTCGTGGAGACCAGTGGCCCATGTTCTTGTATGCTGGGTGTGATTACGATCCTGAGGATCCATGGAAGGGCTTGCTGAAAAGCAAGATACTCGTATTTGTAAGTGCAAGTGTTGGCAATAAAGATCTGACTCAACATATTATCTCTCAGTAGGGGTTCAAACATGTTTTTATGTCTCCGAGCTCCATGGATAGGGAGCCCAAAGCTACATGTTCCGGCAATGCCTACCTTCACGGCATGAAGTCCGTAACGAAAGGATCTTTAGCCTATATTGCCACACAGGCATGCAGAAAATTTCATATTGTATACCTGCCCCCGCTGATATTTCTTTCTCTAGGTTCGATTTTCGTTAAGTTTGTCGTCTGTATTCTCGCGCACAGACATGGTTACCGATTCCGAAAATTTCTATCACAGTATTCTCGACCTGCTGGAGGATCCCGATGAAAGTGAGGAAGTAGCTGAGTTGATGACGTGGTGGACATGGTTCGTAATATGTATCTTCAACCTCACAACAAATCTCTCAATTGACAACTTACACAGTCGAATTTTTCCCAACTCATCCTCTTCACAGCGCAGTATCAGCAAGAACAGCACATTGTCAAAAATTCGCGCAAAACGAGCTGCATTGCGAGAACGAGCAACTACAAGTACTGACACTACGTAATTCATTATTGTATCATAGCCATATATGTCTATAAGGGTATGCGAATCATAATGCAATCGATAAATGTTCCATCTATGTGATACAACATCTTCAGTTAACATCAGTGATAGAGCCTGTCATAGGAAGCCGCCTAGATGTGATCACTCGAAAGTCATCATCTTGATGGGGCGCGATATTTCAATACCATATCCTGCCATATTGTCAGCCATTATAGATCTTGCCTTTGGAAGCTATCCAGATGTCTTTGGCCGAAGATCAGCAACTTGATATGGCCTGGCAATTCAACAACACACTGGCAGTGAAGATAGATCCCACCATTGGAAGCTACTTGGACTTGATTGGTCGTAAGTTGTCATTTTGATATGTCATGAAGGTTCAATGGCATACCCTGCCATATTGTCAATGATTCTTGATCCTGCCATTGGAAGCTGGCTATCTAAAGCCAGATGTATTCAGTCGAACACCAGCATCTTGACGTGGTATGGTGATTCAGTAGCATACCCTACCATACTGTCAGCAATTATAGGTTCCACCATTGAAAGCTGCCCAGATGTGTTTGGTCACAATCAGCATCTTGATATACCATGGTGATTTAATAGCATACCCTGCCATACTGTCAATGATTCTAGATCCTACCAGTGGAAGCTGGCTATCTAAAGCCAGACATATTCAGTTGAACATCAGCATCTTGATATGTTATGATGATTCAATAGCATACCCTGTCCTACTGTCAGTAATTACAGGTCTTGCCATTGAAAGCTGCCCAGACATCTTTGATCATGCATCAACATCTTGGTATGCCATTACCACTCAATATAATACCCTGGCACACTGTCAGTAATTATATATTTCACCATCAAAAGCTGGCTATCTAAAGCCAGACATATTCAGTTGAACATCAGCATCTTGCTAATAGTTGCTATGACAATATCACACCTTGGAGCAAAGTCAGTGATTATGGAGTCTGCCATTGGAAGCTACCTATGTAAGAGTAGATACATTTTATAATAAAATGACAGTGTGCTGGCAGATCACAACCTGGTGCCATAGGCCTATCAATATTTCAGCATTGGGAGATCCCATGTCATATACCATATATCCGGTACAGATACCGATATCCGGATCTACAGATCCGATGATCTGGATCTCAGATCCGATCCAGATCCGATGAACATATCCATCGTCCGGTCCACAGATCCGCTTTGATTCTTATTTCATTTCCTGTTCATATAACTCTAACTATCGTTCATCTCCTTTCGGTATTCCTGTACACCGGTATACCGGTTATCCTTTACTTCCGCTATGCTTACTGATCCGCTATGCTTACTGATCCGCTACACTTACGAATCCGCTTTTACTTGTACTTCATTCCCGGTTCATGATTCGTGATCCATCCAACTTACCAATACGCTCCACTTAGACTTTGCTTATACTTTCGTACATAGCCTCGCACCTTTGCTTATTGATCATTCCGTTAGCTATCCGTAGTATATAAACCTTTGTATATGCGCTGTAGTAGATCAGTTCGAATATCATCTTAGATTGCACTCATTCCGTCTGGACTCTGAGTCCCTCCGTTATCCATCCGGACTTGAGTACGCTACTCTTGTCTACTCCGAGACTTAGGATAGATTCCTATAGTCTACATATCCGCCTCTGTCTTCGGACAGTCCTCACCCGTTAGTTTCTAGTCCGGATCCGATCCGGATTGGCCGTTACTCTATATACGCGATACTTTAGCTCTCTGAAATAAGGGGCAAGACTCGGGAAAGGGGCACAGCGCACGAGCTGAGGCCGAAGCCCTTCGGATCCGATACTACTTGAGTACGGTCTTAACAGTATATTCGAACTCATACCTTTCCGAGTTACTTAACATCTATCATGCCTCCTACCAAGACACAAACAACTCTGCACGCGGTCGGACTAACCTCCCTCCGTCGTGATCCGACACCTATAGTCAACACCTTCACCAGTTTCTCTCAGCGCCGTGTTAGCGCCCACGGAACCGCTCAAACCATATCCGAACTCCTTAATCGTCGACACCCGGAAACCCCAACACGCACTCCTGCCGTAGGACCTCCGGACGATGATGATCCCGATGATGGTGATGATGATTTCCCTGGTAATCCACCCGATGATAACGGTGGTGATCCGGATGATGATCCGGATGTTGAGGATGATGAAAATGACGGTCTAAACCCACAAGACCGCGTTATGCTTCGACTCTCAGAAGCCATCGATAACCTTGCTCGCAATAATCGTCGCGCGCCCGCATCCGAAGATTCTAGAGTCAAGGTCCGAGAACCGGATACCTTCGACGGATCCGAACCACGGAAGCTCCGTGCGTTCTTTGTCCAGTGTGAGCTTAACTTCCAGAGCAAGCCTAAGGCTTTCCGTACCGGAAGGGCTAAAGTCAACTTCGCCCAATCCTACCTTAAGGGTATGGCCCTTGAATGGTTTGAACCGGATCTCCTGTCCGATGATTCGGACGACCATCCGGATTGGATGGATGACTATTCCGTGTTCATGCTTGAACTCCAAGCCAACTTCGGGCCTCATGACCCATCCGGTGATGCAGAAATGCAGCTCGAACAGCTCCACATGCGCGATGGACAGCGCATCAACAAGTACGTTGTGGAATTCCAGCGTCTTGCTTCACAGGTTCGTGGCTGGGGCGACGGAGCCTTACGACGCCAATTCTACAACGGACTCCCGGCCCGTATCAAGGATGAAATCAGTCGCATGGGTAAACCCTCTACTCTTTCCGAATACAAAGTCCTCGCTCAGACTATCGACGCCCGATACTGGGAACGGAAGGGAGAGATCTCTCGAGAAGCTAAACCCACTTCATCCACTACCCCTAAGCAATCTGCTTCTGACCGGACGAACTCCAATACGTCCGGATCCGGAAATCACAAATCCGGAAACTCCAATGATCAGAAGTCTACAAAGCCATCCGCGTCCTCGAACTCGTCCGCTCCTAAGGTTCCGGATCTTACTTCCAAGCTGGGTAAGGACGGAAAGTTAACGTCCGAAGAGCGGCAGAGAAGGATGGACAAGAAACTCTGCTTATTCTGTGGTGGACCCGGTCATACTGCTCGGGAATGCACCAAGTCTACTTCGCGTGCTGCCAAAGGCCGCGCTGCAGTAGTCGCTCCGGAAGTCAAACCGGATGTCTCTACTGAGACAAAAAAATAGTCCGCGACTCTCCTAGCTCCGTGCAGGAAGAGGGTCGCGTTGACTCTGCCTGCACAAAGGAGTTAAGACTCAACGCTGTCGCGCTCTCGGATCCGACTTCCCTCTGTCCATATGTTTCACTTCCGTTACTTCCATCCGTATCCGAATTTCCAGCTCTTGTAGATTGTGGTTCTTCTCATTGTTTCATAGATACTGCGTTCATCCGAAAACACTAAAATCCCTACATATCCGATACCTACGATTCCGCTCCGCTTGTTTGATGGTACTTGTAATAATACTATTTCCGAAGCTATAGATTTGTCCGTCCGCTTTCCGTCCGGTGTAGTCACCTCTGATACGTTCTACGTTACCCCTTTGGATTCATCTTGTTTTATCGTTCTTGGATATAGCTGGCTCACCCGACACAATCCGTTGATTGACTGGGTTTTGGGCAGCATCGAATTCCGGACGACATCTCATGGAATGCCATCGACCCCTCCGACGTCACTTCCGTCCTCGGATATCCCTCCTCCGACGGAAACCATACCTCCTCCGACTACATCCGTACCCTCCGCTGATAACACTGTTCCTAATATATCCCTAATCAATGCAGTTGCCTTTTGCCGGGCCTGCAAGTTAGAAGGATCGGTCCAGTTCAGTATATACCTTCGACCATCCGGTGTCGATCTCCGATCCGCTTCTCTATCGTCCGATCCTCCGGATCTATCCCAAATTCCTTCGGACTATCACGAGTTTGCGGATGTCTTCGACAAGGGAAAGGCTGGTCAGCTTCCTCCACATCGTCCTTATGATCTGAACATAGATCTGGAAGAAGGAACTAGTCCTCCCCTCGGAACTATCTATTCTCTATCCCCGGTCGAGCTTGCAGCCCTCCGGAAGTTTCTTGATGAAAATATTGCCTCTGGACTCCTCCGCTCCTCATCCTCTCCTCACGGAGCTCCGGTCCTATTTGTCAAGAAAAAGGACGGATCCCTCCGCCTTTGTGTGGATTTCCGTGGACTCAACCAGATCACTAAGAAAGACCGATATCCATTACCCCTCATTGCCGACCTATTAGACTCTCCGAGCCGTGCTAAAGTTTATACCAAAATCGACCTCCGATCCGCTTATCATCTTGTCCGGATAGCGGAAGGGGACGAATGGAAGACTGCCTTCCGAACGCGCTATGGCTCCTATGAATGGTTGGTGATGCCGGAAGGTCTCACTAACGCTCCAGCAGCATTCCAGCGCTTTGTCAATAGCGTGTTTGCTGATATGCTGGATGTATGCGTTATCGTATATCTGGACGACATCCTCATCTATTCCCATGACCTTGCGTCCCACAAGCAACACGTCCGAGAAGTACTCCGTCGACTCCGTAAACATCGTCTCTATGCCAAACCCGAAAAATGCGAATTCCATTCCACCTCCGTTGAATATCTCGGATATCTCCTATCTCCGGACGGCTTAACTATGTCGTCCGATAAGATCCAAGCTATTACTGACTGGCCGGAACCTCGGAAAGTCAAGGATATCCAATCCTTCCTCGGATTCGCAAATTTCTATAGACGGTTTATATTCAACTACTCGGATATCGTGGTTCCGTTAACACGGCTTACACGCAAGGATGCTCCGTGGAACTTTTCCGATGAATGTCGGAAATCCTTCGAAGAACTCAAGAAAGCCTTCACTACGGCTCCGGTGCTTACGCACTGGATGCCGGATGTTCCTATAGTTGTGGAAACCGATGCCTCTGACTACGCTATAGCTGGAATACTATCCATAGTATGTCCGGACTCAGAGCTTCGTCCGGTAGCGTTCTACTCTCGAACGCTAACCGCTCCGGAACTTAACTATGACACCCACGATAAGGAACTTCTAGCTATATACGAAGCTTTCCGGACCTGGCGACATTATCTAGAAGGCTCGGCCGAGCCTGTAGATGTTGTCACGGACCACAAGAACCTTGAGTACTTCGCCACTACCAAACTCCTCTCTCGCCGTCAGGCCCGCTGGTCGGAATTCCTCCATCAGTTCAATCTTGTCATCCGCTTCCGTCCCGGAAAACTCGGAGTTAAACCGGATTCCCTTACTAGACGCTGGGACGTCTATCCCAAAGAGGGGGATAAGGACTACGCTCGAGTTAACCCTCATAACTTCCGTCCGGTATTCACGTCCGAACAGTTAGCTTCGTCCCTACGAGCCTCAACCTTAGCAACTCCGGTTCTTAGAGCAGCTGTTCTAATGGATATTGATGACCTTCGGAAAGACATCCTGACCGCACTTCCTAATGACCCTATTGCAACCAACCATCTTCCGGTACCTTCAGATCCGAGATGGACAGTGGACGATAGGGGTTTCCTCCGTTGCGACAACCGTATATATGTCCCAGAATCCGATAACCTTCGACTTCGCGTCCTCCGTAATACTCATGATCACCCCTTATCCGGACATTTTGGTCAAAACCGAACCCTAGACCTCATCCGACGCGAGTATACATGGCCGGGTATACGCACCTATGTTAAGGACTACGTCCGGTCCTGCACTACCTGCGCCCGAGCCAAGGTTCCGAGACATAAACCCTACGGATTGCTCAAGCAACTACCCATACCGGAAAAGCCTTGGAATTCCATATCCATGGATTTCATAGAGCAACTTCCGGACTCATCAGGCTTTACAGCCATCCTCGTTATCATAGATCGTTTATCCAAACAAGCAATATTTGTTCCGACTCACGATACCATTACCTCTCCGGATCTCGCTCGTCTATTCCTACTTCATGTGTTTTCCAAGCACGGAGTTCCGTCCCATGTCACCTCGGATCGCGGTACAGAGTTTGTATCCCACTTCTTCCGATCCTTAGGAAAAGCATTGGATATGGTCCTCCACTTCACATCCGGATATCATCCGGAAGGGGATGGACAAACCGAGCGTGCCAACCAAACCCTGGAACAATACCTTCGGATATATTGCAATTATCAACAGGACAACTGGTCGGAACTACTTCCCTTAGCAGAATTTGCCTACAATAACGCTCCAAGTGCTACTACCGGAGTATCGCCTTTCTTTGCTAATAAGGGTTATCATCCGAACATATCCGTCCATCCGGAACGCGATCTATCCTCCATCCGCGCTCGCGACTATGCTATAGACCTCGACGACCTTCACCAATTCCTTAGAGAAGAAATGGCTCACGCCCAAGAAAGATATCAAGGACCTGCGGACGCTAAACGGAAACCTGCTCCGGATATCAATATCGGAGACCAAGTCTTTGTCAAGGCTAAGTACTTCCGGTCCACTCGTCCGTCTAAGAAACTCTCGGAAAAGAATCTAGGTCCGTTTGAAGTCATATCCCGTCCGGGTACCCATTCCTTTACCATCCGACTTCCCGAATCCATGAAATCCGTCCACCCCGTCTTCCATGTCTCACAGCTAGAACCATCCGTTCCGAACACAATTCCCAATCGGATCCAGCCTCCTCCACCTCCGGTCGAAGTCGACGGAGAACCAGAATATGAGATATCCGAAATCCTAGACTCTAAGCTGGACCGTCGTAGAAGACAATGCCAACTCTTATACCTCGTCCGATGGTCCGGATACGAAGGAACAGACGAAGAGACTTCATGGCTACTAGCCACGGAACTCGGAAACGCGTCCGATCTAGTCTCGGATTTCCACACTGCATATCCAGACAAACCCGGTCCTATTGCTATACAATGAATATACAAAGCGGATATACAAGTACATTAGTAGCAGAGAAGGCAGATCCGAAAATCCTCAGCCATCCATCTCCATGTCCCCACCCGATCCGGATCCGGATTCATCAACGTCCTTGTCAGTGGCCTCAGAACGAGCCGCCTCTGTAATCCGGATTCCATTCCGGATCCCCTCAAGAAGGATGGTCTGGAACTCCCTCTGCTGCTCCAAAAACGCCTCCAAGTTAGTATTCATCCGCTCTATAGCAGTCCTACTCCCTTCCGCCGCTCCGATGCTCTGCTGGAGCAATCCGTTGGTCCGAGCCAGTTCCGCTACAATGCTATTAGCGGCCGCGACCCAGGCCTGATCATCATACTCCACTTCCACCTCATCCGCTACTACCGTCTTCATATCCGGATCCGGAGTCGGACTCTGCTGGCGCTTCTTACCCTTGCCTCTCGGAGATGGGTTCTCAGCAGCGCGCTGCCTCTTCTTAGACTTGGAATCCGTAACGGTTCCAGGTCGTCCGGGACAAGGAGCCTTGTCCTTCCGGCACGCGTTACAAGCCTTGATCTATCCGAATGTTAAGAGTCACGGATCCGAAGATTCAAGGATGACTTACCAAGGAATTGCTATCCGCATCGGACCACAGACAGGCCCGACCCTTCTTAGCGCAGCGGGTACAAGCCCCATCCTTATCCGCTGAGATGGCGCGAGACTACGGATCCGATAAGGGACGGATCCGATAGAACAAGTCATAACTCACCATTTCCGCTACTATAGCCCTGCGCCTAGCCTCCTCCGCTTCCCTTCGGGCCTCAGCCCGTTCAATCTTCTTAATCCCTGCCAAGCGCTTCCGTTCCGCCTCTTCCGCTTGTTGCTTCAGCTTTTCAGCCTCTTCCTCCTTCCGAACCTCGGCCTCAGCAGCAGCCAGCGCGGCCTGGATATCCGCCAGAGTCTGCTTAGCGGTCTTCTTAGAGCCGGATCCGTTATCAGTCATGGTTGAGATAAGCTAGTGGTAGTGAAAAAGTAGGGAAAGGAAGGAACACCCTGCGACGCTTTGGCATCCGTATATCTGTCAGAATCCGAACTCAGCAACTTCTCCCATCAGCTTCTCCATTGTCTCGCACTCATACCATCCGTTCCGGATCGCTGATTCTTGTGCCTCTAGGGATCGGCCCTAAGGGGGGGATACTGTCATATACCATATATCCGGTTACAGATCCGATGATCTGGATCTCAGATCCGATCCAGATCCGATGAACATATCCATCGTCCGGTCCACAGATCCACTTTGATTCTTATTTCATTTCCTGTTCATATAACTCTAACTATCGTTCATCTCCTTTCGGTATTCCTGTACACCGGTATACCGGTTATCCTTTACTTCCACTTTGCTTACTGATCCGCTATGCTTACTGATCCGCTATGCTTACTGATCCGCTACACTTACGAATCCGCTTTTACTTGTACTTCATTCCTGGTTCATGATTCGTGATCCATCCAACTTACCAATACGCTCCACTTAGACTTTGCTTATACTTTCGTACATAGCCTCGCACCTTTGCTTATTGATCATTCCGTTAGCTATCCGTAGTATATAAACCTTTGTATATGCGCTGTAGTAGATCAGTTCGAATATCATCTTAGATTGCACTCATTCCGTCTGGACTCTGAGTCCCTCCGTTATCCATCCGGACTTGAGTACGCTACTCTTGTCTACTCCGAGACTTAGGATAGATTCCTATAGTCTACATATCCGCCTCTGTCTTCGGACAGTCCTCACCTGTTAGTTTCTAGTCCGGATCCGATCCGGATTGGCCGTTACTCTATATACGCGATACTTTAGCTCTCTGAAATAAGGGGCAAGACTCGGGAAAGGGGCACAGCGCACGAGCTGAGGCCGAAGCCCTTCGGATCCGATACTACTTGAGTACGGTCTTAACACTTACTCATGCTAGTGCACAGGCTTGTATTGACCTCACAAGCTTCGTCGCACATATGCGATGCTGGATGTCAATGCCAGTACATTGTTCAACTCTGATGAGCTCAACTCTGATACACAGGTTGACGGTAAGAATGGTCAAGACTCGGATGCTGACGAGGAGAGTGAAGGCGAGGAACAAGAGACTACTGCCATGAGGCTTGCCGATGAGGTCAGCGATAGGTTACTTAAGCTGCGCCAGTTGCCATCACTCACAATGATATTGAAGGTCCCTTCATTTGTCACCAACTCGGGTGACAAAAAGATGAAGCCGCACAATGTTCAATCACGCAGCAAGAGCAAATCTCAGTCTGGTCAATCTGCTCGAGATCGCAAACAAGCAGCCGAAGTGAGTCCGAAATAAACAGTTCTCACGTGACGATCATCCAGTGAACATTACTTCTAAGATTCCGACCTGGCGCAACAATGATGGTTCTGAGCCTACTGATGAAACTACTACTCAGTGTGGGGGATCCGAAGAGCCCTACTCTAGTGACATTGGAGGCACTACAGTCACCTCCGCCACACCTGCGCCCAAGAGTGCTGCTTGTCTCATTCAATATGAGACTGGGAAGGTGAAACTACTTGATCAAAATCAAGAGACTCGCCGAGTAGTCCGGGATGCAATTATGGATGCCAAGGGCCACCTCCTTTTCGTCAATGCTTATCCTGAACTCGTCGACAAAAATCAAGTCGCGCTCCAGTCCTTGCTTACAGTGGCCAAGAAAAGTGGTGCGCATGCCATCAAACAACGTCTTCAAGAAGACACACAGTATGCGACTCAGCTTGGTAACCTGGTATGTCTTGTAATGCTCATCGCAGTTTTCCTTTTTTCTAACTATGTTCAATTACTCAAGGTGGAGCCTCGCATCCCGTTATTACGCCGTGACCTGAAAGAGGTTGCATGCGCCAACATCGATGGCTACTTCCGTCTCGGCCAGAGCGCAGTGAAGGCGAAAAAACTCATGGAGCAACACGCGTATTCATATTCTTTGAAGTTTGATGTAAGTTGTACTATTCTTTGCCACTCGCTAAGTTCTTCGCACTCAGAAGCGGGTTCTTTATCGTATTCCTACATATCTAACTAACTTTTATTTCTTCAACAGTCCAATGACAATCCCTCGCCTAGGGGAAACAAACCCTACCAGGGTGAACTTGTTATCTTTCTGTTGCATACTGGAATCTTCAATGGCCCGAAGTCCATCGGCGTCAAATTCGCAGAGCGCTTCATCGAAATTGCCGGCAACAAAGCCAAACACCCCGAAATGCCTGTGCCATTGCTGGCGCTGGTTGCGACAGCAGTAACGTCCTTCTATTTATCTCTTTGCGCAGTGCTAACTCGTTTTCAAGATCTATGCAGCCCTGTTTTGGAAGACGCTTGGTTCCCCGGGGAAGTTCAACTTCACGGGGAATCAATTCAGTGAAACTTATATGTTTCATGTGAAGTTCCTCGAGGATCTGAAGAAGGACGTGCCTAAGAAGTTTCACTGCATGATGGCAGACATCTATGAGTCCGTACAGTAAGTTTTGCTAGTGTGCATGGTGCTACTTTGACTTGGGTATTGACACTACTGGCAGGGCTTTGAAACGAAAGGGCGGCGATAATCAGGCTGATGAGCATCGAAAGGCGTTGGCGCTACTGGACCTTGATGGCATGGGTGAGGATTAGCTTCTAGTATGGTGCTGATCTGCGAATAGTGCAGATTTGTTTGATCACTCCTTTCATATACCCTGGTCTCCGTCAGCTTGCTCCCAGATTTGTTGATCACTCGTTTTCATATACCCTGGTCTCCGTCAGCTTGGTCCCGTGTTTCTAGTTACTTTGTATACATCTTTTAATCAAATGCTATTCTTTTTATTGTAACACCGTCTGAAATGCTTGATTTCCGCTTCGTGATTAAACATATTCTTTCTGAATTTCACTCTAATTGCTTGTGATATCAACTAATTATTGACAATTATACATTACTCTCGAGGGGGTAAAAAAGTACTTCTATGCGCCATAACCTTCCTAAGGCTGATAATGTCTGATAATAGTCAGAAATTATCGACATTTATTGTTATTTAACATAATTTGTCGAGGGAGGGTTTTCCTGATGCTCGGAACCGCAGGTAGCCGCTCCTACATCACAAAATTTGCAGACATTATATAGGATTTTCGTAAATCAGTTAGGCTTATCAGCTAGACTTTCACGCGGAAGTCACATCCGCCTGATCATAGGTACAGATCGGAATCCATAAATTCGCCCCTTATTCTTTGGGCTTTCCAGCCCACTCCGGATCCTTGGATGACTGGGGTTTCACGACTGGGGTAATGTCGAATGAGAGGCCATGCGCTATTGACTTCAAGACGATATTATCGGGAGTAGAGCTCGGGCACAGGAGGCAGAGTTATCCTGACGTCGCATGAGAAGAATTAACACCACAGCCGGGCTCGGAGGAAACAAGGGAACGAATCACCATTTAGTTCATCTCCTCAGGTCTCGCAGTATCCTTGGCTTATAATATCACAATTGAGTCGTACTGTATACATTAGATAAGAGCGGAAGCTTCTAATTTTAGCAGAGGCTGATGGTTCCGCATACACCTACATTGCCTCAAACTTCACTGGTAGGACCCGTCCCACTCATCGACATTGACGAAGGTCGTAAATATTTTATCTGACTGTCTAGCGTCGTTAGTGACATGGAGGGTGCGTGGACACGTTCGTTGCTTTCTCGAAGGCGGAAGAGAATTCGTGATGCCAGGACGCTGTGACTGACCACCTGTAGCCTAGTGTAGTGGGCTCAAGATCAACTAGCAATCAAAGTACAGCCGGTGACGTACGTGTCAAACATATTGCTATAGGCGCTCTGAAGAAACAGAAAGTTAGTGAGTCGTAGGATTTGACGGACCAGATACGTACTGGAAGTGCACCTTCACAGATAACATTGGCGAGTGTGACGGCTGCCTTGAACGCGTCACCCAATAATATCTCAAGAGCCAACTATTTCCACGCACCGAGGATGCACAACATATAAAATATGCCATCGTGGTATAGAGTTACTATAATTTCGCTCCGAAAGTCTTTATAATCGTGAAACCTCTTATATACAGTAAGGATCAGCATCACTGCCATGTTGTCGCGGGTAAGAAGACCATTAGATAGCTTTGGATAATCACTGACCGCTATCGAACATCGCCAAGAACATGTATACGATCGCAGCATTGCGCGTGCTCTCGAAATAACAGGTTCCTAGGGGGGGGCTCCTCTAACAGTCATATTAGAACGACTTTCGTTCGTGAACACTATTGAACTCACCTCCTGGGATCAACATTGTAGGGATGAGGTCTGTGGCAATGGCGCCGGAAACTGACAACTGTGCAATAATAAAAATCTATGCTATCATTAATCATTTCCGCTCTGCAAAATACGCACCACAATATAGACCAATAACACGATCAGCAATCGTTTACTCTTTTGCCAGAATGCCCAGGTCCGAATAACCAGCAAGCCTACCAAGAAAGTGAGATCCACGCTCTCAACATGCAGGTAGACCGCGCACCTTCCGCAGCAACGATACATATGATGTGAATGACTGAAATTCACATTGTTTAAGTTGCATGAATTTTGAAAAATGAATCGTTTGGCAGGTATTAATAGACTCACTATATCCTTCCACAGTAGAGGCACACTTTCCCCATGCAGTCAGCTTAGCGTATAAACTATTCGTCATCAAAGCTTACCTGATTGCTGTCACGTAGTGCGTCTAAGATATGCCCATCAGCAACACACAAGATAAGGAGAATCGGAGTGGGTCACTCGCCATATGCAGTCATACCGACACCCGCGAAAGGCAAATATCGGGAAATGGTGAACATGATACGAGGTACATCCCATGGTTTGAACCAGGTCCATCGCACCTGTGGGGTGATCAGAGCAACACTCGCGAATAGACAAATATTTCCCCGACCTCTTCGGAAAAAGTGATGCAATAATCAAATACCTGCAAGGATTTGAAGTAAAAATACAAGAAAATGCGTTTGATACTCACGAGGATTGCAAGACTGCCCACTAAAAACAATAGTCAATGCTGCCATTCAGTTTTCGGACGATCTGCGGACACTCACAATTGGCGTACTAAATCAGACATGAATGTTAACCTTGAGTTTATCACTGGCAGATGCAAGCCACCATTTACTCACCTTGACCGTCTGCAACTTCGTTATGTCCGAGACCGATAGTAGGGAAGACATATCAGGACAATATCGATACGCAGTAGTATGCGCCTTATATTACTAGTACCTGCCCGGGGCCGAGTTCCGAATGGAGCGTATCGATACACCTGCGAGCATTACTTAAGTACGAATTAAGAGTATTAATTTAGTAAATTGAAATTGCCCTAGTTATTTTCAAACTGACACTACACAGCCATTCATCGGAGATACTAGTACGAGAGGCGCCATGCACTAGCGAAACTGCTTGATATGTCGAGGATCGCAATGACTGAAAGCGCTGTCTGTCACTCCTACCGCCGCGGGCAAAGTCGAAAATGATATAGGGCCTGCTTCAATTTTGGTAATTACACAACCTAAGGAAAATTGAGACGGCAAAGAAGACTCTAAAATTTCAATTGAAGGAGACCAGGGCCTCGGCGACGGAGTACTGAAACGTTAGCATCAGATGAGCCTATCAGCGCATCTTTGCTCGCTTGATGTCATGATCAAATTGCAATGATATCACATCCTGAAATGGTACTAGCCAATCGGGCTACTTTCCGAGAGTCTTCAACATCTCCTTCCATTAGAATTTTAGAGCTATGTACCCCGTATGTTATACTAACAGGATCATACTATTAGAGGATGGGTGTGAGGGGAACTTGGTGAACGATCGCACTCTTGCTCGATATACCACCATCCAGCACTTACATTGCTAAAATGAGATTTGAGGGATGATATCTGATTGATCAAAGTAGTAAGTGTTTCAGCACGAATTCAAGTACATAGAAAGGGAATATGCATCCAGGGAAATATTGATAAGATCAAAGTGGAAGTTGTTAATAAAATCACAAAGCAGTGACTCACGCGGAATGTTTGAACGCCGCAAAAGATCGAATAGCTATTCGATTCTTCTAACACAGCATTGAACAGCGCCTTGGGCAAGTTGGCAAGTTGCCCTTGTGATATAACAGAAATGTTAGCACAGCTTGCTTTTGACCTTGTTTCAAATCCGCTCTACTTACGAGTAAAACCTTTCTTCTAATTCACATACACGCTGATAGTACAAATGCGACCAAAAGTACATAGATCAAGCTCGTCAACGAGCTTGAGGAGCGAATAGCAGGTTGGGAGAGGGAGAATCGGCGAGAAATCTACCATTCGTTGGAGGAAGAATTTCCTCCATCCGTGAAAAAAAACTGTCCCAAGGAGACGCAGAGACCAATATTAATGAGATCGAGAAACCGAAAAATGGGGACTGTAAACAGCGCGTTTCATGGCACGAGCGAGAGTCAAAATGGTCGCTTAAAGTGGAGAACGAAGGAGCGTGCATTATCACGCACAATAGCGATTCCATGCGAACGAGTGAGTTTGTGGGCGTCCTAAGAAATAAAGAATGAAATATGGATTGTCAACAGATACAAGGTGAGAGACATGCGTGACATACCTTTAACGATTGGAAAACGGAAAAGACGGGTCAGGAGCGAAGGAATGGGCGAGGACGAGATGGGCGGAGGAGATAGGAGGGAGGTCACAGTGTGGAGTGGAGGCGAACAGGACAGTACCAAAACTAGGTCAGCTTTTAAAAGGGCGACAGCAAGAGAAGATTGAAAAAAAAAAACAAGCAACCTGCAAACGCCGAACAAAAAAGACGCAACGGAAGAAATACGTCAAACGGAAAAGAAAGAAATCAAAAGAACTCATCAGATGAAGTAGATAGAACGATCAGCAAAAACATACAAGTACATCGAAATTCACGTCCTCTCTGGCTTAAGCCTCATCTTTGTGAAAAACGTGAAACCAGAGAGGACGAGGAAATCAAAGTTGAAGTATCGAAGATATGATAAGATAGATGTCTGCGAGCACACCAGCCTGAGTCTTGAGACCGTCAAAAGTACTTGAAAATGAAATCAAGAAACATTCCCAAGCACAACCATCCCACAAGGGTAGTCACGTGTCCCAGTGGCAGAGTGCTGTTGCCACCTCCTCACAAGTTCAACTTGATTCCCGTCAGGAGTTCAAAATCTTCACTCTGTGTACAGTGTACATACTCGAAATAATATCTAAGTCGACGAGGCAAGCAAACGCCTTTTCACCATGAGACCCAAATAATCGCTAAGCGCTACGTCTTTGTGGAAGCTCCGCTACAGCTCGGTGACCGATGGGACATTACAGTCGTTGCGTAATGGTTTGGTTTGTCTAAATCATTGTGCAAAGGACCGTACATATCCGGCATACTTGTTTTGAGCAGCGAGGAATGGACATCACTGGTGCGTGGTTGTTTGCTTACTTGACAATGATTCGTAATTCTTGGCCCACATCAGTAATTGTCTGCGCTGGCAGCAGATTTTGCATTGATAGGTTTCCCTTCCCGCTTGTCTCGACGAGGGGCTTGACTCCCGCAGCCTCGGCATGTTTCATGAACACTGATTCATTTTTACAACAATTCATTATGCAAATATCCTTTTCCTCAGCGATGGGCGAGATCCTGATCCCAAATGACGGGGTTTTGTGCACCAAGGTACGCCAACTGTACGCTTGGCATTGTAGTGCACGTGTTGGGCATGATGATGTATATATACGACGCAGCTTCGACGCCTTCTTACAGGCTCTATTTCCTATCCTGAATCATACCGTGGACATTCCATACGCATGTTTGTCTGAGTCGCTCGTCTTCGCTTCGTACGGGCTATTCATATGGTTGTTTGTCTCTGTGAGTAACCAACCACCCTGAAAATACATATTCCCAGTAAAAATGGACCTATGAGACCCAGGAACTCAAAAGGAAACGCTGGATGGTGGCTGTTCTCTTTTAAGTTGACTTTTAGCAGGTGCGATTTTGATTGTTCTCTTCAACAATGATAGCTTTATTTTTTCAGACATTATGATCACCGGGTACATGTCACAATCACTCCTAACTCGTGTGCAACCGCCGATGCTCTGAGCTATTGTCCATCGTGCTTTTGCCTCCATTTCAAAAAAAAAGGGCACTTGCAATGGTGGGGTGTTTGCCGTAACAAACGTTGGGAACACGGGACGAAAGGGTTTCGCTTCATTCAGCCTCTTTTACGATAAAAATATGCGCTTCTGTCCTTGAGGATTTTATCACCCCCTCCGAATATACATGCCATTAGCATGCCTTTCTGCTTCCATCCCCTTCACTCGTGTACATTCCTTATAATCTCGATCAGATTCACGTGCTTGATTCAGTTTGGCGCGTAACTTCCGTTCTTGTCCAGGAAAATAGCGTTGGCGCTTCTAGCCGGCACTTCAGCAATCCCCCAATTGACGATAGGTGATCCCACTTTGACTTTTTATGTAGCGTTCAGGGCCGGGAATCGAGCCTTGCTTACACGGTGCGTGTAAATTACGTTCCCGAATTGAACTTAGGCTGGTACTTACAGAGTCTTGCACGAGAAATTTTCAAGTTCACAAGGCATTCAAGTTATGAGCATTATTTATTTATTCTGAAAAGTTGCCCGTCCCTTCAGAGATGCTTGAGCAGAATCGTAGTGTTGTGCAGTCATACAGCTACATCTGCTGCTCCTCCTAAAACCGTTAACGCTCATATAATAGAGGTAAGCTACACGTGCATTCGAATTTTCTGTGCTGCAAGACTAAAATTAAATGGCATTGTGTCATCACGTCCCAGGCCCAGCCAACATGAGGCGGAATAAAACCTATATATCCTCGCAATTCTTCCTGACTCAGATCAGTCGGTTACCGCCTTACTGTTGCTCATGTCCAGCCCAAGCCAGAATACTGGAGTTGCTAGTGAACGCTCACACTCACTAGAGTTACACAAGGCCAATGGGAGTTTTTTCAAAGAGTTTCCACCCAACTGGAATGCTCCAAAATCCTTTATTTCGCGGCATATCTTCAAATGTGCTGCCTCATGTTCACCTGGCACAGCGATCTGCACTCGTTGTACGACCTCTTGAAAGAAGAAAAAGACTGGGAAGAGCTGCATCGTCAATATCTGACCCAGCTCAATCATGTGAGCACCGTGGTAAGTCGATGATGGGCGTCGTTCATTCAAATTGATCACATTAATCTGTTCTTGCGTAGCAAGGACTCGTGCTTGCCACTTCGGCGGTTTTTATCTCCTCAAATCCACCACTTGCGCAAGATGTCGACTACACATCTCATGCATCTTACGCCTGTTTGGCGGAGTCGCTTGTCTTCTCGTTGTTTGGGCTATTGCTCCAGCTGAAGGTATCTGCCTCTGGAATTCTTTTTCAAAAACCTAGTACTGCAGAAGTACGCATTGTCCATTGTCAGGGTGGCAGATCAGAGTTGACCTCATCACAGATCATAATTGAAAGGCGCTGGAGAATATTCTGGCACCTCCTGGGTTTGGCAGTGCCAATCATTACCTTTACCATGTCAGTGGCGCTGTTGCTCATAGGTGGGCAGTTCACCTCGTAATGTGTGTTCATGACTCACGGTTCATCAGCCATCGTGCTCACAGGGTTCTCGTCTCACTCCGAAACTGTCCAACTTTATCTGAGCATAACATTTGCTTTCCTTGGCGCTTGTCAATTGGTGGCGACTCTGGCTTCACCATTCTACTACTGCGTCTGCAATGTTCGCGGCAGGAGTGGTAAAGAATCTGAAAATGCGGGCGGACCTTGAATATTATAGGTCAGTTCAGAGATTCTGCAAGGATACTAGCAGGTGTTCTAGTAGCCATCAATTACTCCTCCAATTGGACATTCAGTGATGTCGTTCGTTCTACGAGTCTAAATAGCTCAGATTCAGTCGCTGCTCTACATTGTACATTCTAAATGCAATTTCTTGGCTATTGGGAACTCGTGAGACGAAATCTGAGGTTATCCAAATAACTCGCATTGTGCTCGCTTGATCAAAGGCATGTTATGATCCCAAACGAAGGGGTCTTGTGCACCAACGTACAGCTGTACGCTTGGCATTGTAGTGCACGTATTGGGCATGATGGTGTACGTATATATACAACGCAGCTTCAACGCCATCTTACAGGCTGTGTTTCCTATCCTGAATTATACTGCGGATATTCCATACGCATGTTCGTCTGAGTCGCTCATCTTCACTTTGTACGTACGGGCTATTCCTGCAGTTGTTTGTCTCTGTGAGTAACCCCCTCTGAAAATACATATTCTTAGTAAATGGACCTATGAGACACAGGAACTTCAAGGGAAACGCTGGATGCTGGCTGTTCTCTTCAATACTTTGTTGGAAATCAACTCGCCAACGTCACATAGTACATAGTATCTTTCAAGTTTTCGTTTACATAACTCAGACGCTCGCTCAACGCCAGCGGACTTAGGTATTAGTCTCACGTGACGTACGATACTTTCGCCACTAGTTTCCCCCAGTCTCTCATACTCGACTAGGGGTAAGTCATATCTTAGCATAGCCAACACATTCCTTACTGATGTACTATAGAACTCACTTGAGTTCGTTCTCTTAGCGCCTGCCAGTATCATCTACCATGCTTCTTTAGGTCGGCCCTTAGCAGGTGCGAATCGCGATTTTGATTGTTCGCTTGAACACTGATAGCTTTATGTTTTCAGGCGTTGTGATCACCGAGTGCATATCATAGTCACTTCTAACTCGTATGCGACCGTCGATGCCAACCTACTGTCCATCGTGCTTTTACCCTCATTTCAAAACTTTGGGGCAGCTGCATGGCGGGGTGTTCGCCGTGACAAACGTCGAGAATACAGGACGAAAGGGTTCTGTCGCTTCATTCAGCCTCTTTTAGGTCCTTATTTTTTGTCCCTGAGAATTTTGTCGCTGCATCCGAATGTACATGCCATTAGCATGCCTTTGCGCCGTATATTTCTTCCATCCCTTCACTCGTATACATACATTATAATCTCGATCAGATTCACGTGTTCGGTTCAGTTTGGCGCGTAACTTCCGAAATTCTTGTCCAGGTCCCAGGAAAATAGCGCTGGCGCTTCTAGCCGGCACTTCAGCAATCCCCCAATTGACGATAGGTGATCCCACTTTGACTTTTTATGTAGCGTTCAGGGCCGGGAATCGAGCCTTGCTTGCACGGTGCGTGTCGATTACGTTCCCGAATCGAACTAAGGCTAGTACTTACAGGAAATTTCCAAGTTCACAAGGCACTCATCTTATGAACATAGTTTATCCCCTCTAAAACATTGCCTGTCCCTTCAGAGATGCTTGGGGCAGAATCGTAGTGCTGTGAAGTCATACAGCTGCATTTGCCGTTCCTCCTAAAACTATTGGCGCTCATATGACTGAGGTAAGTTACACGTGCATTCGAGTTTTCTGCGCTGCAAGACTGAAACGAAGTAGCGTTGTGCCATCAGATTTCAGGTGCGGTCAACATGAGGCAGCATGAACCCTTTACATAGCTTATATATCCTCGCGATCATGATGGTTTCTGACTCAGATAAGTCTGTTGCCCTCCTACTGCTACTCACGTTCAGCCCAAGTCAGAATATTCGAGTTACCAGTGGATACTCACAGTCATCACGGCTACACACTGCCTCAGATGAGAGCTTTTTCGACAAATTTCCACCCAAATGGAATGCTCCAGAATCCTTTATTTCGCGGTATATCTCCAAAATGTGCTGCCTCGTATTCACCTGGCGCAGCGATCTGCACTGGTTGTACGACCTCCTGAAAGAAGGAAACAACTGGGAGGAGTTGCATCGTCAATATATGACCCAGCTCAATCAAATGAGCACTGCGGTAAGTCGACGATGGGCATTATTCATTCAAATTGGTCGCATCAATGTGTTCTTGCGTAGCAAGGACTCGTGCTTACCACTGCGGCGGTTTTTATCTCCTCAAAACCACCACTTGTGGATGATGTCGACTACTCATCTCATGCATCTTACGCCTGTTTGGCGGAGTCGCTTGTCTTCTCGTTGTTTGGGCTATTGTTCCAGCTGAAGGTATCTGCCTCTGGATTCCTTTTTCAACAACGTAGTACTGCAGAAGTACGTATTGTCCATTGTCAGGGTGGCAGGTCAGAGTTGACCTCATCACAGATCATAATTGAGAGGCGCTGGAGAATATTCTGGCACCTCTTTGGTTTGGTAGTGCCAATCATTATCTTCACCATATCAGTGGTACTTTTGCTCATAGGTAGGCCGTTCACCTCGTAATACGTGTTCACGACTCACAGTTCATCATGAGCCATCGTGCTCACGGGTTTCGCATCTCACTCCAAAACTGTCCAACTTTATCTGAGCATAACATTTGCTTTCCTTGGCGCTTGTCATTTGGTGTCGATTCTGGGTTCACCATTCTACCACCATTTATCGAACCTATGCGTCCGCGTTGTTCACGCCACAAGTGGTAAAGGACCTCAAAAAGCGGATGAGTCTTGAATATTAGTGCTGGGTTCAGGGGTTCTGCAAGGGTGCAGGTGTTCTAGTGATTACTCCTCCAATTGGACACTCAGTAGTGTCGTTCTTTCTACGAGTCTACTTCTAAATGACTCAGATTCAGTCGCTGTTCTACATTGTACATAATAAATGCATTTTCTTGACTTATTGGGGACTCGTGCGACGAAATATCAAGTAACTTGACAACAACTGTCTGAATCATTGCATCGTATCAACATACGAATACCCGACACTAAACATCAAGGGAAATCTGCGCAAAAGAGTAAAGTATCCCTCAGTCATAGTATCCAAATGCGAAGAAATCGATCATATCATAAGTAACGAAATAAGACGATCTTACATAGATATTTTATTGACTCGACGTCGCGGAAAACAACGGAGTAGGTAGCCGGTATCGAGGGCGGGAATAGGAATAGGAATAGAAATAGAAATAGCGAAAGATATGCATAGAACGAAGGACGGATTAATACAGCGTGAAATCGTAAGATATCATTAGTTTCATGTTGGATTCGCAGCGAGCAAGTCACAAAAGGCGGGACTGTTTGACTTCAGCGCCTCCAGATTTATGCTCTACCAGGGACGATCATCAAGGCCTCCAATCTCTCTTCGAGGCCTCGTCCGAGACCCTCGCGCTCCCACTCGCCACCGACGTCATCGAGTAGGGCGATGCTGTCACGCTCACGACCGCTTAGACTAGCAGCATCGTGTTGGTTGAGCGCGTACCCTTCGACACCTGGAATGTGAGGTGGCGGGTCGGGAGTTGCACAGCTGGTAAATGATGACAGCGGAACCATTGATGCGGGTGTCGATGCGAGCAGATCGGCGTAACTCATGAACGAGAGACGCTTAGTGGGACCGTGCGTCGGGGACGGGGGGTGGGAGATAGTGATGGGACGCGAATAAGGTGAAGATGTGTAGGTCGATGAAGGTGAGAGTGTTGACATGGCGTTAGGAGGGAGCACTGCAGGGGGATGCTCCATAGTCGTGGTCGTAGGTGACGGTTCGACTGATGAAAGCGTTGAGTAATATACAGATGCAGGCGTGTTGATAGAAGGTGGGGAAGAGGCCTTGCTACTCGTACCCTGTTTCGAGGGAAAAGCGAGTGGGCTGGTCTGGATGCTCAGTCGCTGCGGACTGCCCGCTCCCACACCCGGTGTAGAAATATTTAGGGGGGGTGACGGGCCCCTGCTGAGTCGGGATGCTGAGTAACAAGCTCGTCCTTCCTGATGGACTTGGGCTCCTGCTTCTCAAGCTACCGATTGGGCTAGCAAAACCGCTGGCAGTGAGGCGATCACGATCTCGCGAAGGACTAACGACAGAAATGTGATCTTCTTCCATGGGAGAAGAGGCTGCGAGAATGGAAGCAGCACTGTCGAGCACAGAAGGTACACTGTGTTCGAGTTGCTCAGTGCCTTTTGCGCGTGCAATGCGATGGGGATTCGGGTGAGATGGGGGAGATGGAGGGTGCATAGGCTCAATATCACGCTCGAAAATTGCGGATGACGATGAGTGGCTGTGGTGGCGATAAATGTAAGTGTGAGTATTTGATGAAAGTGGAGTGGCTTACGCAGATGTCGGCGATGAAGGAATTGAAGAGGGTGAGCGAGAGCCCAACCTTGTATTCAAGTGCTGAGAAGGATGCGTTGATAGTCTGTGCTCCCTAGTTGAATCTTTTGGGGGGTTAAGCAGTGTCGAATTGGACGTCATACGTCTGAGATCAACAGGGGGTGAATGTTGCACACTAGAAGATGGCGACATGGTCATGGCTGTCAACGAATGTCAGGTTTTTATATAAAAGTCAAAGAAAGATGAAGTGCCTACGTTGAAATGGGTCTGGAGAAGGATGCGTGGACATTATTGTGGATGTTGTCGGAACTGCAACTGTGTTGGATGTGAACAAAACGTTCGTTGAGTGATTATAACTTGACCAAAGACGCTGTGCAATGGAGGCCGCAGTACTTCCGAAGGTCTAACACGAACCGTTGGACCAGTCCTCGGATTTTTCCGATGGTCCCGCTGGTCCCGTATCTTCGATGACGATACGCATCACACGTTCTCCACCGGCCACCCCAACACTTGAATTAGGCGTACCCGGCCGCATGCCATCATTCATTCATCCATCACCAACCGTCGATTCTCCCTGGCCTCCGGATCTTCTGTTCTCACATTTAGCAGTGCTTTCGGAGCATAGCCTGTTTTGTCCAGCCTGATCTCCACACGAGTTCCAGTAGGGCACTGGGTTTCTCAGCTCCATTTGCGTAGCATTTCTCATTTTGTTTGTGATAACTAGGGTCCGCTGACTGACGCATCCATTCTTCCGACGTTCTTCGAGTCCATTGCGTGACAGAAGTCTCATCGAAGGCTCGAAGCATCTCGCTACACAAGGATGTGGTTATATATCAGCATTACTACTCCATGAGCTCATTATAATACCACACTCATGATACGTCGGAGTGTCGGATGAAAGTTAGCTTCCCCCGTTTTGTGTCATCGCAATTGGCCCTGAGCGCTGAGCCTGCCCAGGCCCCAGCAGTTGCTGTGCTTTCTGGAAAGTTTATTCTATCTCATTAGGGTTGCGACAGCTTACTACAGCCCAAACCAGTGATATCATACAGCTCGCTCTGAGACATTCCGGCTGTTTCGACTTCAGCATCTCACAGAGCCTCCAACATACGTTTGCCATACTTACGAAATCGTCAACGTTGCTTGTCATTGTGGTTTGTATAACGTTCGCGTGATTTTCATAATCACCGTTCTATCATAGAACACAAGAACGCACAATGCCCTCATTTGACCTTCTCCTAAGGTAATTAAAGTCGGCCTACCGAACAGCAATTTTGCAGGGGTGCATTGACGTCATGATCAGTATCAGGGGAATCTTGTTCTCATTCTTATAGGGAATGGTACATCATAATTCGCTCATCCAGTGTCCAGTTGTCATACAGAAAGATTGATGATCACCGTTGAATGATGAACGTTGAATGACAAACAGAGCTTGTACAAGCGCCATCAATCTTGTGGCTGAAGCGCTGACCATTGATGAACAGGAAGCCATAGTCACCGCCTCTCCATCGACTAATCAGTAAGCTTGTGTAAACTTGTGCTTGGACGTTTTACCACTACAAACAGTTGTTGTAGCGGTCTGATATTTAGATGACGCAAGATATCTCGTGTACAAAAGATCTAGGAATGCGTTCCTTCGCATCAAAAAATATCATAGGTTTGTAGTCCGCTCTCGAATACGACACTATTAGCTTGTAGGAAGAAACCCACGGAACATCAAGACGGGTATATCAGAGAAGACATCTTGAAATAAACCTCACACAGGGCTCCCCGCCGCCTTCTCACCACGTTCCTTGTCCAACTCATCGTCGTCATCGTCATCATCATCGACAGAGTCTGTTGTCCTCCGCAACATCTTATGCAATATCCTATGAAGTCGCGAAAAGAACGGCGACGGTAGGACAGAAACAAACAGACACGTAAAAAGCACCGCGAATGTTGCTCCAGTAAAAATCTGAGCTGAAGTTGAAGAGGACAGGAAGCCCGTCACAGATATGGCTGTTCAAGATATGCTGATCAGGCATAACATTGTCTGGCGGAGAACAAGAAACGCACCAAAGATGAGCAGCAGTAGAGATATGCCGAAGAGATAGACCGGAATTGAGAGAACGATGATATGGCATAGGAATAGCCACCGATTTCGCTTCAAAGCCTGTTGAGGGTCAGTACCAGTTTATGGAATTCTATACAATGTACGTCGCTCACTTTGAAGGTTTTTCTGCTTTTGATAAGTCTGCCCCACGACAGAGGTGAAGAGTTGAAGTAAAAGACCGAATAACGAGAACACCAATGACTCCGATAGGAGTGTATACGGTCCATCAGCACTGTAGTCGATCTGCTTCAGAGGGGACGGAGTGGAGATAAAGACTGCGACAGTCGTAAGGAGCAATCCTTGCTATCAGGAACGATTAGGAATATTTAAGCGCTGAAAGTCAAACGACTTACCACAGTACTCAACTGATTGATTTGAGTGAGATATAGAGTATGGAAGTTTTCCCAACCATTAGGCTCTTGGAAGATCTCCCACATGAAATCCAAATTCGAGTGGAACGTCAAGCCAAAGCACATAACGTGGAAGATCACACGCGGGAAAGGGGATGAAGGAGGTCGCCATCGAGCGGGGATGGGCTTCTTGGGAACTTCCAGCCTTTGAGAGTCCTTGAGGGTGTCGTATGAGACGATGTTAGACATGATAAGAGTTGGGGATGAAAGGGGATGAATGAATGGTGGGTATTTAAAGCGTCTGGCGCCGGTGCACGTTGCACAAACCCCTTGAGAAGACAAGTCAGGTAGGCGACTATCTCAGGGACTTGGAATGATGGGCGCTGAGCGCTTTGCGACCGCTTTGAACTCAGAAACCCCGGTCCACGTCAACTCCGGTGAAATATGAGTCTTCAAGACCACTCCTAAGATGATGGTTGAGGGATCCGGGTCAGTCATGTTGGATGGGTTCGTCTTCCAACCGTCATAACCAGCAAACCACAAATAAGAGGATAAATTGATTTACGTAAAGCGTGAAGCAATTGTCCAGGCTTCCTCAGGTCCTAGGGTACTGCTCCCTGGATTGACGCCCAGTTGTGACCAAATTTTCCTGTCTACATCGTCCAATCGGTAGCGAGTCCTAGTCTGACCTAGCGCGCAAGGCACAGGGTTGACCCCATCCTGCAGGTTCTCCTGAAAACTTACGGCAAAATCATGAGGCTCCGTCGGACGCGAAGAACTCGACATGCGGCAAACGGTAGGATTTTGTTAGGAGACACTAGATAGTTTTGATAGAAGTTTCAGATCAATGTGATGATCGTTTCTGCCGTTCAACGTCCAACGGGGAAGAAGATCCGTTACTAGTAGCTGCACTGATACTTCCAGTCTGCAACGTTACTGGGGTGGCTCCGCAGATAACATTGGATGTCCCTGCTTGTGGCTTACTGCTGCTTGAGGCGCTAGCGTAGACTCATTGGCGAGGAGGACGTGGTGGCTGCGCCAACTTATGGCTTTTTCCACTGTGGGCATTAGCGGTGCGCTACGAGACAATATCAGCATTACGAGATAGATACCGAAAATTGGGAAATCTTATCTCGCGTCGCAAAGACGTCCCCAAGAGGAATCCTGCGTGGGCGAAGAGGATGGCCCTTGGGAGCAGAGGAACCAGAAAAGGGGTGATTCGTCATGTTCTTCATTCCGGATGTCTCGGCGGGGCGAGCGTGGTAGCAGCGCAGTTGTTATACCCAGGTGGAGAGTGGATCGAATGGTGAGATGTGTACCGACACTACTGTGCCATATACAACTCTCGCGGAAAAACTCCTGATTATTGCCTTCGACATTTGGCATATTGATAATGTCGTATACACAGCGCTAGCAGAGCAATGTAGCTCAAATCCTAGTATAACCTGAGTGTACACAACCGACAATATTTAGCGCCGCAGTTCGAAGAAGCGCACACACGTGAGTCACAATCCATGCACTTCCCGCCAATGGTAGCTACTATATATTAATCGATATAGCCTCGTCACACAACCAGATTGTGGCATTAACCCAGTCACCGCTCCCTACCGAGTCCCGACTGATCAGTAAGCCTGTATAAATTTGCACTTGGACATTTTACAACTACAACAGCGGTCTGATCTTCAGATAACGCAATATATCTCTTGTACCTAAAGATCTAGGAATGCGTTCCTTCGTATCAAGGAATATTATGGGTTTGTAGTCCGCTCTCGAATACGATACATTAGCTTGTAGAAATAAACTTTCGAAACATAAGAACGGGTAGCATCAGAGAAGACATCTTGAAATAAACCTCATACAAGGCTCCCTGCCTCCTTCTCACTATGTTCCTTGTCCAACTCGTCGTCGTCGTCATCGTCATCATCGACAGAATCCGTTGTCCTCCACAACATCTTACGTAACAAATGACGAAGTCCCGAAAAGAACGGCGACGGTAGGATAGAAACAAACAGACACGTAGAAAGCACCGCGAATGTCGCTGCGGTAAAAATCCGAGCTGAAGTTGAAGAGGACAGGAAGCCTGTCACAGATATGGCTATTCAAGATGTACTGATCAGGCATAATATGGTCTAGCGGAGGACAAGAAACGCACCGAAGATGAGCAGCAGTAGAGATATGCCGAAGATATAGACCGGAATTGAGAGAACGATGATATGGCATAGGAACCGCCACCGATTTCGCTTCAAAACCTGTTTGGAGTCAATACCAGTTTGTGGGGTTCTATAAATTACTCACTTTGAAGGTTGACTGCTTTTGATAAGTCTGCCCCACGACAGAGGTGAAGAGTTGAAGTAAAAGACCGAACAACGAGAATACCAATGACTCCGATAGGAGTGTATACGGTCCATCAGCACTGTAGTCGATCTGCTTCAGAGGGGACGGAGTGGAGATAAAGACTGCGACAGTCGTAAGGACCAATCCTTGCTATCAAGAACGATTAGGAATATTTAAGCGATGAACAGAAAACAACTTACCACGGTACTCAACTGATTGATTTGAGTGAGGTATAGAGTATGGAAGTTTTCCCAACCATTAGGCTCTCGGAAGATCTCCCACATGAAATCCAAATTCGAGTGAAACGTCAAGCAAAAGCACATCGTGTGGAAGATCAGACGCGGGAAAAAGGATGAAGGGGGTCGCCATCGAGCGGGGATGGGCTTCTTGCGAGCTTCTGGCCTTTGAGAGTCATTGAGGGTGTCGTACGAGATAATATCAGACATGACGAGAGTTGGGGATGAGGAGGATGAATGAATGGTGGGCATTTAAATCGCCCGGCACCGGTGCACGTTGCAGACACGCATGTATGTCATTTTTGAGCGGTGCACAGTGACGTGGAGACGCGCTCAGGGACTTGAAATGATGGGCGCTGAGTGCTTTGAACATAGCAGTCTCGGTCCACGCCAACTCCGGTGAAATATGGGTCTTCAAGACCACTCCTAGGATGATGGTTGAGGGATCCGGGTAAGTCATGTCGGATGGTTCGTTTTCCGACTGTCATAACCAGCAGACCACAAATAATGGAGAGGACTGCTCAATTCTAAAAGTTCGAGTTTACCGAGCACCGCCAAGCGTCGCCAAACCTTTCCTAACGGGACTCGTACCTAAACCTTACACACCAGTGTGTAATGATTGCATCAGCGCAGAGCATTTGATCAAGCTAATGATTTGTTTTCCGGTAAAATGGATCGTCAGTACCTCGCGTTGCCAACAACGTTCGCCTCCTTCATGGAGACCAACCTAAAGGAAATGGTAAAATTAGTTCAAACAGCAGTGCAACGAAGTATCGTACCTTTGCTCTATCATTGCATATCAATATTAATGACATACCTGTTCGTGCCTAAAATAGCCTTGATGTTGATAGGATTGGTCTGTGAGAGTCACCTTCCGGAACTTTGGCAAAGTATTGACCATTAGCAAGCTCGGAATGAAGAAACTGCTTTATATGGGTTCCGGGTTGAGGCCTGAGGCCTAGGCCTAGGTGTAAGAGGATATTTATATATTACATATAAAAAAAAAAAAAAAACAATTGCGGCGCGATCACATGACAATACAAACTTGAAGTACAGTACTGGTAGTCTGGTACAACTCGCAATAGCCCCCATCAATATTCATGGTCAGATATAAAACATGCTCGCCCGCAAATCAGGGTGCACGCCCTCTCCCCATGCCTTCTTTCGCCTCTGCAAACACCCGTAACTTCTCTTCCTCCTTGTCTGCCTTTCCCTTCCCCCTTCCTTTCCCTGATACGACAGAGCTTGACACCTTGTCATCAGCGCTCAAGAAGTCGTTCAAGTAAACATCTTCCTCTCTCACATGCCAGATCGGCATAGTACGCGGCCGGTACGAGACTGACCGCCTTGGTGGCACGGGCGTACAAGTAACTCGCAGTGTGCGTACCCTGCTGCAGTTCATTTGCGCCGAGGCGATTCTCGTCGTACACTACAGTGTAGTGTGTTGCCTTCACGTGGCCTTGCAAGCCAGCATGAGCTTGAAGGTAAAAATCGAAGTCGAACCTAGTAATCAAATGTAAGAACAATCAACTTGTGGTCAAATAGAAGGGCCGGCGCACACTGCAGTGATGCCTCTATCGACGACGGTTCCTGGACGAGTGGTTTACCGTTCCGATCCGCGAACTGAGAGTCGGTCGGCCAAAACTTGGCATGGTGTCGCTTTCCACAAATGATAATCGTCAACAGCGGACTGATATGGCTTCCTCTGTGGGACTCTCTTAAATGCCTCCAGGATCTTAGGAAGCTCTTCCTCCAACACAGTATTGAATTGACCCTGTCGGGTCAATATTAGCAAGCGGCTTCAAGATCGCAAGGAAACCCTATCTCACTTCAGACACACCGTCCCTGTAAACAAAGACTCGATCCGGCAGGGTTGGTTCTTCTCTGCGTAGAACATGAGCCGATCTATCATCATAGAGGTCAGATCCGTGATCATCTACAAAGAAGGGATAAGAATCAAGGCGGTAACATTGGGACATAGCCTACCTCTTTCTTGGTCTCCTGACACCTGAGACTTGCTGGGAATTGGACGAAAGAACTATCAATGCTCGCAACAACAGCGGCAATCGACGGTGTGCCTTCAACACTGCCAGGGCCGGGGTGCGTAACGTCCATGCCCACAACCATCGTCTTAGCCTTCGTCAACCATTTCAAGCTGTCCGAATCCAACACATGATTGATACCTCCGAGTTTCGTGTTCAACTTGAGAGCGACATTCGAGAAGTATTGATCTTGTTTATTGGCGTCCTTTCCTACCACCTTATCCGTAAGCATATGTATGGTATGGACGCCAACCTCGACGTCGCAAATCCGTTTGATTGCCTGGATAAATGTAGTTGTCCCGGCGAGAGAGGAGGACGAGGATGAATGACGGGTTTTCCTCTCTCGGAAATGTTCTGTTTAAATCTTCTGACGAATCGAGTCTAGCGCCTGCTGCCTGCCAGGATCATCGGCGCGAGGGATGAGCGATTGGGCAAGCTTGACAGGTTGTGATCCCAGGGAGATGCCACTATTGCGGCATTTCTCGCCAAAGCCCCTCCAAAGATCAGTCAGAATCGGGTCGTCGGCCCCGCTGAACACGCTTCGTCCATCTTTCTCTCTGACGACAAGCACCCACCAGCTCTTGATGGCCCCGCCGTTATGAAACTTTGACGTCAACAATGTTCCAACTGCCGTTGTTGACGTTAGGCGGCCTCCCCCCTCCGTAGCTGAGACGAGGCGGGGAAGTTCACGTCCAGGGATGACCGCCATGTTATTGTCCACCGCAATGCCGAAGCCACTCAGAGGACTGCCCAGCGTCTCGGGAGTAAACCCAAGAGTGGGAAGACCGCGTTCAATGATGGCATCTGCATTGACTTTTGGCGGATTGCAGGCGAACCGAATCATGTTCGAGGTTTCTTTGTCATTGAGACGGCCCTCGGAACGGTTGCCCCGATTTCGATTTCGCATAGTTCGGCTGGTACATATATGGAGAATTTCGAATTCGGACCTGAGATATCAACGACTGGAAGGTCGTCTGCATGCCTCAGCGTAATGTGGGGGTACTCTGCTGAAAAATCAGCGAGTGAACAAAGAATGTGATAAAGGAGACGGACTTTTCTTGAAATACTCTTCAAACAGATATTTTGCCATGGTATTCTTCGCAGTGGAAAAAAGTCCGTCTAGCACTCGTTGACATGATCTTCTTGATCGGTTTCTTTTGCTTGTACCCTAGATGTCTAGTGGTCACTTTGAGCTTCTGGGTAAACCGCTGCAGCGTGGCGCCGTCGGACGACCGCTGGAACGCCCACGATGGCGTCGGCAAGGTTGCCCGGCTTGTAGAAGGCAGTCATACAGACACCGACGTTCACCATGAGTTCATTATATGCAGGTCTGGCGGACGTGAAGAAGCCTTTCACGGCGTCTATGCCAAGCGCAAGCTCAAAGCGCTCTTGCGAGGGGAAGAAGTAGCGATTCTTGCCGACGCGAACACCGGTACGCGCCGCATGCGTTTGAAGTACGAGGTTCACGGCAGCTACCAGTGGCTGGACTTCGTAGTCTCGTGACTCGATATCGCCGCTGAGGTACCTACACACCATGAATTAACGCGAAAATAAATGAGGCTTTCCATAACTTACTTGGTAAGCCGTGTGACATCCAAGTCAGCTGTGTGGATAATGGCGAAAGTATACGTCTTGGATCTAGCATTGGGGCCAGCTTCTCCGTCCTCGTAATACTGGACTTGCACGTCAAGGGGCTGGGGCAACCTCTTGTTCGAAACAAGCTTCTGGCTGCTGATCGTGAGAGATGAAACGGCAAAAATTCTTTCCAGCCTTCTTGATCACTTTGTGTTCTAGGAGCTCAAAAAGACGTGCACGAATGCGCTTAATGTCTGTGGACGGCGTGATCTCGAGATGGTAATCGTAAATGGGCCCTTTGGGAAGTTTGACGGGAAAGAAATTGGCACGCAATGTGATTGGATAGCCAAGGGTACCAAAGCCAGGCCGGTGAGGGCGCTCAGGGTTGAAGGTGAGTTTGTTGAAGGAAGTGACTAGCTGATCCAAGGTAGCGAGACGTTGGTCTACAGATGCAGGGCCCCGGAAGATCAAATCTCCTGGTACTCCCCCTCTGGAACCACCCGCCATACCCGCCCCTCGTACCAGAGCCTCTTCCTCCATGAACCCACCAGCGCCCCTCGGAGGGCCACCAGTGTAGCCCGCCTCGGGTACCGCCTCTGCCTCGTGAAGGGTTACTCATTGTTACTGTTTAAAAAATTGATAATGTGGTTCGTGGTTGTATGAGAAGAGAAAGTGAATCACCAAAGGGCGGGTTCTTATATTCGCAGATTGACCGTGGCGTAGCGCTTCCCGCATTTGCTGTAACGAGTCATGAGTCGTAACTCGTCCTAAATGCGTCATCCCGGGTCCGCACTCGTTCCACAGCTAGCTAGAACAGCTGACGTGGCAGTTCCTGGCTCGGCCTGAGAGCTTGAGCTAATAATATGGGACCAATGTTAACGATACATAGTTACGAGTCCCGTAAACAGACCAAATAGAAGGTAGTCGTTCCTAAATGATACGATGCAAAACTTCTGTATGGTAGGATGCCACCCATACTAGTCTTGGTTGACGATCAGATGAGGCAATACGATCTACGAAACTCACCGAGAGGCCGACTTGACGGAGAGGTCGAGTCAGCTCGGAAGTTATCGAGTAGAAGTCATTGTAGAAAGATTGGCACTGTGTCTCGTTAATGAGCAAAAAAAACAACGCACGGAACGAACAGAAATTTGAAGGACAGATCATGAGTACTTACTGATCATAGGCTGTCCGAGCGAAAGTTGTAAAAAACGTCACTTATACTTGTGGCACGTGACGATGTCGATGATGCATTGATGGCTCGTTTTGATGGCTCTTACCACGCACCACTGCACCCTCAGGTAAGTAATACCTTTATATATCCACTGTGGCACCATTACGACTGATAAACTCACCTGTCTCTCAAGGATTTCTGTTGCCATCGATCCACGCAGCACCTCCCGTCTTCACGTATGATTCTTCCTAACTTAACAACCCACTGATTTCACTCGCTAGCCAGTGAGCAACAAACCAAAACACCCAAGCTCACCTCCACCGAGCAATGGATCCACCTCATCCTAACGTATGCACGGCATATACAACTGTTTACCTCTTCAGGTCGAGAACGCGGAGGTTCCTGGTGGCGATTGGGATGAGATTCTCCGCAATGAGGATAAACCGTGCGTTGCTTTCAATTCATATTTCTGCGAGACTTGACGGGCATTAGTGTTGTAGGTCGAATCACAACCATCGTATCTCTCATTTTTGATGGCTGCGATGTCACGAAGAACGTCGCAGTGTAAAGCAAACTCGCGCAGTTTTACTTTATTGGCGTCTTCCAGAAGAATGGGCTGATGTCCTACATTGATGGGTACGTAGTCATTTTCCACTGAAGGAAACTCAGGTCTCTTGTCCTGTGGGTTTAGGCAACAGTGACTGGTCAGCTCAACGCGATCCTCACGTTTTATGAGATTTCTGATCCCCCCATTCCGTCATCTCTTTTCTGGCATTCCTATATCACTATTGCGGCGGGCTATCACCGTCCTTACACGCTCTAATCGGGCGCAGATTATCGGCGTTGCTGATGGTGAAGGTGTGAAATTCTTTGCTGCTACGAAGTAGGACAAATGTTCGGACCGGGAAATCGACTCTGGTGATAATACCACGGTCGTTTCCATTCTTAATAAGGTGACGATGGTTCGTGTCACCTACATCACAGCATCCTTGCGTGAACGAATTTGTAACTTATCGTCAGATCTGATGCCGAGGGCACCCGCAAAACGAGTCATAAACGCTTCAAAGGTGATGGTCGATGGATTGAAGCTATTGTAAGTCACAAAGGAGGCAGATTCTCCGTGACAAGCGTCTCGTTGAGGATAGAGAACTCCTGCCCATGCTTCCCAGACCGATCAGCACTATGTGTTCATGATTTACAGCGAGGCTCGTGAACTCTGCAACAAGATCCTGTCGGCCATAAAACATGGAAGGATGTGGTGGAGGCACTGGTTTGGTGATACCTGACTGCAATTGGACGCCCGGTGAAGTATCAGCTTACTTTGAGACATCGGGATATTCACATTCAATGCCACCGAGTCCCAGAGTCACCTTCTCTACTCTGATTGCGATGCCAGTTATCGCTTCGGTCTTGAGATGCCATTCAGAATTTCAATGGGTAGAAGTTCAAGTTGATTCTGGAGACGTACATTGAAGAGGATCATGGGGTCCAAGTCTTTTTACCACCCAACAATTCGGCCGCGATCAATCATGATATAGAATCACCTCTGCCATAATTTTTGCTCGATTTGTGAAGCTACTTCGCTATTGATGTGATGTTTCTGCACGGTGTTATCAGTTTCCGGTGACAGTTATATTGGTTTGGCCCACTTGTTAAGCTGGGATAAAGCATACCCCAAACATCCTCGGAGATTGTCATCCTTGATTGCTCTTTCAAGGACTTCTCTGATAGTTCCGCACTTCTTGACTATCGCCAGGAAATCGGAATGGTTATTGACCACAGACTGTGCGGACCTGAGGATGTCTTCGCGAACCTTTCGGGTAGTCGTGCCGGCGCAATGTTTGCGACCGTTCCGAGGATACCTTTCACCAGATTGATGAGTTGAAGGTCTTTGTAATGTCGATGGCCGTTATAGTAACGCCTAGCAGCTAGTTTACATCGTCGACCTGCGCCTCCTTAGCGTTAGAACAGGTATTTAGGTGATCCTATGTTAGGCAGATCAAATATAAAGGGGCGGCACTTAGATATGAGATTGTTTGCCTTCAGATTTTGGATAACATGTTCACAGTTCGTCACCTGGAGACGTCTGTGTAGGTTCGCGTTGTGCCAGCCTTGGCACACGAAACGAGTTGAATGCGCGCCTTCGGCGACTGACGTCTGACCCTCGACTCACTCGCCGCCTCGTATGGTGGGTGAGAAATTCAGAATGATCTGCATAGCAAACTTAATGACATACTGGCTAGCCAATGGCAGGGCCTGATGAATCTGGCATGCTCGGAAGAAATGGGAGCTTGATGAAATGATCTCATATACGAAGCTTTAAAGAGTTGTTACGTCGTGTGTCAATAAAACTACGCAAACGCACATCACACTAGTCGCGTTGTCACTCTATTCTCCTTGCCTTCCCAAATATTGCTAGAGGAGATCGAACTGTCATCACCGATTCTTGCCCAGTTGTACAAAGGCCAGAACCTCTCCCCCGCTACACGTTTCGTTTCGCAACTTCCACAAGTCATAACGTTAAGTCTTTCTCTGTCTCTGACGATGAGGTCCACATATTCTTCCATTCTGTCGTGTTTCAGGGTTGGATGACTGGATGTATTGTCCATCCATTCATGCAATACAGCGGATTGTCGACTTTCGCATGAAGGAAAGTGGCTTCGTTCAGAGGCGGCGAATAAATGTTTTTGCGGAGTATTGTCACTTACCATGACATCCTTGGTGAACGACAATTCCATCCTAGGTGCTAATACAGTTGGTATTCCGCACAGCATGTATACGTCTTGACATGTTGATGATATTGAGTTCGAAAATAGGCTAGAAGAAAACGTGTGGAGTAAAGAGGCGCGGGGCCGCCACGCTGTCGAATGATTGCTATAGCCATCAATGTAGTCCTTACGTACGGGCACAGCACATAGCAACCGGTCGCAGACCTGAGCGCTTCGTCTATACAGCAATGAAGCTGTGAAGCAAACACGCATAAGACAAACCTTAAAAACGGCATGAACGAACGACTGCCCTCCACTCCCAACCAGATACTCATTGATCACCGATGATTGCGCACTAGGCTCGTCTGAACGGTGCTTCCCGTGGGTGATACTCTAGGGTCTTCTGCCGCTCGAGGCTGACGACCTGCTACCAGAGACTTCTGAAACCCACAAAGATCTCTTGCACCTTCTCGAATTTCGCAGCACCTGCATACGCCGTCTTGTAGGTGAGACTTGAATCCTGTAAGCACGCTTCTCGTGAGCCATGGCTTGTGTGGTTCTGACACACATCAAATTGAAAGGATATAGCCCCCTGGACTCACCAGCAATCATTGCCACTGTCGGATAACCCAGTTTGCTTCAAAGATCCCGACAGACTTCCCCCCATCATTATACGCAGTCTACGACCCGCCATAGTTGAGACCCCAAGCACCGACCATGTCTTCCCCCAATAGTAAGACGTCAGCGATCACGCCATGCCGGACAATGCGAGGTCATACCAACTGGGTATACGGTGTTGTGCACTTGCCTGACGGAGAACGCATCATCACATGTTCATTGGACGGTTCACTCCGACTATGGAACCTAAAGAGCGGCGCACAGATAGGCGAGGACTGGTGGGACGGGGATAACGAAATGTGGTCCATGGCACTGTCTCCAAATGGAAAGATAAGTGTCAGCGGAAGCGGAGGCAACGATTACGATATGAGGTTGTGGGATGTCGAGACGAGGAAGGTCATTGCCAATTGGACAGGACACACCGATGTTGTATGCGCATTGTGCTGGAGTGCAGAAGGTGAACGAGTAGCGAGTGGATCCTGGGACGGGACAGCAAGAATCTGGGATGACAGCGGCACAAACATCATGATAATCGAAACCGGGCATGGCTGGGTGAACGCCGTGATGTACTCGCCTGACTCATCAAAACTTGCGACGGGTGGAGAATACGAGTTCACTATAAAAATCTGGGATGCGAAGACGGGCGAGCTTCTCAACACACTAAAACACAATAGAAGAGTTTTCGGCTTGGCATGGACGTCAGACGGACGGAAGCTTATCTCCGGTTCAGATGGCCCGATTAGGATATTCGACACTGCCACTTGGCAGCAGATCGCCGTCCTTCGAGGTCACACGGACCGTGTCACCGCCATCTCCTTGTCTCAGAACAACCGCCTCCTTGCAAGTACATCAACCGATAAAACAGCGTGTCTATGGAATCTCGACACCAACCTCCCAGTCGGACTGCCCCTCCAGCATGAAAGAGTTCTGCGTTCTGCAGCCCTTTCCCCTGATGGAAAAGTGTTAGTCACTGGTTGCGAAAACAAAATCGCGTATACATGGGATGTTCACGCCATCCTTAAAGAAGCTAGCCTTGAAGACCTACTTCCAATTAGTGCCAATATTGTTAATGTCAACATATGACCCGCTCTCTCTCACTGACAATGTCTGCTATTAGGCGCCAAAAGACAGACTCGAACAGGATGATTCAGGAACACAGCACACACCCCGCTCTTCGCTCAGTGATAAGTCATTTTTAGAAGTACGTGCCTTTTTCGCAATCCTTCTCAATATTCGTTATAACAGTAACATTCCAGGCTGATGCTACGCGATGTCCTGGCCAGTTTGGCGGTCTTGATGAGCTCTCACCAACATTTTTTGATGGCATGGAAGCCAGTGTTGATGTGCGCAATCAGTGTTTCTATTATTGAGCTCTTATATATGTGCTCTCAGTCCTCTCCGATGGGTGGTGCACATCCTCATTCCTCTGTAAACGCACTCCTAGCTCGCCTTTCCTCGCTCCTCCACCGCTTTCGACCCGATAGTGGCGAAACAACCGAACTTCCGCAACCCTCAAAGCTTTCAGGGTTCCATCCACACGCACTTCTTGCTCGCCTGTCATCGTTCATTCACCGCTCTCCACCTGAAAATGATGCACCAGACGAACTTCAGCAACCCTCCATGCCTTCGCGGTTAGATCCACATGTACTCCTAGCTCACCTTTCCTCACTTTTGTCCCGATCTCGACACGGCACCGACGAAGAAGCTGAACCTCAACCCATAACGCCTTCGAGTTCACATCCAGATGCACTCATCAGCTGGCTGTCCTCAGTCTTCCGCTCTCAACCCCACACCAACGAGGAAATCGAACTCACGCAACGCACAATGCATCCTCATGTTGTCAAAGTACCTGCCATGCGGGACAGGGAGGCATGTCTTTCCCCGGTGTGTCAATTTATGCTGTCTGATGATCTCTATACAGGTATTGTTTGTTTCTGAGTCGACAAATCGTACACGCACCCAGCCCACTGGTACTACAATACCAAGTACAAGACCTGCGCATTCACTACCCGTCCGAATGTTGGCTCATCTCGTGCTTTTTCTCTGCTGCGCGTCTCCTCAACACGTCGATGACAATGCACACCCAACACGGCAACATGAAGACCAATCGCAGACACCTGCCCCATCGTCGCAAACGCAGCACCAGCAAGGTCAATCGCAAGATCAACCCCTGGCTCACGCGTCATCATCGCAGACGCAGCCGACCGCCTCCTCTACTACGACACCGGCTACTCTTGATGCTCATTCTACCGCGCCGGGTGCAGCCAACAGGCAGCCACGCCCCCTTCCATTACGGACACGTTTCGTTCTTTTTCTCTGCTGTGCGCCGGCCCCGCATGCAGATGGATACTAATACTGCAGCATCTGGACACCCATCTCGTCTTCGCATCTGGTTCTTTTGTATATATTGCAATCTATTTGTTCGCGCCGAGAATGTGTGTATTCAATTTCGTAAGCTCCTCAATATCGGGTTGGTTTCAACGCAATACCATGGCCCATCCTCGATTTTAATCTCAGGCAGTCGCTAGAAACATGGCCCGACTACAAATTCTGTCAGCATTCACCTTTCTTCGTCGCTCGCTCCGAGTCTTCATTGCAATTTGTTGACGTCTTGACATTGATATTGTACGGGGACGACACGGAGAACCTTCCAGTCTCAACCATTCTCAACTGCACGATCATCCACGACTTTATCCCTCCTCTCGCCAACCCACACAACCTTGCAGACATGCGAGTGTTCCGTCGACCACTTGTGGTTGGCTTTTTTGTTTCTGCCCTAATTAAGCCTACTTACCTTTGAATTTGACTTGAATGTTCCAACCTTTGATTGAATCTGACGCCAAGCGCTGAGGTTCAACAAACATTAAGCTTCATCGCCAGAGTTTGAAAGATCGAGAGCGATATGAGAACTATCGTGTATACACCGTTAGTTGCTCTCTAGGACAACTGCTACGAAGCTGATGTACGACTAGGGTAGAATAGCACACTCATAAAACAAATTCACTGTGTTTCATCATTCTTGGGTTCCCATATTGACCAACTTTGATGCGAAAATACACAAATGTAGTTTCGCAGCAGATAGATCCTTGTTCTCGAGATATAGCCGCTCGAGTCTGCTGGAGAGGAAGAAACATAGCTGCTGATTGCTTCTGCACAGGGACTAAAGGAATAACTGTATTCAGTTTGACTTGAACACCACTCCTTCCCGGGATTCAGCCTGACGGCCTTGGTTGGCTGCGATTCAGTATACTTTATCCTCCACTTGAGTGACCTGGACGTCTTGCTGGATGCAGGAGTTTCGGGTGGTACTATTCGGACGACCACCCTTGACATGTGTGATCACTCACCTATCAGCTTGTCAGCTTGTCATACCTTCTCATACTCAGTCAAAATGACATCATTGAGAACGTCCGGTGTATGCTGGAGGTCGAACATAGGCCGGGAGAAACGTGCGGAGTGGAGAGGGAGCGCGGGATGCTGTCAAATGATTGTCATAACTATCAATATGGTCCTTATGTATAGGAAGACGCGCATAGCGCCGGTCGCAAACATTAGCGCTTTGTCTACACAGCAAGTTCATTTCTGTGAAGCGAACACGAGGATAACGCATGGGATACAGCTTTAGAAGTGGCATGGAATAACCGCCCAAATTCCTCAACTTCCAACCAGACATCCATTGATCTCTGCCAGTAGTGATCGACTCGTCTGAAAGGTACTCATTCGCAAACCTTTCGGGTGGTCGTGCCGGCGCGCCTGCATAATGATAAGGATGTTTGCGACCATTCTGAAGATACCTGTCACCAGACTGATGAGTAGGAGGTCTTCGTAATGTCGATGGCCATTACAGTAACACCCGGCAGTTGGTTTACATCGTCGACGTGCGCCTCCTTGGTGTTAGAAAAGGTATTTGGGTCGTCCTATGTTAGGCAGATCAATTATAAAGGGGTGGCACTTAGATACGAGGTTGCTTGCCTTCAGCTTTTTGGATAGTATATTTACAGTTCGTCAGCTGGGGAGTCGGGACGTCCGTGTAGGTCACGTTGTGCCAGCCTTGGCCCACGAAACGAGTTTAATGCGCACCTCTGGCGTCTGGCGTCTGACGTCTTGATCCACTCACTGCCTCGGTAGGTGAGGACGATCTGGACAGCAAACTCAATAACATACTGGCTAGCCAATGGCAGGGTCTGATCAATATTGCATGCTCGGAAGAAATGGGAGCTTGATGAAATGATCTCACATATAAAGCGTTAAAGAGTCGTCACATCGTTGAAACTACCCAAACGCACATGTCACACTATTCTCCAACCTTTGACCGCCTTCCCAAATATTGCTAGAGGTGAATGAGCTGTCGCCGGCGATTCTCGCCCAGTGGTACAAAGGCCAGAACTTCTCCCTCGTAACACCGTGATGTATCGTCCAACTTTCCCAAGTTATAACGCAAGTCCTTCTGTCTTTGACCATGAGGTCCCCGTTCTGTCGTGTTTCAAAGTTAGATATGTGGATGCGTTGTCCCTTAATTCATGTAATACAGCGGACTGTCGACTTTCGCACGAAGTAAAGTGATTTCGTCCTGAGGTGGTGAAGAAATGCATCTATATTTGCAGAGTATTGAAACTCACCATGACATCTTTGGTGAACGACAACTACATCCTGGGTACTAATACTGTTGATTGTACATCGTGAAAAGTTGACGGCATTCAGTTTGAACATGGGTCGCAAAAAAGTGCGGAGTGGAGAGAGAGCGTAAGACGCTGTCGAATGTTTGTCAGAAGTAACGTAGTCCTTACGTATGGGAAGATGCACAGCACATATAAGCACCGGTCGCAGACCTGAGTGCTCCGTCTCCACAGCAATGAGGCTGTGAATTCCGAATACGAGGATACTGCATGGGACGCACCTTCAAAATGGCAGGAACGAACGATTGCCTTCAACCCCCAACCCCCAACCAAACACTCATTCATCGTCGGTGATTGCGCACTAGGCTCATCTGAACGGTGCTTCCCGTGAGTGATACTCTAGGCTCTGCTGCCGGTTGGGGCTGACGACTTGCTACCAGCGAATTCGGGTACCCATAAAGATATCTTGTGTGTTCTCGGATTTCACAGTACTTGCATACGCTGTCTTGTAGGTGAGGATTAAATCCTGTAAGCACGCTGACTCATGAGCCATGGCTTGTGTGTTTCTGATAAGTATCAAATTGAAAGGAAATAGGCCCCTGGACTCACCAGTAAACTTTGCGATTGCCGGATAACCCGGTCTGATTACAAGATCCCGGCAGACCTGACTCGCATACACCATCTGCCGCAGATAAATCTCCTAGCGCAGACCATGCCTCTCCCCACCAGTATTTCAGCGTTCACGCCACGTAGGACAATACGAGGTCATACCGACTGGGTAAACGGCGTTGCGCTCTTGCCTGACGGACAACGCGTCATCACAGGGTCGGATGACGGTCCACTCCGACTATGGGACTTAGAGAGCGGTGCACAGATAGGCGAGGAATGGCGGGGCGAGACTGGCGCAGTGTGGTCCATGGCATTGTCTCCAAATGGAAAGACAATTGCAAGCGGAAGCGTTGATGGGACAGTGAGGTTGTGGGATGTTGAGACGAGGAAGGTCATTTCAAAATGGACAGGATACAACTATGTTGTGTGCGCATTGTGCTGGAGTGCAGATGGTAAGCGGGTAGCGAGTGGATCCTGGGATGGAACAACAAGAGTCTGGGTTGTCGACAGCGGCAAAACTGTCTTTTCGATCAAAACCGGACACAAATGGGTGTATGCGGTGATGTACTCGCCTGACTCATCAAAACTTGCGACGGGCGGAAACGAGGAGGACGCTGTAAAAATCTGGGATGCGAAGACAGGCGAGCTTCTCAACACACTCAAACACAATGGAAGAGTTCGCAGCTTGGCATGGACTTCGGACGGCAAGAAGCTTATCTCCAGTTCATCTAACCTGATTAGGATATTCGACACTGCCACTTGGCGGCAGATCGCCATCCTTGAAGGTCACACAAGATATGTCAACGCCATCTCCTTGTCTCAGAACAACCGCCTCCTTGCAAGTACATCAACCGATAAAACAGCGTGTCTATGGAATCTCGACACCAACCTCCCAGTCGGACTGCCCCTCCAGCATGAAAGAGTTCTGCGTTCTGCAGCCCTTTCCCCTGATGGAAAAGTGTTAGTCACTGGTTGCGAAAAACAAAATCGCGTATACATGGGATGTTCACGCCATCCTTAAAGAAGCTAGCCTTGAAGACCTACTTCCAATTAGTGCCAATATTGTGAATGTCAACATATGACCCGCTCTCTCTCACTGACAATGTCTGCTATTAGGCGCCAAAAGACAGACTCGAACAGGATGATTCAGGAACACAGCACACACCCGCTCTTCGCTCAGTGATAAGTCATTTTTAGAAGTACGTGCCTTTTTCGCAATCCTTCTCAATATTCGTTATAACAGTAACATTCCAGGCTGATGCTACGCGATGTCCCTGGCCAGTTTGGCGGTCTTGATGAGCTCTCACCAACATTTTTTGATGGCATGGAGGAGCCAGTGTTGATGTGCGCAATCAGTGTTTCTATTATTGAGCTCTTATATATGTGCTCTCAGTCCTCTCCGATGGGTGGTGCACATCCTCATTCCTCTGTAAACGCACTCCTAGCTCGCCCTTTCCTCGCTCCTCCACCGCTTTCGACCCGATAGTGGTGAAACAACCGAACTTCCGCAACCCTCAAGCTTTTCAGGGTCCATCCACACGCACTTCTTGCTCGCCTGTCATCGTTCATTCACCGCTCTCCACCTGAAAATGATGCACCAGACGAACTTCAGCAACCCTCCATGCCTTCACGGCTAGATCCACATGTGCTCCTAGCTCACCTTTCCCCACTTTTGTCCCGATCTCGACACGGCACCGACGAAGAAGCCGAACCTCGACCATAACGCCTTCGAGTTCACGTCCAGATGCACTCATCAGCTGGCTGTCCTCAGTCTTCCGCTCTCAACCCCACACCAACGAGGAAATCGAACTTACGCAACGCCCACGCCATCCTCCTGTAGTCGAAGTGGCTGCAGTGCGCGATAAGCAGGTAGGTCTCTCATTGGTGCGTTTACAATTACCGTGGTTGAATCATTTTGTTTAGACTTTGGTTGTTGCTCGGGGGCCACAATTCAAGAAAGCAAAACGAGCATATGAGCAACAAACCCAATCGCACGGCCAAGCTCAGGCGTCGTCATCGCACACTCAGCCTGCCCCTGCTTCAACATCCGCGATCCCTGTTGCTCAAGGTTCTACCACAACAGGTACAGCAGTCGCACAGTCACCACCCATCCAATGGTGGGCTCAGATCGTGCTGTTTTTCTGCTGTGCATATCCATCACACAACAACGGCCACTAATACAGTTGGCGTTAGAGCATTTGGACCACTATTTCACCTTTGCGTTGCACTTGGTTATGTATTTCAGTACATTATCAATCTTGTTTCCTTGTAACGAGACTCGTACAATGCGTCGAACGCGATGATTGTAAGCAAAGGATGGTGTGCTTCGCCTGCTTTCATTTGTCTCTTTTCCCCTTCTTTTTCACACAGAGGCCTGGATTAAACAGGAGTTTGCTAAAACGATCCCAGTCGTCAGAACGGCATCACGACCGTGAAACAGAATGTCTGTGTTATCGTGATCGACGACTTGTTAAGTGTCAACTCGTAAGTCTGAATGGGAATTCCAAATGTAGACGCTGGTTTTTTTTACCGCTCACTGTTTCAAATGTTCAGCGTTGCGGTCTTCACTAAACATGTAGGTTGCTAAACTCTCAAGTAGCTGGCTCTGACGGGTTTCACAATGCTTGGTGCGTACGACCTGGTGGTCATCCCGGGCCTCAACAAATCCGCAACTTATATGGACGCCATCATCTCCCTGAATACATTTCCCTCGTTCATCCTTTACTCTATTCCACTGCATCCTTCTCTATCTGGGCAGTGTATACCTTCTGGACGGGTCGCTTTGCGATTGGCCGTTGGGTTATCACCCACTCACGAGTGCGATCACTGAGCGATTCCAGAGACGTACACTGAAGAGGATCATGCGGTAAAGGGATCGAAGATGTCCTCGGAACTGTAAGAATATATTCACTGCAGACCAGCGTAGTACACTGCAATACATAGATAAAAATGTCGTCGGGCTTTGGTAGTTATTGGACCTCAGAGAGACGACCCAGACAACTGCCAGTCTCGGAGACGTCCTGGCGCTTCTATAACCTTAGGCTAGAATGATTTTAGAGAGAGTCGGAACTCAATACTGTACTCAAGACATACCTTCGGGGCTGTCAAGAACTGTGTGTTTAACGGAGTGAGTAAGTAAAACACTCCAAAACAAGACCAGCACTAGATAATTACCTTCATCATCGTCTTCATCAGGCTTGTCTATGCATCTCTCGTTAGACAGGGCACGAGAATACAGAAGAATCGAAACGTACATTTGCCAAGCCACCAGCTGCGCTTCTCGACATCTGTATCATCAACAGATTAGTATGACTCTTGAAAAAAGGGTCAGCACGAGGCAATTACCTCTAGTCTCGGTCTCAGGGGTGTCTGTAATGATTGTGCCGCGACGCGTTTCTTGTTAGAAGAGAAAAACAAGACTAGCACTAGATAATTACCTTTGTCGTCTTTATCAGTCTTAGCGTCTATGCATCTCTCGTTAAACAGGACACGAGAATACAGAGGAATCGAAACGTACATTGGCCAAAATAAACGTTGCGCTTCTCGACATCTGTGTCGTCGACATTTTTGTAAGATAGGTGCAGATACTACAAACGAATTGAGACATACTCTGTTCGCCCTCACGCTTTCTGAGCGCTACGTCGTCAATAAGGTGAGTAAAACATGCGAAAATAATGCCGGTGCTACAACATAAATACCTTGGGAGCGCTCTGACGCAGTGGGTGCTGCTGCTGTCATCTGCAGGAGAGCGATGGAGACGAGAACAAGCGACAACAATCCTTTCATGATTGCTAGATCTAATGTCACGGTGAAGTGATTGTTGGAGTTTCACTGGGGTGCCGAGTGCACTTCGATTCGAGGAATGCTGCTTTTATATTGTTACAAGCTCGATTATCAGACTGACTTGCAGACCCATTGACTCGGCCCTTTCCGTTTCGTTCTTCAAGTTACCGCCGTAGTGATCCTAAACAGCCACTGTGTCGGACGTCCTTGTCAATTCCTGTTTCAGTTCCGTAACTTCTGTTGTGCAGTTGCTTATTCAATTTAAGCTTCAAGCTGTGTAAAGTTTGAACGAAAGTGATGGTTCTGCTGTTCCTTGCCGATGATCGGATGTTTGAAGCCGCCGCAGGGCCTGGCCCAAAGACTCTAAAGCCCGGTTTTGTGCGGAGCCGGACCGGGCTTCACGCTGGGATTTGCACAACACTGTTACACTACACGGTGAGTGTCTCTGCGCCATCGTCTGCATCTGGTTGATGGTGTTTTAACAGACCACTGTCTGGCGACGACTCCGCATATTATCTCGTCACTAACATCGTCCGTACAGGGTATATGATTTTACTGTCAGCAATCGCCAGACTACATCCAGGTGAGTATTTTTTGTATTGTTGCTAATAGCTCGTCAGCAATCGCCTAGAGACTAGTTAGTATTTCAAATATAGGTGAGCAAAGCGAGGCGCTCCGACATACCGAAGGTGCATGTATCCCATCCTGAACAGCTACGTGTCTGCGTCAATTCCTGTTTTACATGTGAGACCATTGTCTTATCTGGTTAATGACTTTGTACTTGACTATCTGGCGAGTCTGTACATAATCTCGCCACTAGCATCTTTAATCGCTCGCACGGGGAATATGGTTTTGTTGTCAGTAATCGTCAGACTACATCCAGCCCGAGGTGAGTATTTTTTCAAGTATTGTTGCTAATAGCTTATCGTCCTTTGTGGCAGTGTCCCTCGCGGTCGTTATGTGACTCGCTGGACTGTGTGAGTATACCGTTCATTTCCATGATTCTGACTAGCACGACTCAGGCTGAGGTATTTTTTGCGGCAAGCAACAGCTTTATTTGCGAGTATTGCATGCCGGATGAGTCCAGGGGCTGCTAAACACCTTGATGGATATTCTCTGCCGTTTTATTTGGCGTCCTTAGTCTGGTCTTCTGCAGCGTCATCTATGGGACTGCTTTGTCCGGCGTTGTTTGGGTCATTCATGATATTAATGGAGTTGGGTGACAATTGTGAGGATGTAGGGTTGTTCTAAAGCGTCCAGCTTTATCATTGATCCGAATAATTTGCTCAGGGTCGGCAACCGTTCGTGGTGGAGCGTTACCGTGTCCTGGTTTACATTTGCCAGTTTTTAATTTCGGTGCTGACTCGTTGGAATTCTCTCAGCTCTTTCCATTATTGTTTTTGAGGAACATGTTTTTGCCTGGCCGTCACAGTTTGTATTTTCTTGGATGCTAGCTTTATGAAGGATCAGCCAATGCTTACTTTGGCGTATCGACCATTTGGCTACGTGTGGTTCGCCATTTTCGTACATTATTTTCTACAGGATCCAATTGTAGTATCCATATGAGCTAGGATTTGAAACCGTTTCTCTGCAGAGGATCTTCAGATCGAGTGTTGTATCCACCACCTCGGAATTCTCGAAAGTCCGCCAGGTCCGCCATGTCCGGCAGGGGGTCCGTCGGGTCTCGCATTCTGACAACACAACCAAACAACACAATTAGGACAGATACTAGATGCAGCACCCTTCGTCGTCTTGCGCAATGACGAGCACACTTTTGTTTGAGGGCACGATGGACGAAAAGAACAGAATGAAGTCTATAACAAAAGTATGTAGATACTCAGTCTCGGAAGTTGAAGACTAAGACTATTAGCTGACTCTATAACGAAAGTATGTAGATACTCAAGTCTCAGTCCCAGTGAAAACCCAACATGATGAGATCGGGTGCCAACGGACGACATATGAATTTTTTTTCCCTACTAAGGAAATTTCCCGAGCTGAACAGACTTCACTTGAGCGAGTTGCATATGTTACACTGAGGAGGCAGGGTTTCCCATGGGCATATCATATTTTCATCGTAGTTTGCATATTTCATCCGATCCGAGCAGATTTGCCAATAGACATCCGAATACAATGAATTGCGACGACAGCAGACAGGACAGGACAACATGGGATGTAACAGTAGACAGGAATTACTGTAAATAGCAGGCTGCAGGGTGGGTCAAAACAATATGAAAGCAGGGGGAGCCAACAGAACAGCAGACAAGGGAAAAGCAAAGCAAAGCAGCAGAAAACATACTAGTATAGCGCACCTTTGCAGACAACACGATCAGAAGCCTTGGTCCACGTACCTGCGCTCTGCAACCGCTCGACATCAGCCTTATATTCGTCCTGTTGCATGGGTGTGAGGGCAGCTCAATACACACAGGATTCATCTGTCGTGCCATTCATTTTCACTTGCTTCAACCAGCGCAATGCGCATAAGTTTCTGTAAAGATAATTAGCGCGAAACACTAAAAAATGTTTAAACTTACCGTGCATTCTTTGCTACACCTGGGCGCATCTTCTTCTTTGAGGCCTTGTTGTCCAATGGTCTGTTTGATGCAGCTGGTCCATCATCCGTTTTCTTGATTGGGCTATGCACAGGGGCAGGGATTGTTTTGGTGATTCCATGAGGCCCGAAAATATTAGCGCTTTGAGAGTGGAGTTAGTGAGGACGAGAGTAGAGTTACAATAGTGTACCTACAGTGGGTTTTGTAATACAAACTTGTTCTCCTTGTTGGCACCTTGTGCACTGAGAGACGTTTGTGAGTGATGAGTTGGTGAAAACTTGGTCCAGCATGCAGGAGATCTGGGAAGAGGTGAATCTTGCAGAGAGGGCTGTGGCAAGTACACTCTGAATGGCGGGACGGATGCATCGCATGGACAGGGTAGTGTGCTGAGATTATGATCTTCAAGGGGGAGAGAATTATTAATGGGTGAAGGGAAATGGCCGTTGGTGCTGCGAGGCTCAGAATCTTGATCCAGTAGGAGACTCGGAGGTGCATCAGTTGAGAGTATTGGCGATATAACAGGGTCGACTCATAGCCCTGATGTTAGTGTATGAGAAAAAAGAATGAATGACGTGAACCTTTTGTAACCGTCAAAAGCAGTGGAGATGCCACTATATCAACATTAGAATGAGAATTATTAAGATGCTGGCGCATACATTTGGATTTTTTCGAGCCATCTTGATGAACTAGGCTTTCACTATAATTGGACAGTCACCGCTTGCCGTTTTTGTTGTGAACAGTGCGTTTCGATTCCGATATGACAAGGTCTGAGTCATCTTCTACAAGCTCTTCCTTGGTCAAAATCTTTCCTGGTGCATCCTTTCAGTTCCTGTCAGTCCCAAGATTGTTTTTCTGCCAGGATGAGTAATCGTTAATGCAGAGTAGCTCGAGCTTCCAGCAGTCGTTGTCCAACTGGAACAGTGGAAACTGTTTCACCACGATGTTGAATACAAGCTTCTTGCTGGTAGCACAAATCCTCAACCAGGTAGGAGGGGCCATTTTCTGAACAACTAATTCAGCCCATGCTGCATGAATGGCCTTTCGAATGGCCCTAAGTTGTTCAACTGTGACAGGTCCCCCATCTTCCAATGCAAGCCAAGGGACTTTACCCCGAGTTCCAGAACCAGACTCAGCATTCTCAATATATTTGTTATAATCAGTTCGAGTCCAGAAATGGACTTTCGGGTGAGATTCTCTTGACGGATGAAGGACCTTGTCATGTACTGTCAAAGTGCTGCTTGTAAGGCTGAAATTCAGTGGGTCAGTGCTCTCAGGGAGTCGTAGAACAGCGATAAGCTCCCTGAAAGATGCCCTATAAATGAACGAGGCACAGTTTTAATTTAAATACCAGGGGTAAATGAAACTTACTTGATAGTATCATGTTCTGTCATTGTCTTGCATAGCTCGAGTTGAGTCTCACTCAGTTTGGCTTGGTATAGAGATAGCTGTTCCTGTAAGACATGCATCTGCTGGAAATTTGGGGTGACCGAGTGCATATATGCACCCTAGACTCAAATGTGGGAGCTGAAGATATCTGAAACTTAAAAGACTCACATGAGAGAATCCACTGGCAGAAGGAGTCCCTGCAAAAGAGTGTGTGTCGTTGAATAAGTCCGGCGAAGCTTGAGGAATTGTTGCAGACAGGGGAGTGTGAGTTTTTGATGTAGAACTTTGGGCCATTTCCACTGCATGCAACAATGGAGTCAAAAAATCATGCGAGTATCTAGTGGATCCAGAAGAGAAATCTGTGTTGCTGATAGACATTGTGATAATAGAATGGTGGTTGTGGATATGGTGAAAGTGTTGGTGAGGTCGTGTTTGGATTGAACAAGTTGCAAGAAGCTAACATCATCAAAACATATCTAGACTTTGCAGATTACTCCAGCATCTTTCCGGACAATGATCATGAGCCTACCTTTACTACACTTTCTGCAAATACCTTTCGATGACATTGATTTCGACAATGTTGTCCTTAGTGATCCAAGCTTAACAGAGAGCAGCAGCAGTCCACATTTGACGGCATCTGATGATATGCTTCTCGATCCTACATACTGGTCTTCTCACCCTCCTCGATACCGTTATCTCATGCAACACATTTCTCCTCTACTCCCAGCCCTAGAGACAGCTGGCTTTCATGTGTGTGCACACCACTTGGACTGGGCTACAGACCTGTAGGATTTATTTTGCTATTCTTTGCCATTAATCTTTTAACATTGTCTAATCTAACAAAGTTTTGTCAACAACACTCAGGCTACCACTACATCACTGGCAGCAGATACTGGCTCAATGACCGAGCCTGAATCTGACATCGAGGTCACTCTGTCCATAGCTGTACCAGCTGCACAGGTTACTACTGCACCACTGGCAGCAGATGCTGGCTCGACGACCGAGCCTGAATCTGACGTTGAGATCACTCCGTCTGCAGCAACTACCACACTAGCGGACACTGGCTCAACGACCAAGATCACTCCCAGGCCTTCTGCAGCAATCACCACACCAGTGGACACTGGCTCGACGACCGAGCCCGAATCTGATATCGAGATCACTCCCAGGCCTTCTGAAGTAACTACCACACCAGTGGACACTGGCTCGACGACTGAGCCCGAATCTGACATCAAGATTGCTCCATCTGCAGCTGCAAGTGCATCAGCTACAACAATTGTCCCATCACACCTTGATCGATGGTCCTTCTTTGCTACTCCAAGTCCCCCTCCACCAGATTCTATCTACTGGAAATATGTCACGCGTGAAGAAGATTCAAAGTGGTATGACCGTGCTGGTACTGATGAGAGTTTCTCTGACATGTGCCAGTGGAAGCAAGAGCTACAGATGTCATTAGATAATAAATGAAGAACACCTTACCACTGTATTATAATTTCAGATTGATATGAACAGTTCGCATGAGACAGGACTTGAGCTGTTATATTGTGAATCTAATTACAACTTTGTCCACTAAGCACCTCCATCATCCTCACCTGCATTTGCATCTCGTTCATTGTACTGGTCATCTTGAGCTGCATCTCCTTCATACAGAACACTGAATGTTGCAATATCGAGGCCTGGTTTTACCACCATGAAAAACCGATCCTCAGTGACACTCAAAGGAAGAGTTGGTTGGTGTGGGACCATACCAACCACACTGAGAATTGACTTGAGATCAACAACCCGAATGTCATCCTCTTCATGTTGACATGAGCTAACGGTATGGCAGGATAGATCAAGGAGGTCTTTATTAGGGAGCAAGAACATCGAGATGACAGCAACATCCTTCCAGGTCCAAATTTGATCACCATCATTGTCGTTAACTTCAACTGGTAATTGTGTGAAGTATAACACCTCCGCAACTCGAATTTCGCCTACCATAACAACCTCCAAGAATGTTAGTGAGACACAGACAATGATAGTACTAATAACTACCTTGACATGACGTGCAGGCTGCAGTTTTTCAGGTGGGCGCTCAGTCTCCCTCCACGCAGTACATGCTATCTGTCCATTTGGAAGACGCAGACGAGCCCAACGTCGAATTTTGATGTTGTGATGGTGACCAAGATACTGAAAAATCGCTTCGGCACCTGGTTCTCGAGGAACCATTGGCTGTGGATCTCGCTTACGCAGTAGAATATATCCTCCTCCAAGATCAATGGCTGTTGTTGGAAAGGGTGGCTTGTCGAGGGATAGTTCGGGCATCATGGCTTTCAAGGCATTTACTTGACATCGACGGACACCCTCTCTTGACAAATTGGCATAGGGATTAGATGGTTGGCGTATTTCTTGTCTGAGATTTCCAATAGTACGTTCCATGGTCCATTGAGAATAACAAATGGGAGGCCCTTTCTTAATTGTCTCGCAAACAAGATGATTGACTTGGTGGACACAAGGTCGAATGAAATGGAGGCGCTTGGGATGATGCTCGTAGTAGAGTGTCTCGAATTCAAGTTCCCATTGAGTGAACAGGACATGAGCAGCATGAGCATCTTCCAAGCTGATGGAGTGCTGGTTAATCAATTGAAATCCACAGACAAGCTTGCAGTAATTCACCCAATAAGGTTCAGGTAGGATGTTGTAAAGCAACACGGGGCTGAGACCAAATATATAGACTTGGTACTCCCATGTCTTATGTATAACCTGAATTGATTTTTTCTGCAGGATTCCATGGTTTGCGATCGAATGACCCTGGGAGGTGCTGCGCTGCATCAGAAACAGCCTCTCCGTGGGTTTCCCAGATCTCGACATCGTGAAAAACAACCCAGGGCCATGTTGAGACACGATCTGGAAGAGTACAGTCTATCGCGCCACGCCATAGAGACAACAAGAGGTCGGAGAGTAGCTGTGCAAGGTGCATTATATCAGGAGTAAGACAGTGGGGGATTCTGAGGGTGTGTGATGGCTGCAAGCTGAGGAGGAGAGAAGGTTTCGTGATCCCTGTTTCAGTTCGCAGCTTGCAATACTGGCGGGTGTTGGGTGCAGCAACAAGTTTCAAAAGGTTGTCGAAATATTCGGTGAGATCAGGATCACGCAACTCATAGACACTAACATCAGGGTGGTTACTGCCAGCAATAGCATAATGATGGGGAATTAGCAATGCAGGGTAGTAATGTGATCCCTTCCAACGACCAAGTAACCCGCAGTACAATTGACAGCCATTCTTTCCACTGTGTCCCACCATACCATCAATATACACGAGCCCAGGTCCATCGGCAGTGACAAATATGAGATATGGGTTGGAAATAAAAACGATATTGTGCCACACATGCATGCCAGGAAAGATGAAAGAGTCGATGTTCTTGGGTTTCTTGGGTCCTGGAATAAAACCCCCAGGAAGCACAAATTGTTTCTTGTAGCGTCAATCTGGAGAATGGTTCATTATAACCCAAATGTATATCCAACAGTCCGATGATTTGCTTTCGTAAAGCTGCGCACCATCAAGGGATATCATCAGGATAACATCGTCTGGCTTGATGTCACCACGTTGGACGGCCAGTAAAAAATCATGGCCTTTGAAGATGTCATCAAAAACATCAACAACGCCACCATTGGTTTGAAGTTTTTCGGTCAGGTGTCGTGTTTCTTCTCGCAGATAGCTCATATTTCGAGCTTGGTCAGGATCACGCCACAGTGCTTGGAGTTGTGCACTAAGGGGAATCGTAACAAACTTCTGATGTGCCACACACATTTGGCCATCACTAGTGAGCCCATTCAGTGACTTTACCCATCTCATACGGGCAGCTGAGCGTGACAATGTACCAATAGAGACGGGCCATCCCACATGGGCCCATGGCAATAATTGTACCATGATATAGGAGTGGGCCGAGTGAATGTGTGTACCCGAGACACATGGATGGGCCGGAGGTATATAATATAGACAGTAGTATAGGAATGTACTAGTATATAGGACATTTTTAATGATGAATTGTTACGAACTAGGATAGTTCTGACAATAACTACTCAATAAGAGTATTCAGCTAAGGTTGAGTCAAGGCTCTTGCATATGCAAGAGTTCGTAAGACAAGGTAAGGAGAGTGTCCTTAGCTTGAATCAGATTCAGATGACTTAAGATTGGAGGGTCTTAAGCGAAGGAAGTTCCAGGTAAAACCTAGTAAGATTAAAGTAGCAAAATACAATGTACAAGACGGGTTTATATAGTGAATGATAACTGCTTTAGGGCAGGCATCAATGAGTCAGAATGAGTCAGAGATAAGAGACAAGTCAGAGATAAGAGATAAGAGTCGAGTCAGAGATAAGAGATGAGTCACTTAGCGACGGCTTGATAGCGATTGTGATGTAATACAATGATAAGAAGATAAGTCTAGCGATGGCTTGATAGCGATCGTGACATAATACAATGTAGGAAGAGAAAATGAATAGGGGCATACTAGTAGACTGTAACATGAATCTGGTGTACAATGAAGACAAGTGGGCCGGGCGAATGTGTACCCAAGGCAAACGGATGGGCTGAGTGAATGTGTACCTGAGGCAAACGGATGGGCCAAGGGTATATAGTATAGACAGTGGTATAGGAATGTTAGTATATAGGACATTATGAATGGTGAATCCGGCTTACAACTGAGATGAGTGGGCCGAGTGATTGTGTACCCGAGGGGAACGGATGGGCTGAGGGCAGGAGATCCAGTCAAATTTCATCATCTGGTAGGTACATCACCAGGTGCATCAATGATCTCACAAGCCTATCAGCCGGTACATACAGCATCAGGTAAATCCATGATCTGGTAGGTGGATTATCCGGTGCATCGTCCGGTATATCTTGGATACATCAACTGGTCAACACTCAGGTTGTGCAAGTCAACTGTATAATTATGTGATATAACTGTCCTGTACAAATTGAAGATGCAACACAATATTCACAAGTAAAAATGAAAACAAAAAGATGTATACCACCGGTATTACTTGGGCCCAGCACCGGAAGGGTTTGTAGCATGCCTGGCACTCACTGACTGACCTTGTTGGCGCAATTGAGGCGCAAATGACCGGTTTGGCAAAGGAGCCGAGATGGACTGACCATCCTGTGCCACATTTAATGGCCCGGTGACCAATGTGCGAAGGGTGCTGGTGGAAGGCATAGATTCCATGGGGACACTGGGGGGTGGCACCAGATGTGCACCAACCGGATTAATGGGTGGACCAGATTCCCTTGTGGGGACAGGGTGGATGGTGGAGGTAGAGGCAGTGATGGTGGAGGTAGAGGCAGATGTAGGTGCTTGCTCATGTCTTGTGACTGGTGAGCCGTCACCACCGGGGCGTGCATGGGTCAAAAACACATCCAGAGTAAAGACATGGTTGGTGACAGCATGACCTAAGGCACTGATGGAGCCAAACTCAGGGAATATGGGGGTACCGGGGATGACAATGGGTGGTGGATTGAATGCGGGTGGAGTTGAGGCCGTTGCTTCAGCGGTCCTTTGGTTGTCCCTCAGGTACCAGGCAATACCACTCACCTGAATGGTCAAGTTATCTACCAGTCCCCTCTGGGTGCCCAATTGCTCCGTATAGTTGGCATGCAGCTGGTCGATGCGATGGGACAGGTCATCATGTGTCCGGAGCTCCTCCATATTGAAATGAATTTGGGCCAACATGGTCTCCATTTCCACATCGGTCAAGTGACGGGGATGCTGGTGGGACTCAAGGGGCATGGAAGTGGTGACAGGGGAGGGGGGTCTTTGAGTGCGACCCGGATAGATGGGTTGAGTACCGGATATCGCCTGGTGTGTGCATAAATGGTGCTGGAGGTAGGAGGTTGTCATCTATAGGCTCGATCCAGTGATCTGCAGGGAAATCGTCGGCAGCTGCCAAAGGCACTGCATCTGGGGCAGGACCGGTAGAACCAGTAGGACCAGTGGGACCAGTGGGACCAGTGCTTGGTGCCGCATCGAGCATCTCAACATCGGCATCTGGTTCCTCAGGGATGGGACTAGGACACTGAGCATCCATGCCTGAAGGATCGATTAGTAGATACAAGACCGGAAATGAGAGACTTGCCTTTGCCTTTAGAGTGCCTGCGAGACTTGCCCTTGCCGGTGGTCTTGGAACAAGTGGTGATGGGTGTGACTGGCAGCGTGGGTGTGGCAGTCATGCCCTCAGCGGTCGTGAGCATGGCCAGTTGATTCGGCCGGATGCATTTCATCCTCCACCTACTGCAAAGGGTGCAAGTATGGGCAACCTCACCTCTTTTCGTCACCCCAGCTCTCGCATTCCACCTCCATCGTCGTGCATCTGTTGCATGGCAGTAGAGGCAAACCAATGGGATGCTATGAAGAATCAGTCAAGGTCCAACCGGTTGCTCATTACCAGATGTCTCACCACATGTTGACACTTGCCCTTGCCATTTGCCTTGTCCTCATGAGTTCCTCCTGTGGGACGTGTACTGGACCTTGAACTGAAATAATGAAATTAGCACTACATCACCAGTGATTATATGAAAACATACCGGTGTAGAGACTCGCGTTTCTGTGGGCTCATATGGGCTCATTTTACGAAGTCTGACAACTGGCCTTCATGGCACGACTCACACTATCATCCACTATGACTTCCCTATAGAGCGCACCACTTTCCCGCGGAACGCACCATAGGCGCGACACTTTCCCGCACAACGCGCAGTATTCCCGTGCGTGCTTTCTCGTGCTTAAGAGCACTATGTCGCACAGCATCCAGGAGCATCCATCCATCGTCCAACCAGTCCCTCGGTATGTCCCTTTTTGTTATCTGACCATATTTAGCATATTACACTTCCCATTTCATTATGCACCCTTACTTTACATCACCTTACCTCATTTACATACTTAGAGCGCTCCCTATTCGGCTCCGAGCCCTGGGAGAGTGCTTAGGTAGAACTTACATACTCTCATGTTCGTTTTACACCCCACTTTGGGGGACATTAGCTTCCTTCCACCAGCTTCCTACCACTCAGTATCTATCACCAGTTAGTTCCATGCAATGCATGTGTCCATCATTGTTTTGAGGCCCTAGCATCAGTCTATAGCTAGTGGCACTATCAGTATCTGTCTAGATCTGTGCTTTCCCTCTTATCAGTCTCAGTATCCATCTTCTACACTTGTGCACTGCTTGCACTACCTTCCCGCGCTTCGTGCACTTTCGCACTTCGCTTCCTGCGCGCGCCTGCAGCGCATTTCTCGCGCTTTCCACTGTCATTCACCAGGGTTGTTCAGCATCATTCCGTGGATCCTGGCTTTCCTTGCTTCCCCTTTAGGGTCGAATGTTCTTGCATTCTGCAAGTATAGCAGCTAGGCAGAGCTGAGACTCACTTATACTGGCTGAGCACTTTTCTTATATGTGCCTGCCAGGTTGTGATACCCACAACCGGAAGCCTACCGCGAGGGGAACAGTCAGCAAATCCATGCGCTTTTCAACCTTTAGGCCAACCGCAATTTCAACCTTTTCCGCAAATCCGTGCTTTTTCGCACTTTCTTGCATCTTTTCGCACTTAAACCGCAAATTCCTGCGCCATGTACGACCCAGTAGATTCATCTGGCATGCCCCTTCGAATAGCCGACTCAGCGCCGTGCTTTTGCAGGTGACTACACTCAACTCATCAACTTCCTGGAGTCAGTAGAACGACTCGCGCAACCGCTTGGTTTAACGGACAAAGAGATCATCAAGTATGCACTGAAGTATACAGCGCCTAAACAAAGTCAGCTTCTCTCATACTACGAAGGTGACAACTATGTAGAATTCGCTGATCATGTCTTGTATTTTTATCTAGAATGTGGTGTTGACCACTATACGCGCCCTATCTTTGAAAAACCAGCCACCATTGAAGCGCCCCTTGCAAGTGCACCTCCGCAACCAGAATGCGCTCAAGAGCAACACGAAGCCGAAGCCATTGCACCAATACCCGAAGTATGCGACCACCGCCCTCACCCCAGCAGTCCTAGAAGCGCCCTTTGACATTATCACCCCGCCATCAGTCCAATTTGAAGCGCACATCATAAGCACACCTCAAGAGTCTGCATCCGCTGAGGCGATCTCAACCTGGCTGGGCTGATATGAAATATCTAAAAATGCTCAACCAGTATAAGTGAGTCTTGGCTCTGCCTAGCTGCTATACTCGCAGAATGCAAGAACGTTCGACCCTAAGGGGACTGCTACTGAACACAGAACCAGATGAAAGAAAGACCCTTGAAGTGCGATGGATGCGCGAAAGCGCAAGAAGAAAAGCGAAGTGAGCGTGAAGCGCGAGAGAGCGCACTAAGGTAAGCGCGAGCGTGGGAACGTGAGCGCTAAGGCGCGCATTGTGCGGAAAATACCAGATAAGGGAGCAGATAAGGAAGCGGATGTGCAAAGCGAGTGCAAATGCAGAGCGAGTGTTATAACGAGCGCGGATAAAGGTCTAGTATAGGCGGATAACAATAACCATTGGAAACACAAAGTGCGCCCAAGTGGTGACTACTACTTTAAAGTAAAACCCAATAGCGAGGGAAGTACAGCAAAGGGGAGTAATAATGATGGAGTAGTAAGTCAGCAACTTTATACTATGGAAATCACATCGGAAGCGGAAGGGATAGGAGCAATAAGCGCTATGAATACGTAATGACATGTAATAACGCTGCAATGCTTGTTACAAACCACGAGGCAAGGCATATGACGTACCAATGAGGTGGATGGACATAGAGGGATGTTCCTGGATGATAGGCAATGCAGGGCAATGCAGGGCGCTTAAGTGCAATAAAGCGCGCAAGGTGCGCGTGTGGGAATGCTGCGCATTGTGCGGGAAAGTACCGCGCCTATGGCGCGTTTCGCGGGAAAGCTGCACGTTATGTGTAAAACGACTAGGGACATGATAGAAGTCGAATATAGCTGATGGTGCAAGTCGTGCATTGCAGGCCAATTGTCATGAGTTGTGAAAAGGTGCGAAATGTGCCTATATGTGCCTGCAGAAACACGAGTCTCTACACTGGTTCTTGCCCTTTGCGAGGCTTGACATTTGGCTGCATCCGGATAAGTCATCAACTGATGCAAAAAAATGATGCCTACCTTTCGCTTGGATTTGGAACCATTGGTAGGGCCCATATCATCGTCTTCATCGTCTTCTTCATCATCGTCTTCATCATCCCCTTCATCTTCCTCCGGGTCATATTCCTCCTTATCAGCAACCTTGACCTTCCTATTTGCAGATGGGGTCAGCCGAATATGGACCATAACGACCGGACGTCTTGATTTCCGGGACTGAGTACCATGGTCAGCCACATAAATCAATGAAAAAGAAAACTTACATCGACTTCCTGATCACCATCGACATCTTTCACAGCCATTTGCTCAACCGGTGACGGCGTCCTTGCCTTTGCCTTTGCCTTTGCCTTTGCCTTTGCCTTTGCCTTTGCCTTTGCCTTTGCCTTTGCCTTTGCCTTTGCCTTTGCCTTTGCCTTTGCCTTTGCCTTTGCCTTTGCCTTTGCCTTTGCCTTTGCCTTTGCCTTTGCCTTTGCCTTTGCCTTTGCCTTTGCATTTGCCTTTGCATTTGCATTTGCCTTTGCCTTTGCCTTTGCCTTTCCTTTTCCCTTCAGCCTCTCATTCCTGCTGCCAACAGCACCAGTGTCGGTGGTCGGTGTCAGTCAAGATTCACTTCAACTTGGGGACAGCCTTCCGGGCCCTCTTGACCGGACATGGGGGGCTGGCGCTGAATTGTCGCTTGCAAGGTTTTGATGGGCCTGCAATTGCACCTCCAGGGATGCTGATTGTGAGGCTGGAAGCTGGCAAAGTTGCAATTGGAGGGTGTGACTGGGTAGAAGCTGGTGCTGGTGCTGGTGCCTGGTACCTGGTTTTGGTGCTGGTGCTGGTGCCGGTGCTGGTGCCAGTTTTGGTGCTGATGCCCATGCTCGCACTCGAGCTCTTGCTGGTGGTGCCGGTGCTGGTGTGCTAGTGCCTGGTGCCTGGTCGAGGGACAGATAGAGATGGGCCAGCAGAAAGGGTGGCAACAGTGGGTGCAGGACCCAATGTCTTGGGATATAAGGGGTGACCCCAGCAAATGTCCTCATTGTTCCCAACACAACCCCAATCCGGTACTTGCACCAATTGCGCAGTACCCCTCTGAGCCCGATGAATCTCAGCTGCTATTGACAGCAGACGAGGGGGGATGTAGGTAGCTAGTGTCAGGTGAGAACGAACTGCATCATTCTTGGACAATATCAATACACACAATGCATGAAGGAGCATCAAACATACCAATTGAAAGGCAATAGTCCGGCTTAATCTCATTTCTCTTCTTCTGACTTGGACCAGAGAACCTGTTCCATTATCTCATTTAGCCTGTCAAGGAGACCAATGAGTGCCTTGTTGGCAGTGGCAGCAGCAGCAGAAGTAGCAGTGTTGGAAGACATGTTGGAAGAAAGACAATTGCGGTGGCAGGTGTTGAACAATAGATCCGGAAGGGAACAGCGAATACATGGGAAATTTGCAAATTACCGGATGTCCGGGTCGTTTCAGTGATTGCCGAATATGGTTTGTGTACCTATTCCAAATTAGAATGCATACAATGCATTCCACAGAAGCGGGAAAATGATTTCATTCTCAGAGATTACTCAGGATAATTTCCAATTGTCTAGTGAGGCTGAAGGAAAATAAAAACACTTCCTTTCCGGCAGGCACTCAACATTATCCGGCAGTGTGACACATTAGAGCTGGGATGCAAGCAGCCCATACCACAGCAGCCCTTGCATGAATTGCTCCAAATTGAAGATGCTGGAGCGGATAGACAACGACCGGCCATTGGACATGGGTTTCAACCGGATGCCAGGTCAACTGGGGCCAGAAGTGTTGGATATTGGATTCACATTGTTGGACAACACGCCTCTCCACATGGGTTTCCATTCACTTCCAGTACATGATGGGCATCCGGACCACAGGCCTTTGGACATGGGCTTTGGCACAAATGTTGTTCAGTCCGGTAAGCCCTATAATTGTGCTGAGTTTCACTGTTGAACATGGATTCAGTGGATATTCAGCCGGAAGATGGGCCTTTGGACATGGGATTCGAGATACACCATCTGGTATATGTTCATCAGGATCAGTCAAGTCAGTCTTCTCATTGTTTGGTGGTACTTTTTAAATTTATGAATTCAGTGGATATTCAACCGGATGATAGGCCTTTGGACATGGGATTCGAGATACACCATCCGGTACATGTTCATCCGGATCAGTCAAGTCAGTCTTCTCATTGTTTGGTGGTACTTTTAAATTTATGAATTCAGTGGATATTCAACTGGGTGATCGGCCTTTGGACATGGGCTTTGGGACTAATCCAGCATGTGATATTGCGCATCAACCAGGTATGTTTTGTAATTTCATTTCATTGTAGTATTGAATGTCAATTTAGTAGATATTCAACCGGAAGATGCGCCCTTGGACATGGGATTCAAGACATTCCATCCGGGACATGTTCATCCGGATCAATCATGTAGGTCTTATCATTCCAACAAATATCATATTATTAATCATTCAAACTTAGTCATGGTTGGTGAACCGGAACCCATCGGATTTGTTATTCAGCGTGCTTTAGGTGATTTGCACTTGGCAATAAACTGGTTGGAGATGGACATTGCTCGTGGTACAATGTCAGCGGAAGAAGCCGGTGTCAGCGAAGAAGTTCTTCTGTCCACTCATGAGTTATTATTGGCATTTCAACTGATATCAGTATACTGACTGTTGACATGATATATATACGGCCAATACTCTACCTCCTTGTATAGTACATCCAATGAATCCCAATGATTACACCCTTTGCATGTAATTCACTTTATAAGACACCTTTGCAGCTCTAGTTGACCGCTTTGGCTCTGGATTGTCGACTTCGGCTCCATGTCTTTGGTTTTCTTACCAGTGGCCTTTTGGTTTGGGTTCAGGCATCTGTTGACTCGTCTTCTTCCTCCAGATGGCTGATGTAGGACCGATTGGGCGACTTCCAGAGGCAATGTTTGAAGGCAGTGGGGTTGTAGAATGGTTGCTGGATAATTCTACTGAAGGAGTGTCAGTGTTGTCTTCCAGTGGTCTGTTGCGCCCTGATGACTGTTTGGTTTGGATTTTTTGACCGGTTGGCAGGAATCTTCCTCTGAATCAGATTGGACAGCTCTGCCCCACTTTCCGATTGATTTGGAACTTTGAAGGGGTAATTGAACTCCTTCATCACCTTCTGTCTTCATCACCATTCTCACCCCCACTGCTTGACTCCTGTTCAGCCCTTCTGGTCGGCTTCCCACATGACTTTCCAGTCAACTTTCTGGTTTCATCGCCTTCGTCTTCATCACCATCCTCACCCTCACTGCTAGATGACTTTCCGGTCGACTTTCCAGTTTCATCACCTTCGTCTTCATCACCATCCTCACCCTCACTGCCTGACTCCTGTTCCACCCTTCCAATCGACTTCCCAGATGACTTTCCGGTCGACTTCCTGGTCGACTTCCTGGTCAACTTCCTGGTCGACTTCCTAGATGACTTTCCGGTTGACTTCCCGGTTGGTCTTCTGGAGATCTTCTCCACCAGTTCTCTCACCTCCTTATCATGGTCTTGCCAGCCTTTGAATTCAAATGTTGGCTGAACCTTGTCCTTTTGTCTCTGATGCCGGAACTCTAAGAGCTGATTGGCTTCATGTAACTGAAGCTTTGACAGGTCCTTGATCTTCCTGCTGGTAGGCAAAAACTTGTGCTCGATAAAATCATCCTGAGCCTCCCTCACTGCAGATCAAGGAACAGACTGCCTTTGGCTTTGACTGCAAAACCCTGCAAAATACCTAGTTGCCTGATCAACTCTCTGGATATTTGATTTGTGAAACTTACTGTAGTGTTTTGTGAGGAATGTCCGGATAAGAGACTTTTTGTTCTCTGGGTTAAGGCACTCAATATCTGGTATGATCGGAAGTCCATAGGTATCCATCTCCAATGCGAATTCCTCCTTCCTTCTCCTTTGCTTCCTGCTCTCCTTTGCTTCCCCCTCCTCATTGCCATCCTCGTCATCATTCCGGTCGACTGCCGGTATCACGACGTGGTGTAAGTACTTGACTGTATCGATCAACATTGCACAAAAAGAAGCTCACCGAACTCTTCTCCAACATAGGCATTCCACTCCGATAACATGGGCTTCCAGTCCTTTGTATCTGTGAAACTGTTGCCCCCCAACGTTTCATTGAAGTCAATTCTTATGACCAGATCAAGCCATCTTCACCAGTTGAGAGCAGTGAAAATGAAACTCACCCATTGATCCTCACTTCGCCTTCCTCTGTTTGCCATGCGGACAATATGAATATCCTCATACCGGTGTGACAATCATACCAGCGCTAGGTGCGTATGAGTGTCATAGGCATATTTTGACTTGCCTAGAGGAAAAGAGTAAGGTGCTAGTCACCAGCACTATTCAGCTCCCAAGCTATCCGCTTTGGAACCACTTTTCTCCCATAGCGCGCTACCCCGTCCGATGCCTAGGAATTCCGCCCTCCCATGTCCTGCCTATGCCCACCTACCTCCTGCTGGTGCGTTATATTTCCTTAAATGTTGCTACTCATCAGTCGCAGGTCTTATTACATGTGTCCTCATGTTCCGCAGTGCTGCATGTTCTATTACCTGTCGCTACATCGTGCCCTCGCCAGTGTTCGCTACTATACTGCCTACGCAATCCTGAACCCCTACGCAGTATGATAAAATGACCCATCCTACATACAGTACAGTACTTCCCTTCCCTGGACCTTTGCTGGTGTCAGAGTCACTTTAGTTGCTATATCCTAGTTTTGGTGCAATCGATTCCGCTCTTGCCAATCTCTCTGATCGCGTGTCGCTTGACTTGCTTTGAGTGCGCGTCGCTAAAGTTCCCTCATAAGTCTGATTTTCGCAATGTCGGGATCACTATCGGTAGTCGAGCTATAATCTAGTCACTATTGGGCATTTAACCTGCACTATCTTACCTTATTCCTCGCTTTCTTTTCCTTTGATTTCTTCTCGCTATCGCTAGTCGGACGGCACGTAGCGCTATCACACAAAACAACTTGCACAGCGCTACTCACTTATATGCACGTTTCTCTGTCGGAACTCACTTGTCGCTAGTCGCTGATCGCTACAGCAGCTACTCATTGGTTTTTGGTCTTAGGTCGCTATAGGTTATCAGTCCTTCGCACTATCGCTACCCTTGCATATTTGAAGGGAGTTGCTTCAATAGCAGTCCTCTTGGGTTGAATACTACACTCACGCCTATTTGGATAAGTAGCGCTAAGTTCTAACCAGCCTAGTCGCTATTTCTCTTTCACACCAGCCTGCCTCCATAACTGAGTCGCAAGATCTTTCATCATAGCAGGAGCTTTCTTCTGAGCGAACTCAGCCTGGACGTCTGTAGGAGGAGCCTTTCTAGACCATCTCTATCGCAGTCTTCTTTGCTTCCTCCAGCTGCTCTTTCGGATAAACTGCCCATGATTGCATTGACCGCTCCCTGGTAGTTTTTAATCATTTCCTTCCCTCCTGGCCTTGCTCCAGTTTTGTCAAGGATTTCCTTCTCGTACTGGCTGCTCTATCATCAACATGGGCAGTCCATTTCTTACTGAAACTTGCTCTCTTTTTTGAGAGTCTTTCAGCTCTCCGGTTATATAACCAGTCCCAGTACATCTTCATACATCATGAGCATTTATACCAGTAGAAGATCAGCTGCTCACAGATTTCCTTCTCTTCAACAGCCGGGCATCCATCTTAGGGGCTTGCATCTTGGCCTCTTTTATGACCGTACTCAGAATTGCTTTTCTATCCTTACCAGTGACTTCCTTCCATTCCTCTAGGTGAGATTGTAAGACCAGCAGCTCTTCCTCAGTCAATTTCTGCTGGGTCTTTTGTGGGCTGTGTACTGATGAGTTGGATCGGGCCATTGCAAAGCAGTTGAGGTCTTGGTAGAAGAAAGGATACAGTATAAGGTTATATAGCCGATCACCACCACGTAGTACCTGACAGTAAACCGAACAAGAGTTGGTTTGCCAGCATGATCCTCTCAGGCTCAACATGCCCTGTGTTTCCGGTTCTTAGAATTTAGAACTGTAAAACATACAACTTGGACCAAGTTCATCATATAGTATATGGGCAGTTTATGGTAATACTCTCAAATATGGCACACAGCATAGGGAGACACATTGATATCGGAAGAAATCCATGCAAATTGGGACAATGGCAGGATTACCACGTGTTTGATTGACCGACTCAGAAATGATGCAACTTATGGCAATCTTTAACAATTGTATCAATCATGGCAAAGACTAAACAAAAGGGAGTCACATACACTCCTCCAATGAAGACACGATTGCCTCAGCTATATAGACTTGAGGAGAAAACTACTGCCAGAGGATCCAGGTCATCTTGGGTGAAAGATTCATGGTTTTCAAAAACAAAGTCGGTCACATCATCACCAACAAAATCTCCCTCAAAGCAAACAGCCCGGTTCTCTCAGATGCTCCATGAGGGCACTGACTTTGACTTTGACCAAGGTGACATTCCTCAGCCTAAATTACCGAAATCTCTGGCAAGCAGCAGTCATTCTGATTTCTGCAGTCTGCATCTGACTAGATCATGCAGGGTCAGAATGAATATCTCCGGCAATGGAAGCACAAATTCAAGGACTACATAAATTTACTGATGGTCAGAGAAGCCCCTCCTCTGGACCGGCTGTGTGCAGTCTGCAAGAAGGATGGGGTTTATAAATGCCATGGCTGTTTCAACGAGCCCCTGTTTTGTACAGACTGCTGCAGAACCCAGCATCAAAGACATCCATTCCATCGCATCAGTCAATGGACCGGGTCATTTTTTCAAGAAACTTCACTCAGTAAAGTCGGCCTGCACATTCATCTTGCTCATGATGGCACTCCATGTCCCAGCAGCACTGAATACACATCAGACCTCTTTGAATGGTCAGATACCTGATGAAAATATTGACTATGATGATTATCCGGAGGGAGCTTCCATTCCACTTGTCACAGACTCAGATCATCCGGCTATAACCATTGTGGACAAATCTGGTGTTCACTCCCTATCCATATGGTATTGCCACTGCCCCGGTGCTCTCAACCAGGATATGCAGCTCTTTCAAGCAGGCTTGCTTCCGGCATATTTCACCAGACCAAAAACTGCATTTACATTCTCTGTCTTGGACGACTTTCTGCTAGACAACCTTGAGTGTGGTACATCAGCCATGAATTACTACAGTAAGATCCGGAGGCTAACCTCAAGCATCTTTCCATTGATGGTTCCAGTAAGTCAGTTTTCATTTTCTGTACTCGATCATCCGGTCATTAAACAATAATATTTGCAGGATCGCTACAGGGAGCTCATGAGAACTGCCAGGCAGTGGTGTCAATGCAAGCTTTACAAGTGGCATGGGTTTGCCCACAAAGACAATGAGCCAATGGCTGGTGATCTCGCCCTATTTTGTCCTGCATGTCCTCAACCGGGGATAAACTTGGACCTGTCAACCGGTACAACCACTCAGCCCGACGACACACCTTCCTGGCTCTTCACCAGGACTTGAGTCATGGATGGTAATTTTAAAGCCAAGCACCTTCATCCGGTGAATCCATCCGATGAAGTACCCTTGATGGATGGTCTTGCATTTATGGTTGGAGATGAAAGATACAAGAGTCATTTGTCTATTGCCCAAGACCGTGTCCAAAAGTCAGATTGCAACAATCACCACGCAGTCAATCAAGCAAATGCCTCCCGGCAAAAGCTGGAGGCCACTGGTATAGGAGGATGTGCATGTGCACGGCATGGATGTTTTGTCCCACATTCCATGGTGGATTTTCAGAAGGGTGAAAGGTGAATATGTATTGCATCTAGTTACATGCATTCCTGGTCTCACTGATCTCACCCAAAATAATCAGGCAGATGAACATGAACTACGCCTTGAGTCAAGCACTCAACTACAATACCAATGGAATCTCTCAGCGCGATAACATTCTATGACATAAATTGTCAGTATAATAAGTTTTTCAAGGACTGGATCGCATCCAGCATGTATATTTCCATCCCCTTTGGCATGGATATCATTCCTGGAATAGGTTTAGTGGCATGTACATGGCCATCAGGACAGCTGCTATGTCCGGTATGCATCAAATTTCATTCATGGGACCGGCAGGATAGATGGAGAAATCATGGAAACACTCTGGGCATCTTTGAACATAATCTCTCCATCAGCCAGGGGCATGGGAACTCCACATCGCAAGGAGGTATTGGATTATCAGATGAATGATTGCAACTTTATAAAAATGATTCGCATAAGTGAGTTGCCAACCTCCGGATGTACAGATATCTTCCGGTCTCATATAATTCATTCCCGGCTCACTTGCCCTGCAGCCAAGTTTCTCTGCAGAAAGTTCAAGGAGGCTGCCAGGGGTGCTGCAGAGAGCAAACTCTCATTCCAAAATATTAATGAGATGGCTCACCCTGACATGGTCATTCTTTGGGAGGCAGAGGAGGCACTTGCTCAGGCAAACAGACTGGAGGATCCAGCAGCCATGGACATTTATGAGGTCAGGTTGGAAAAGGGCAAGTGTCAAATTCTACTACTACTCATCCGGGCCTGATCACATTCTGATTATTATTTGGATGCCATGATGTACAGCTCCAACTAGAAAGCAGCAGGAGTTGCACCTGCTGCAGGCTCAAAATCATCCTGATCATTTAGTGACCGGTTCCCTCAGTCAACGAGAAGCTGCCACTTGGCTTGCAACCGGTCTCACCATAGAAGAATCCCAAGTCTCTCTCTCTAGAGATGTGAAAAGGCTCGGCAGGCATCCAACCGACAGTCAATTACTGAGAGTAGCCCGACTCAGGGACAAGCTACAAACTCGCATTACAGGCTTTCTCGAGATGGCACCTACTTATCTTGGATTTGAAGTCGATGCCGATGAACCGGATTCTCCGGTAGACAGGGTTCACAATTCACTTGATGAAGATTATTCTGATCTCGATGATCGTGATCACAATCCGGATCCGGAAATACATCATGCCTCCATATTTCAACCAGAGCTTACCATCATACCTTTGCCTTCTAACCTTGGTATGGTCAGATGCAAGGAATTGGGTCTAACTGATCTCATGAAAGAAGAAACTGCCCTCCATGAAGGCCAGGCCAATGATGCACTCCATGCAATTAGAGTTCATTTGGGAGATAAAGCCATTATATTCCGGAATACTGTCCGGTCAGCTAAGTCACAGGCCTCCTCCACCAGGGCATGGACCCAAGTTCGCTCAGTGGAAAAAGCAGTAAATCTCAATGCCAGGATATATTCAAAGTGCCGGTTGCAGCTAGTCAAACTCCCGGATCACGACCTCTTGAAGAAATATCTTCCGCTAAAGAAAGAACACCTGAAAGCAAGTGCTGCAGTGGCAGATCCAAATGCACGTGGCCAGAGGGACGCTACTCTCGCATGGTTCTGGTGCATGGATGTTCAGGGAGATACATCCGGAAATGACTGGATGACAGAATGTGAGTATCCACCACATCCGGTGATATCAGGTTGTCCAGTCTCACATTCCCTGAAAATAGTTTACCGGGTGAATTGGCTCCGGACAAAGGCACTTTGTGATCGTTGGAATGAAGAGGTCATTCTTGTCAAGCATGAAATGCAGTGGTCCATCAATTTCTTCAACCACAAGGCCAAGCAATGGCTTGGTCACAAGGACAATGCTGTGTCCACTGGGCTGACCGGACATGCATGTTATGCTGCCAGACAATCTCAAATATATCATCAACTAGCTGCACATGCAGCGGATTCTTTTCGGAAAATCATTCTGGTAACTCAGCTGGAAGGACCGGTTGTCAGACAGTTAATAGTACCAGTTGAATAGTTCCCAGGTTGGCCAATGTATAATTATATCAGACATGTGCAAACAATCCCACTTTGTACTACTACAACAACATCCTCATTCACTCTCCATGAACAACACTGGAAAACTGGTTCCCTCTGACCAAGTCATCATCGCCTACTCGGATAGTCAGATCACCGCTGGAGAGATTTCTCGCGCTTTATTCTATGCCAATTCTCGCTTGTTGGCCATGCGCCTGTCTGTTGACAAGAGTTGTGCCACCGGCACACCTGGATATGCAGAAAAATTTCACACACTCATGAAACGGGAAATGGAGGTAAGCACCTGGTCATCCGGTCATCTGGTCATCCGGCCATCCGGCCATCCGGCCATCCGGCCATCCAGTCATCCTGATATTCCTTGTACTCAAATATTGTCAAAGCATTGAGCATCTCTGTGGATCGTAACATGTCAGATGAATATGATATTGCTCATATGCCAGACTACTTCAATGCCTGGTGGCAGGAAAACCTTGGCTCTTGCAGGGTGTCAGACATATTGCCAAAGTCATCGGTTCAAGATGTGATGGAGTTGGTTGAGGGCCATTTTTCAGAACTTGTGAGTCGTCGAGATCTTGACAGCCCCCACCAGATCCTCACTAAATCTGACATCCAATATCATAATAGCCTGATCATGTGGAAACTGGCCTGCTTCCATATATGCTTGAGTGTGGCCCAGTTCATTTACCGGAGACAATCGGATCGGCATCTCTTGCGCAGTGCCGTCAGATGACAATTGGTAGAGAGCTGTTGGAAATATTGCAGGGAAGGATGACGAACCTCATACGTTCAAGTGATAGGTTGGCCGGATTAATTGGGCCAGTTGATGAAATCACACGGGCTGTGGTGTCTTCACAGTCACTCATGGACTGGTTGAATACAGAAGACAGTGCATCTGCAGTGCGGTCAAGCACAATTTGATGTCTGCATACATGCAGCATATATGTCATACAGCGTATTATATTCAACTGCAATGTAAATGGGTGGTGATTTCTGCAGATGAAATCTGGTCATGTGAATGTGACATTAATTCCGGCTCATCCTTATCTGGTCAGGGATTGATCAGACCAGTGCCCTTTTCTGTCCTCATATTTGAACCACTCATTTATTTCCCCGACACATGACAACAATCCCACAAGACTGGGCATTATACCAGACTCACCTTGCCAGTGAATTGGTTTATGACACCTTCATGTCCAAAATTCATCGACAACAGCCAAAGCAAATGGGCATTGGACTCTTGGACATCGACACCTGTATTGCTTTGGAGAACCTTGCCAATGTCCTGGCCATTGCTTACTGTAATACTGGTATGTATCCGGGTATATATATCATTTCTGGTTGAGTGGCTTGCTGGCAGTGCATCTTAAAATTGACATGGTCAGATACAATGAATCCCTGGCCAAAGATGAATCCGGTCAAAGTGAGAAACAAGAGCAAACTCTTTTGGATAAATTCCCTCCTGAAGAACAGCTTGTCTTAACAACACCAAGTGTCATAATTGATTCCGGAGGCAGAATTATTGTCTGGTATTTGCCTGGTGCAATGACCGGTATGATAATGGTCTGTCTTTAATCGGCATCTCTTTCTTATGTCATCTCATCTGGATGAATATGACAAATTCATAGACTGATATGCATTGTGCCACAAATTCCATGGGCAATTTGTTGGATAGTAGCATCACAACCGGCAAGCCCACTGAATGGAGGACCCACAAGTCCAATTTCTATCCGAGTCTGGATGGGAAGATCACAACCGGTTGTATCAATATATCGCCAGCATGGTTTCAGCAAGGAAGAGAGGTATGTCCGGTTCATATGAATTGAGGTTGCCAGTCTGAAGTATTGTAGAAACATGGTTTCCCAAATCTTGATCCGGAAGATGGCTTCTCACCGGATGTATCGGCCACATTGAAAGGTGATGTTGGTCGTAATATCATGACCTCCCTTCAAAGGTCAGGTATCCTTGTCTCCACTGCACTTCAGGTCATGCACCCAAATCTTTATCAGGCTGGAATCAAAACCCAAGTCAGGTTGGGTGAATGGGCGACCCGACATCGGTTACATGATATGACCTATCATCTAAAACATTGGACATCTGTCTTCAATGTGGTGTCGGTCATTTGCAACCGCCGGTCACCACCTCATAGGGATCCGAAATGTCGACCGGAGGCATTTGATATCATGACAACTGCAGGTATTTATCACTCGGTCATAATGGATTTCATGAATCTTGGAATCAAGTTTCTATATGGCTCCGGGTCAATGTTGGCTTCATCATGTCGCTTTGTGAGACATCACATGCACATGGAAGAGGGAAACCGGATTGTCACTGCATGGTACATGCGAGATAGCATCCATAATTTTGTCGGAACTCCGAGGACAGACTATGCAAAATATGGCAATGTTCAATGCACTGACCCGGTTGAGACGACACATGTTTAGACAAGTGATTATACATGCAAGCATTCCTATACATATTTCGGATGTGAATTTTATTTAGATGGTCTGGTGAATCACAAATATTTCAGTGTCCTTCTGGGGGAGACCACCCATTGAGATCTACTGAATTGATGCATTACAGGTGTTGGTGTTGATCCAGACTAATGCTTCCAAAACCATCGTCACTATGCACTATTATACTTTTGCAGCGATACACACAATTGGTTGTACCGGAAGGTGTGCTAGATGTACCAGTTTTCACATCCCAGTTCTACCAGTCTAAAGTGATGTATCACAATGGTTCCCATACACATGATAAGTTGCCCTGGATGGTGTATCCCGGATGTACTGGTCGCTATATCCAACATCTATCTATGTGCCGGAGTCCAGAAAATGAGTATACACATATGGCTGGCAAATTTTATTTTGGTCTACTCCAATCGGTATTCACTTGCCTGGTGCTTTTGGCAAAAGTGTTTTCCTGGTGTCAGTTGAATCTCAAATAATTTGCACAACCAGATCACCCTGGACCTGGGTCAATAAGTAGCATAATCCCAGAAATAGACGAAAAAATGTATCCCAGTCTACCTGAACTGGAGGCAGCAACCAGTCATTATTTTGTCATGAAGTGATGCAATCTGATAGACATACAGGATGGTGGATGTACTGGACAATAGGCCCATAAGATGATCGATGTACCAGATCATGGATTTACCTGATGCTGTATGTACCGGCTGATAGGCTTGTGAGATCATTGATGCACCTGGTGATGTACCTACCAGATGATGAAATTTGACTAGATCTCCTGCCCTCAGCCCATCCGTTCCCCTTGGGTACACAATCACTCGGCCCACTCGTCTCAGTTGTAAGCCGGATTCACCATTCATAATGTCCTATATACCAACATTCCTATACCACTGTCTATACTATATACCCTCGGCCCATCTGTTCCCCTCGGGTACACAATCACTCGGCCCACTTGTCTATACTATATACCCTCGGCCCATCTGTTTGCCTCGGGTACACATTCACTCAGCCCATCCGTTTGCCTTGGGTACACATCCGTCCGGCCCACTCGTCTTCATTGTACACCAGATTCATCATTCAAAATGTCCTATATACTAGTACATTCCTATACTACTGTCTATATTATATACCTCTGGCCCATCCATGTGTCTCGGGTACACACATTCACTCGGCCCACTCATATATCGTGGTACAATTATTTACATGGGCCCACATGGGATGGCCCGTCCCCATTGGTACATTGTCACGCTTGGCTACCCGTATGAGATGGATATATGTTACTGCATTATGTGCACTAGTACGAAGCTTGATGGGGTCGTAGCGGTCTGTATCGCAGATAGGACAATTTGTGAGTTCAGCAAAGGGACCCGTGAATGTGACGCAGGTGTCCGGACACATATCGTGCTCAATTGACTTGACTCCAGTGAACTCTGCAATAAGTCGTTCAATATTATGATAACTAGGTACATTGGCTGCGTCGCCTTCAAAGGATCACATAGCGGAGCATCAGATAGTCTCGTATGCATTAATTGCAGAGTGTTCTAATGCAAAGTATGATGTAATCCCATGCCGAACAGCACTGCTGTTGATTTCAAGACGTGTCTGGTATGGATTCCGCAATTGGCTCAATGCAGCATCATCCAATTTTGCAACTCCATCATCCAAAGACGCCCCTCGTAATAGCTTTATGAAGGTTATGGCATCTTTCTGCTTCGGCAGAATAGCAGCCTCCTCAAGCCTATCTATGTCAAAGACAGGGTGGAGGGGCTCATTGGGTGGTATGTGGGACTCATCAGGTGGTATGTGGGGCTCGTCAGGTGGAGGTGCATCTGGTGGGGGTGTGTTGGGTGGTGGTGTGTCGGGCTTGACAGGTGGTATGTGGGGCTCATTGGGTGGTGGTGCATCTGGTGGGGGTGTGTTGGGCGGAAGCTCATAAGGGTCCCCAACCTCATGATCATGATCAACTCCACCAGGAGGATCGTATTCAAGTTGCAGCTCGACTTGCCTGTTGAGCTGCTGTGGAGGGTATGAAGGACCCTGTTTGAGGTCTGACCCTTTTCAGGCTGCATACAAAGTCAGTTAGTAATTTATTGAATAGTCACAAAAATGAGATGTACTTGGGCTTGTGCGCAAGCACATTTTCCCCATCCAACCCGAGAACCCTCTGCTTCACCGGTCCCTCGTTTGATAAGAAATCGTTGAGCTTGAAGCCAGCGTGTGGACTGGGGAAGGGGTTGTGTATCTGATTTGCTGTGAAGAAGGTTAGAAATACAGTCAGAGACTTGGTCGAAAAAAATTGAACATACTCTAGCATTTGTATGATGTCAATACGACACACCAACAGAAGTGCACACGCAGTGCAAGGAATTACAATGAGAACAATGCGAACAATGTGAGAACAATGTGAGAACAATGCAAAAAAATGCAAACAATGCAAAAACAATGCAAACAATACGAGAACAATGCAATGTACAGTGATAATGATGTGATGCAACGCGTCTTGATCGGAAATCTCAGAGCTCCTCATTTTTCATATTATGTAATTACAGGATTATCATATCTTGCCCAACCTGATCATGTTGGGTTTTCACTGGGTCTCAGTCTCGGAAGTCGAAGACCGAGGTGTGAAGCTAAAGAAAATACTTCTGATGTGCACGCAACATATTATGTAAGCAAGCGCTGCTTGTTGAAGCTAAGTCCGATTAATGTTATCACTTATCTATAACCTTTCAACATGCCCACTCAATGAGTCAACAGTGGTATTCAAAGTTAAAACCGATATGGAACAGACAACACTTGGAAACTTGGACGACACCATTAAAACTCCGAATTATAACTCCATCTTGCTTACACATCACTGTACTATGCTGATAAGATCAGCCCACTACTTATGCCTCGCATATCACTTCAAAAACAACAACTATGAGCCCTAAAAAATGCACACGATGACCTTGTATTAGCCCGCTATGTAGAGCTTGTGCAGCACGCACTTGATGAGCTCCTTGAAGAACCAGACTCCGAAGATGACAGTTACAGTACTTCCTCCAATGACAGCAGTGGATCTGAATCCATCGGCATGTCAGTTTGTTCAGAGTCATTGGATGAATCTTTAGACTCCCTGATGACCGGTGTCATGCATGGTATGCAACTCATACCATGACAGATACACAAGAGGTGTGATGAGGAAGGTATAATAGACCCTACTGTATCCTATCACCAAGTTACCCCATCATTTTCCCCTTAGTTATTAGCTAGTATTTTCACTTTCAAACTTCACTTCCATTTTTCCATGTATTTCTATTTTGTTCTATGACATTCCATCTCTTTCTATTTTCCTCAGGCATATTCAGCCAACAGACTTTCTTTTCAGCCACCAAGCATGTTTGTAAGCATGTCATGTGACTGGTAGATATCATGATTTGTAAAGATTGAGCTTGACTCATCATGTTTTGTCATGATTCGTCATGCTTTGTAAGATTTCTAACTCCATTCTCACATAATATAATAAGTTTTTCCCCTTCCATTCTTTGCCCAAACCGTGTGGGAACGTAGTAATTTGAAGTCAGGAGTTTTCCCACTTTCTGTCTCAACACTGTGAGATCATGAAGAAAGTGAAGGCCTACAAGTTGCCTTTGAAAACAATCATATTCACTAGTCTAGATTGATTGTATACTATCTTACAGGGATTGCCTATACAATAATCTATTGTTTTATCCATCGTTTACGTATTCGTGCCACATTCAGTTCAGAGAGGTTCATATTACCTACTAGGTTTAAGTTAACCTGACAAAATATATATACTCCTTTACTATCAAGAAGTGATCTAGCAAAGAAGTAATTTATTACCCTTTGGCCACCCACGAACACCACGTTATCAACCGAGAAGTAGAAAATCCATTGACCATGAACTTGAGGAGCTGGCACCTTAGTCTTAAAGAATACAATTGTGATAGTCATTGTATTCTGTTTAACATATAAGACCCTCAAGTAAGAAGACACCATGGACACGGGTACGGGTATGGAAGATGGGGAGAACGAGACCATCGAGACAGGGATACTGAGACCGTCGAGATAGAGAGAATGAGACCAATGAGACCAGGAGAATGAGACGAGATGGAGAGAACAAGAACGACAAGACGGGGAGAACAAGAACAATGAGACGGGGATAATGAGACTATCAAGATGGGGATAATGAGACCATCGAGACGGGGATAATGAGACCATTGAGACAGGGAGAACAAGACCATTGAGACAGGGAGAATGAGACGAGATGGGGAGAACAAGAACAACGAGACGGGAGGAACAAGAATGATGAGACTGTTGAGACCGTCGAGATGGAGAGAACAAGACCGATGAGACGGGGAGAATGAGACTGTTACAATCAAGTACACCCCTATTCATTTTCTATTCTTACCTTGTATTACGTCATGCTCGCTATCATGCCGTCGCTAGACTTCTCTTATCACCAGTTGTATTACACCACGATCGCGTCATGCCGTCGCTAGGTGATCTATTCTTGTTATCTCTGACTCGCTCTTATCTCTGACTCGCTCTTATCTCTGACTCGCTCTTATCTCTGACTCATTCTGACTTCGTCATACCGGCCCTAAAGCAGTTACCTTTCGCTATATAAACTTGCTTTGTACTATGTAGTTCTTTACTTTAATCTTACTAGGTTTTACCTGGAACTTCCTTCGCTTAAGACCTCCAATCTTAAGTCGTCTGAAACTCGATTCAAGCCAAGGACACTCTCCTTGTCTTGTCTTAGTGAACCATTGAACTTCGGTATACGCCGAAGCTTTGAACCGACCTTGGCCGATTACTCTTATCGAGTAGCCATACGTCAGAACCATCCTAGTTCGTAACAAAAGATTAAAGTCTTCCACGAATACATCGCCATCACGCGCTGTAACCCAGAAAGAACAAACCCTGGTCATCATGACAGATAGAACTCCAGGTCCCTCGAAGCTGAAACAAGCTGACGTCATTAACACCAATCTTTGGCGCTTTGAACCTAGGTGCTGTACCACCCATACCACCTTTGAACCCCCCAATGTCTTCCTCCAAACCCATTGAAATCAAGATCGGATCTCCCCCAGTCTTTGACGGGGATAGAGATAAATCCGAAGGATTCCTAATGTCGTGCATGTCTTACCTCAATATCAACGAGAAGATCTATGTCGATGACAAACAGAAAATCATTTTCGTGACCTCCTTCATGAACGAAGGGAACGCGTGCTACTGGAAGGAAGATTTCCTCAGACAAGCGCAGGATCCCAACAACAAGACTACCGTAGGCCTCGTCAAAGGATACGGCACATGGATTGAATTCCTTGCCAATTTCAAAAGCACATTTAGACCACTTGACCCCTCAGGAACCGCGTTAGCCAAGCTTCGCAATTTGAAACAAGAGACTGAACTCCAAGATTATATCTCGGAATTCCTGATGCTCACGCGGAGGGCAGGAATCCAAGGTGATGTCGTGAAGAAGCAATTCTTCTTAGACGGATTACATCCAGGACTGCTCGCTCGTCTCTATGGCACGGGTGACATCTCTGACAACTTCGAAGTTGTCCTCACCACCTGCATTAATCTCGACAACTCACGCCTTCACTTGAACGCCATCAGGGCGCGCCACCAACCCCAGAAGAAGAAGAACTTCGGATCTAACCGATACGTACCATCTAAAGATCCCAATGCCATGGTGATTGATCGGCTTTCTGAAGAAGAACGCGCTGAACATTTCCGGACTGGAAAATGTTTCACCTGTCACAAGACCGGACATCTTTTCAAAAACTGTCCTGAGAAGAAGAAAGGGAAGACCCCGATACGCCGCAAAGAAGTAGAGAGCAGCGATGAAGAAGAAGAAGAAGCAGAAGTCCGTCATCTCAACGAGGATTTTTGATATGGGAGACTGGATCAACGTCAGTATCTCTCAATGTACCCATAAGACTTGTACGAAAAGTTGGTGAACGAAAAGAACTTCGGGTTCCCATTTCCCTAATTTCGAAAACATGTCTAAAAACCATTGAAACCACCGCAGTAATCGACTCCGGAGCAGCCGGAACCTTTATCTCAGAAGACTTCGTCAAGAAGCACAAGATCCAAACCCACGCCCTCAGTAAACCCTTCAAAGTTACTACTGCCGATGGAAGCTATTCCAAAAGCGGAGCCATACGCCGATACTGCGTCCTCACTATCAAGATTGACGAACGAACCATGATTGGAAAGTTCAACGTCACACGCCTAGGTAGAAGAGACCAAATCCTCCTTGGAATTCCTTGGCTACGGGCTATGAACCCAGTTATTGACTGGGCAGCCAAAACCTTAGTCCTCCCTCGAACGGAGAAGAGTAATCAAGTTGAAGAAGAAGTTGACAAAGAAAGGAAGAAGAACGACCTTCCACTTCTATTTCGACGAGAACCCATCGACCGGACCTGGAAGCAATCCAAACTTAGGAAAACACCAGTTATCGAAACCCCTGTTGTTTATCCGAAAGCGACCATCGAAGAAATCATTGACGAAGAAGTACCACCCGTCTTTCCCATCCCTGACTCACTCCCCGATCTACTCCCCATCCCTGATGAAGACGATGAAACCTTTGATACCAAGGAAGACGTCTGGACACAAGAGAACTTTGCTGCACCAGTGCGAGAAGTCTCTATGTACAATCTAGATGATGACGAATTCCTGGTAGAATATTCCCTTGACGCATCTGAACTCCGGGTAATTTCAAACACTACCATGGATACACCATTAACCCCAGATGGAACCAGTCGCTCGGAACAGAAACCCACGGTTAAGCCCCTGCCACGGCCCACAGAATACGCGAAAGTTAGTAACAAAGCTCAGCAGTTCGCTCTAGCTGCGGGCTTAGAACAAAAGAAGAAAACTTTCGAAGAACTCGTACCCTCCTATCTACATGATTTCACCAACATCTTCGCCAAAGACGGTCTTAACCAACTACCTCCCGAACGACCCGGTATTGACCACCGTATTGAAACGAAACCCAGATTCATTCCCAAGACATCGAAGATCTACCCTCTCTCCATTGCTGAACGAACCACAGTCAAAGCATTCATTGATGAAAACGTGAAGAAAGGTTTTATTTTGGAATCTAAATCGCCACAAGCCAGCGGATTCTTCTTTGTAGGAAAGAAAAGCGGAGACCTCCGACCCTGTCAAGATTATCGGTACATCAATGATTGGACGATCAAGAATGCTTATCCATTGCCACTTCCCTTATCTCTTGTTGCACGGTTGCACAGAGCAAAGTATTTTACCAAGATGGATGTCCGATCCAGTTATAACAATATCTGCATTCACCCTGATGATAGATGGAAAGCAGCATTCACCACGGAATTCGTACTCTATGAGCCGAATGTCATGTTCTTCAGACTCTGCAATTCCCCAGCCACATTCCAAGCCTACATGAATCGCACATTCCAATAAGAAATTAATGAAGGATGGCTGGTAATCTACATGGATGATATCCTCATCTTTTCGGATAACCTAGAAGAACACCACGCTCGTACCCGTCGTATTCTGACGAAGATTCGCGAAGAACGACTCTTCCTGAAACTGTTACAGTCAAGTACGCCCCTATTCATTTTCCCTTTCTTGCACCATTGTATTACATCACGATCGCATCTTGCCGTCGCTAGATGATCTATTTTTGTTATCTCTGACTCCGCCTTATCTCTGACTCGTCTTATCTCTGACTCGTCTTATCTCTGACTCATCCTTATGACTTCATCATACCGGCCCTAAAGCTGTTACCGTTTCCTATATAAACCCACTTTGTACTAAGTAGTTCTTTACTTTAATCTTACTAGGTTTTACCTGGAACTTCCTTCACTTAAAACCTCCAATCTTAAGTCATATTGAACGTGATTCAAGTCGAGGACACTCTCCTTGTCTTGTCTTAGTGAACCATTGAACTTCGGTATATGCCGAAGCCCTGAAACGACCTTGGCCGATTACTCTTATCGAGTAGCCATACGTCTGAACCATCCTAGTTCATAACAGAAACCGGAGAAATGTACCTTTGATGCGCAAGAGGTTGAATATCTCGGTATGATTATTCGCCCAGGATGCGTAGCTATGGATACTGCTAAAACCGATGGAATTCGCGATTGGCCAACCCCGTCCACCGTTAAAGAAACCAGATCATTCCTCGGATTCTGTAACTTCTACCAAAACTTCATCCCTCATTATTCTGATATCGCATGACCCCTTATCGATCTCACAAAGAAAGATAACATCTTTCTTTGGTCCTCACCCTGTCAAGACGCATTTACGACACTTAAAGAGTGTTTTCTTAAACAACCAGTCCTCTGCAACCCTGATCCATCACGACAGTTTGCAGTTGCTACCGATGCATCTCTTGTTGCAACCGGTGCTGTTCTATTACAAACTGATGAAAACGGCGTATATCACCCATGCGGGTATCTCTCTCAATCTTTGAACCCTGCAGAACGTAACTACCAGATCTTCGATCAGGAACTCCTCGCCGTTATTCGCGCGCTCCAAGAATGGCGTCACTATCTAGAAGGAAATGCACACCCAGTAATAGTATTCACCGATCATAAAAACCTCCTCTATTTTCGTACGGCACAGAAGTTAACCCATCGTCAAGCTAGATGGCAACTTCTTCTTTCTTGCTATGATATCAAACTCCACCACGTACCAAGAACCAAACTCGCCGCACCAGATGCCTTATCTCGACGACCTGATCATGCGCCGGATACTGTTGATAATGAAGATATAATGCTCCTCCCTGATTCCATGTTTGTCCACCTTCTCAATCAAGAACTCATGACCACCCTTGCAAACCCTGATCCTGATGACACCGACCCCATCTTCCAGGCCGCCTCTGATGCTTTGAACGGCCTTTGTCTCCCTCCTATGAAATCGGCTCTTTCTGACTGGACGATTAAGGATGACGTCTTATTCTATAAAGACCGCGCCTACGTCCGACCAGCAGGACGTCATTCTATTTTAGAACGCACCCATGATCATGCCACTGCGGGACATCCCGGTCGCTTTAAAACCGAAGAACTGGTTAAACGCGACTTTTGGTGGCTGTTGATGGGAACTTATATCCGAAAATACGTGGAGGGTTGCGCCCTTTGTCAGCAAATGAAATCCGATACTCATCCTACTACCCCCCCCACTCGTCCCCATCCCATCCTCTGTATCTACCCCTTTTGCCCAGGTATCCGTCAACCTCATCACCGATTTGCCGCCGTGCAACAGCTTTGATTCTATCATGGTCATGGTAGACCATGGACTTACGAAGGGGGTAATTCTCATCCCTTGTATGAAAACCATCACCTCTGAAGGCGTAGCAAAGAAGTTTTTCAAATACGTCTACCGCCACTTTGGACTCCATGAGAAAGTAATCTCAGATCGAGGGCCCCAATTCGTATCCAAATTCTCTAAAGCCCTTGCTATGCTCTTGAAATATGACATCGCCGCCTCCACCACTTATCATCCACAGAAGGACGGCCAAACTGAACGTCTGAATCAAGAACTAGAAACCTATCTCCGAATCTATTGCCGCAATAACCCAGAAGAATGGGTTGAACATATCCCCATGTCCGAATTCGTCCACAACCACCGCAAACATGACTCTCGCAACACATCCCCATTCTTCCTTATGATGGGATACGAGCCACGGGCTCTTCCTCATGTACTCCCAGATTCTACCGTACCAGCCGCAGAAGAACGGCTCCGCCTTCTTCAGAAGATACGCGAAGAAGCTATCTCTTGTCATAACCTCGCAATGCAGCGAATGGCCGCATGATCATACAGAAAGAAGTATCAACCATGGAAAATTGGTGACAAGGTTTGGTTATCAGGAAAGAACCTTATCATGCAGTTACCATCGCGAAAACTCGCCCCAAAACGATACGGCCCCTTTACCATCACTGCAGTTTTATCACCAATCACATTCACACTCCAGTTACCCAAGCAATGGAAGGTTCACCCCCACATTCCATGCTTCCAAGCTATCATCCTATCACGAAACCAAAATCCACGGTCCTAACTTCCCTGATCCCCCACCCGATATCATTGATAATGAAGAAGAATACGAAGTCGAAGCAATCTTATCACACAAAGGTACAGGAAAACGAAGACACTATCTCATATCCTGGAAAGGATATTCTTCCGCCAGCAACGAATGGATCCCTACGGAAAACCTCGGCAATGCCTTTGCAATCCTCGCTGCTTATAAGAAAGCTCACCAGTTATAAGAATCGTTACGAAAAGATGTCTTTCTCAGAACTTCGCACTCTTCACATCTGTCTCCTACAACTCCAAACTATTGCCAACACTATTGATAATATGTCCGCAAGCCTTACCACTTCCCCATCCACAATGTCCGTTACATTGACCAAAACCATTAAATCCCCAAACTACTTCACCATTCTTGATGACATCGAGGCCAACACGTTATTTGAATCCGCTCTCCTTTCTGAACAATACGCTATCGAGATAGATCGCCTCCTCGCTGAACAAGGAGCCCTCTCTAGCACACTTCTCATTAATATTATCTGCGCCACCAATCTCGTTAAACACACCGCAGGACTTCTTAATGATGAACGTCTTGAAACCATCTTCCGTCACCTTCATATACGCATTCGCAACACTGCAATACGTCTTATGCCTTCCTCTACCAAAGTGGTTGTTAGAGAGGCCATCCATATCGTCACTGAATGAATTGCAACAAACCCAATCGCTAGACCACCATCCCCACATGTCGCAATTCCCGTTCCACCTCCGGTTGAGATACCAACTCCCGTTGAGCATACGTCTAATGATATCACTCCTCCTACTGTACCGATCATATCAGCTACTCCTACGCTTGCCCCGTCGGCAACAACCCCTCGTATATGTCCCACTCGTCGACAACCCCTCAAGCGAGAGATCTCCGTCTCCCCTACCTCTTGTAACAACACTTTACACTCCAAGACACCATCCCCACCTCCGCAATCATCCTCGGTCACCATCGTAAAGACAGAACCCCACGATAACTTTATGTGTCGTAACTGTAACCTTGTCAGTCATTGTCACAAGAACTGCCCAACGTATTTCTGCTGCGTATGCCGTAATCTCGCGCCAGGACACCTTTCTGTCTTTTGCAAAGATCTTAAGGGGGAAAAGCCCATCCCTTTAGTGTGGACAGACGAAGGCTTCTACGAGGCTCTCTCTAGATGGGAGGCTGATAAAGACGCTGCTATGGAGCAAATCTCGATCGAAGAAGACGAGAGACTGTTCGTTCAATGTGCTGGGGATCGCGACAACTATGACGCTTACGATAATTTTGATTGTTGAAATCGGTGACTTCAACGATAACAACGGGGTAATGTTACAATCAAGTACGCCCCTATTCATTTTTCTATTCTTACCTTGTATTACGTCATGATCGCTATCATGCGATCGCTAGACTTCTTTTATCACCAGTTGTATTACACCACGATCGCGCCATGCCGTTGCTAGGTGATCTATTCTTGTTATCTCTGACTCGCTCTTATCTCTGACTCATTCTGACTTCATCATACCAGCCCTAAAGCAGTTACCTTTCGCTATATAAACTTGCTTTGTACTATGTAGTTCTTACTTTAATCTTACTAGGTTTTACCTGGAACTTCCTTCGCTTAAGACCTCCAATCTTAAGTCATCTGAAACTCGATTCAAGCCAAGGACACTCTCCTTGTCTTGTCTTAGTGAACCATTGAACTTCGGTATACGCCGAAGCTTTGAACTGACCTTGGCCGATTACTCTTATCGAGTAGCCATACATCAGAACCATCCTAGTTCGTAACAGAGACGAGATAGGGAGAACGAGAACAATGAGACAGGGATAACAAGACCATCGAGACGGGGAGAACAAGAATGATGAGACCGATGAGACCATCAAGACAGGAAGAACAAGACTGACAAGACAGGGAGAACGAGACCGACAAGACGGGAAGAACAAGAACGACAAGACAGGGAGAATGAGACCGAAAGACGGGGAGAATGAGACTGACGAGACAAGAAGGACAAGGTAGTTAGCAGTATGAAACATACAGTACACACACCTTGGAGAGCAGGAAACAGATGGGATAAGACTGGAGTGACAGATAGCGGACTGCTGCGCAGATGACAACGAGTGACGAAAGCATGACTGCAACTTGGAAAAGAGTTAGAATTAGTAGCTTTGGTACAATTGGTGCAGAAACAGTACTTGAACAAACATCAAAATCATTACTATATATGGAAGTGGTGGGTATGCGGTGGGTCACAGGTCTTAAAATCCAGACCCGTACCCATACCCGTGACCCGCACAGGTTGCCCGTACCTGTGACGATCCCTAGACACAGTGACTAGATTTTCAGCAGTGCCCCTCTGTCCTGTCATGTTCTCAAGTGCGAGAACTACAGGAGGGTGATTAACCTCAACTGCAAGTGAACCATACAGGCTCCTCCGTAGCAGATCCTCCCATACATCCAGGAGAAGGGTAAGACATTTACGTTCCTTCAGTCGGTTTATCTCCTCTTGTTGGACGCGGACAGCTTCACTGTCGAGCAGGTGACGAGATAACACATAACAGGATGGTATATGATATGATGGACGTATTACGTTGATGAACTCGTGGAAAAACACATCGTCACCAACATGGAAGAGAATGTTGGCATGAATGAAAAAGCTAGTTTCAAGATTAACCTTTGACTCTCAAAGTTGGATGACATAACACACCGGAGCAGCTTTGCATTTGCTAGGTTATTTTGTTCTGTACTCAATGGTTGATCAATATATCCATCTAAATTCGAAGCTTTGCGTCTCTTGATGGGAACGACAGCGGTAGAACTTCCAGACTCAGAAGCGGATTGGGAATTCGAAGCAGCGGAAGTAAGAATTGAATCAGGGGTGTTGAGGTTGCCTGTCTTGTCCATAAAAAACAGGCGCGTTGCTTGGCGCAGAGGAGCAGTTACATTGGTGCAGCGCCTGATAAGATGGTTCGGTAGGTTGTTGTCACGACCCTGGATTCGAGCACCTGATGAGTTATCAGCGTCGCCGCAATGTTTGCATTTCCAGTAGTAGCGATTCGAGTTGTTGTCAACTCATCCCAGGCGCTCAAAATTCTCGTCAATCAGTGATGCGAGGGGGCGCCCTCCAGTTTGCGCCATCTTACTTTAAGGACGTCAGTTTTCATGTTCTCCTGGATTCAAATTTTATTATCATAGATCTAAATTACATCTCCACGAGTCTCGGATACCCTGGAGTTCTGCCAGTTTCTGCCACCCCCATTTTGCGTGAGTTCTGCCAAAAACCGGCAAAATCAGTTTTGCCAAACCGGTTGGCAAAACTCCCGAGTTCTGCCAACAACACTATCTGTGAGGGCCTTAACGGCGTAAGGTGGCCTCTTGTACATTTTTTCCCGAGCGGGTGCCCCTTGCCTGAGTGCTTTATCTACACAGCAAGCAAAGTGAACAGATGAACAACGCATGGGACATGGGACACAGCTTTACAAACGGCATAAATGAATGACTGCCCAACTTCTTCAACACCCAACCAAACACCCATTGATCTCTGGTAATTGAGCATAGTAGGGCTGGTCTGAAAGGTACTTCCCGTGAGTGATACTGTAGGCAGTTGAAGCTGACGACTCGCTTACCAGGGACTTCAGATACCCACAAAGATCTCTGGCATATTCTCGAATTTCGCAGCACCTGCATACATTATCCGTCTTGTGAGTAGGGATGAATCTTGTAAGCCCACTGTGTCTTGAGCAATGGCTTGTGTGATTCTGACAAACATCAAATTGAAAGGAGATAGGCCCCTGAACTCGCCAGAAATCATTGCCGTTACCAGATAACCTGGTCTGATTCCAAGATCCCGGCAGACTTCTCTCGTATACATGATCTGCCATAGTTGAACCTCCGAGCTTGGACCATGTATTCCACTACCAGTAAGACGCCAGTGATCATGCCACGCAAGACGATACGAGGTCATACCGACTGGGTAAACGGTGTTGTGCACTTGCCTGACAGATGACGCATCATCACAGGGTCGGATGACAGTTCATTCCGACTATGGGACCTAGAGAGCGGTGCACAGATAGGCGAGGAATGGCGGGACGATATTGGCGCAGTGTGGTCCATGGCATTGTCTCCAAATGGAAAAACAATTGCAAGCAGAAACGGAGGCGATTACAGACTCAGTGCTGTGACTGTGAGGTTGTGAGACATTCAGACAAGGAAAGTCATTGCCAATTGGACAGGACACACCAATGTTGTGCAAGCATTGTGCTGGAATGCAGATGGTAAGCGAGTACAAGTGGATCCTGGGATGGGACAGCAAGAGTCTGGGATGTCAACACCGGCAAAATTATCCTGACAATCAAACCGGGAACAATTGGGTGAATATGGTGATGTACTCGCCTAATTCATCAAAACTTGCAACAGGCGGAAACAAGTTCGAGAATGCATTGCAGCCATTTGCAGAACACTAGGCCAAAAAAATTTCACTACATACACAGCGGTACTTTAACTTCTACTCTCTGATCAGATATGTAGGGTATGTTAGTTATTGTCGCGAACTGGGCTCACGGGCGCAATGGGAAAAACAGCAAGAAACTCATGTCCGTCAAGAAGATCACCCAAGCACCATTGACCTTTTTTCTTGTACTGTTCCAACACCGCTAAAGGCTCAGTATGGTCAACATAGAACTCGGTGAACACAGATGATATAGCTCCGTTGTCGCAGCTGTTTTGGAAGAGTGAACCCCTGAGTTGAGCGGCCTTTAGATAGCTAATGGGGGAAGATGCCAGAATGCCCTCTGCATGTTGACGGATGAAGTCCAATTCAATGTCCTTTATATTAGCAGCTTCATGATTTTAGTCATAACATCTGAATATAATGAGGGTGATAACTCACCAGCATATTTTGCCAATGCATTGCAAGCAGCGGGGTGAGACGAGACGAGACCAATGATGTTAACACAAGAGAATAAAGCATGGCACTTCAGAGTTTGCAAGAGGTGGGTTGTGATGTATCGCTGACGGACTGCTTCATCGACGACAAGCTGTGTCACCCAGCCAACTTAACGAAATCAGAAGGTGAGCTTTGCAATAAATTGAGATAGCTACCTTTATTTTCACCATAGCCCCAGACCGTGGCAAATGTGTGTCCGTAAAGTTGAGGATGCTCACTCTCCAGTGGGTCGACTTGGATATAGCAAGTCACCAAAACACTACTCTCCGGGTGAGACAAACACTGGGATCGTAGTCGTGAACCAGTCATTTTGACCTGTTTTCCTGTGTAAATGATTCAGCCATGGCCAATGATCAACATCTCGACTACTGACCAGCTACAGTAAATTCGGAGATTGTAGCTGCCTGATTGCCCCAGATACCGTAGTTGGAACTGAACAAATTGGCACACAATTTTAGTGTATCATCGGAGACTTCACTGCCCAATGTCATCTTATAGGAGAAAGAGGCCTTGGATGGAGAAGTGGGACAAGGGAGGACAAGGCCTCTTGTCGGGGGAGTTACAGGTGTCATCGTCGACTGTGCCATTATTGGAGAAGATGTGCGATTATGTAATTCATACCAACACATATATATTATAAAGCATGGTCTGTGCGCTTGGAACCCAACAGCAAGATCAACTCATAAATTTGTCCCGACGGACAGTGTGCTGCAGGCATATGGACATGTAAATATTATGGTGTAATACTGTGAAAAAAAAACTATAAGAACTGCTTGATACACGAGCTTGAAGCCCATCCTCACAAGCCCATCCTCACAAGCCCATCCTCGCAAGCCCATCCTCACAAGCCCATCCTCGCAAGCCCATCCTCACTTACTATGTCAGATACCCCTCCAAGTCAGTCTGGCACAGGCAATATTCACAACCCGCATCAGTATCCTCATCGCTATCCACAGCTGCCAGCACATCATCAGCAACCTTTCATACAACATTATCCGCAAATGCTGCACGTCCCGCAGCACTATCCGCCACCTTTGCAGCATCAGTATTATCCCCCACACTTCATTCACACTGGCCAGCCTCCGTACCAGCAGTATCTTCCAATGCAACTGGCGAGGATGCAACCAGGAGTTCCAGCTCCAGAGTACCCTCCAATGCGATCAGATCCAACCTCAGAACTGTCCCAGGCATCACCAAAAGCCCCAGCGTCATCCCAGGTATCAGCGAGACTGCGACCAAATCCTGAACCGCGCCCTGGAGTTTTAGTTTCGACATTGACGTTATTACAGGTGACATGAAGCATGGATTTCATGGTGAGACTGACATGCCTTGGGATGACTTCAAAAGTCGCGTTCTTGCATACCTCAATGCTCCTGAAGAAGTCCAGCTTGTATATAAGTTCATAGGTGATAACAGTAAAGCTTCTCACCTAAACGATGCGGAAGCATTTGGTATCGCTATGGATCGACTTTGTCACAAAGTGTCCAATGTGCATACACGAGTCGTGGCTTTAGAGGTAAAGAATGCAGCAGTAAGTTATTTTTTATGTCGCATCAATCGAAAATTACTTACAGTTACTCCAAGGCCAAACAGACTACCACCAAAGCAAAGAAGAGGACACGTGAAGACGATATTCCTCCAGCAATTGACAAGGATTCCACGCAGCTCAAAGCATACAAACAGCTCGAGTGCCACATTCGATGTGAGCTTCACCATGGCCATTGTTTCATAGATCGCGCCAGCGGCTATGATAATCATCGTCATCTCGATCACGCCGAGATGACTCTCTGGGCTAAAAAGATTGTAAGTTTCATGTCCATCCTTGCAGAAAAAAAATATAAAATATCCTTAGGTTCTTGGTCATGCAACAATTTACAACCCACCTCACTGCCTCAATTTCGACCATGGCCCAGCCAACAAAAAGCCTCGTCACTCGAGGTCGGGATCATCACCTGAAGTCCATGTCACCATACAAAATATAACGGCCGATCCTACCATAGCTTCCACATCAAAGACTCCTAGTCCTCCACCGCTTTCGCAACAGTGCCACTTTGAGTCTGCAGCCCAGATCCCTAACACAACACTGCCGGACTATCCAAAAATTGGGGTGTTGCTTGCGCTGATCGATGCCGAAAGACCGGAACTGCAAATTCAGGAACTTGAAATGTCCCTGCTAGATGCAGGGGTGGTTTTGTCGAGCCAAGTAATGCTTTTACTGGAGGATGTGTTGAGTGTCGTTGGCAATATGGGGCAAAAGCAAGCCAGAATCCTCCGCAATTTCGCTAAACGGATTGTTCTGCCGCTCCTTGGACTCCTCAATTCCTACGAGGAGCCAGAGATAGAGGAGCCAGAGGCACCTAGCTTAGAAACTCAGGACAAAGGGAAGGAACGTGCTATCGAGACTGAATATGATATGTGGCAGGAAGGAGAATCGGAGTATGGAAGTGGCGAGTATGACGAGTATGAGAGCGATGACGAGACTGAGGGAGATGGAGAATTCCTGACCTAAGCTGTCAATCAGCAATGCAAACTAACCACTTAGTAAAATAGCACCGCCGGCAGTTTCAACACGCCTGCAAGGTACTTGCACCAAATCAGTAAAAAGTGCACTTTCTACGCAATGTATTCACTATGCTTGTACCAGCCATGAGCCTTTTCACTCGTAACAACGCCATATACAGCTTCCCATATCAACGCATATGGATCACAGGCTGGACCCTCGGTCTCCCCAAGTACATAGTCACGGTTTGACCGAAGCCATGCCTTGATAGCTGAAAACGCCTCCTCAATAGGATTTAAATCAGGTGAATAAGAAGGCAAGTACAGGAGCCGCATGCCACTACAAAAAAAAGAGAGATCAGTATCGTTTGAGCAGGAAATAAGGATAACGCACCGCTCTTCGACCATCTCACGAATACCTTGGACTTTGTGGATACTTGCGTTGTCCATGATCAACACCGAGTTTGGCATGGGCCAGGGTTGCATTTGGTCCAATACACCAGCGACAAAATCCCCGAATTCTTCACCAGAGAACGAATGATCTAAAACCTCCAAGTGGAGGATACCATCAAGTGACAGAGCCGGAAGAATTGAATATCTAACAAAATGTCAAGGCACTGACAAGAGAGTTTCTTAAAAAGTACCTTTTGCCACGTATGAAAAAATCCCGCCGTCGCGCGCGCTTTCCAATAGGAGCCCAAGCAAAATCACGGCGTAAGGAAATCCTGTTGAAATGACACTCATCCGCAAATACAAGGCGCTCCGGCTGGAAATGTTTGCCCACAAGCATCTTATAGGCAGCTCGATCATCTTCGTCGCGTTCGACAGAAGGGCGTGTTACCTAGATAGTGCTGTATTGAATCATACATATCAGTAAGGACATGAGTGATGACATACCTTCTTCCGTGTAAACCCTCGCCTACGTATTGTTCTTGAAATTGTTGCAATCGAAACTTTGACACCACAAGTCTCCCGCAGTTGATCTTGCATCTCGGTGAGGAGAATATCTGGTTGTCGCTCGATACACGCCTCAAGGAACTGAGAAACAAGATATAAGTAGTACTGAGAATAAGTAATAACTCACATTTGCATCAAGACTATCGAGGATGCGGGGTCAACCTGCACAAACCGGTGTCCTCACAACTTTGCCAGTCTCCCGATATGCCTTCCGAAGATATCGCAATGACCGCTCACTAATCCCGGTGTAACAACGAATCGTTGGGTCCTTGACATTTAGCAAGCTCATTTGTAGAGCAACTTGCTTTCGTTCCTTAGATATGTATCGTCCCATCCGAGTTGTAGATCAAGATTGTCCGTCGGAAGTTAAAAGTTTGTTGTCCCGACTTATTGCCGAATGTATGTAGTGAAAAAAATTTGGCCTAGCGTTCTGCAAATGGCTGCGAAAATCTGGGATGCAAAGACGGGCGAGCTTCTCAACACACTCAAACACGATCGCTGGGTTTGCAGTTTGGCATGGACATCGGACGGCAAGAAGCTTATCTCCGGTTCTAACTTGATTAGGATATTCGACACTGCCATTTGGCGGCAGATCGCCATCCTTGAAGGTCACACAAGTGATATCTATGCCATCTGCTTGTCTCAGAACAACCGCTTCCTTGCAAGTGTATCACCCGATAAAACAGCGCGCCTATGGAATCTCGATACAAACCTCCCAGTTGGACCACCCCTCCAGCACGAAGATCGTTTGTTATTCGCAGCCCTTTCCCTTAACGGAAAGGTGTTAGTCACTGCTTGCCGGGACAAAAACGTGTACACATGGGATGTTCACGCCATCCTTAAGAAAGCTGGCCTTGAAGACCTCCTACTTCCCATTAGTATCAATATTGTGAGTGTCAACATAACACCCACTCTCTCTCTCAGTGACAATGTCTGCTATTAGGCACAAAAAACAGACTCGAACAGAAGACATCTCAAGATGATTCAGGAACACAGTACACACCCCGCTCCTCTCTCGATGACAAGTCATTTTTGGAAGTTTGTGCCGTGTTTCCAATCCTTCTCATTCATTATGACAATAACATTTTCAGGCTGATGCTACGCGATGTCCTGGCCAGTTTGATGGCGTTGATAAACTCTCCCCAAGGTTTTTTGATGGCATGGAGGGAGATTTTGATGTGCGTGATCAATATTTCTATTACTTAGTTCTTACCTAGACCTCTGCTCTCAGTCCTCCCCGATGGGTGGTGCACACCCTCATTCCTCAAATGCACTCCTCGCTCGCCTTTCCTCGCTCCTCCACCGCTTTCGACCCGATAGTGGTGAAACAACCGAACTTCCACAACCCTCAAGGCCTTCAGGGTTCCATCCACACGTACTCCTCGCTCGCCTGACGTCACTCATTCACCGTTCTCCACCTGAAAATGTTGCACCAGACGAACTTCAACAACCCTCCACGCCTTCGCAGGCAGATCCACGTGTGCTGCTGGCTCGCCTCTCCTCACTTTTCCCCCGACCTCGACTCGGCACTGACGAAGAAGCCGAACCTCAACCCACGACGCCTTCGAGTTCACGTCCAGATGCACTTGTCAGCTGGCTGTCCTCGCTCTTCCGCTCTCAACCCCACGCCAACGATGAAATCGAGCTCACGCAACGCCCACACCATCCTCCTGTGGTCGAAGTAGCTGCAGTGCGCGATAAGCAGGTATGTCTCTTCTTGGTGCGTTTGCAATCGCTGTGGTTTAATTATGTCTGTTCAGGCTTTGGTTGTCGCTCGGGGGCCACAATACAAGAAGGCAAAACGAGCATATGAGCAACAAACTCAATCACACGGCCAAGCCCGGGTGTCGTCATCGCACACTCAACCTGCCGATACCTCAACATCCGTGACACCTCCTGCTCCAGGTACAGCAGCCGCACAACCACCACCCATCTCATGGTGGGCTCGCATCGTGCTGTTTCTCTGCTGTGCATCTCCACCACATGCCAATGGTCATTAATACAGCTAGCATTGCAGCGTTTGTACATCTACGTCACCTTTGCTTCTAGTCATTTGGAGAACCTTTCCATAGTCTCAATTATTACACGCTCATCCACTGCTTTCTCCTTCTGACCGACCCACACAACCTTGCAGACATGCGAGTGTTTCGGCAACGACTGCTTTTGCTTAACCTTTTTGTTCAAGCCCTAATCAAGCTAACTTACCTTTGAATTCGACTTGTTCCAACATTTGATTTGATCAACAACAGTGTTGGCTGGGTGCATACCCCATTCACAATGCATCTGATCAGAAGCCTGAACTTGACGGCACCAACCACAAGTGTTGGTTCGTGTTCCAAAGAGGCTAGCTTAATGTTTTGTTTCATAGACTTGAGCCCTGATGCTGCATTATACGAGCCTCGCCAGCGCGAATCGATATGTTGGTATCGTTTAAGGAGGGCGAGGTCAGTATCTTTCGGTGTAGTTCTGAGAGATTAATATTGTCTAGTGCGTCAGGGCCCGGCAACATTTTTCTACAAGAATGCATCTACACTCGTCCGCATCCCTTCACTGAGTTAGCGCTAGCCACTCTGGTATGGAGGTCGACAAGATGTAGATTGCCCGCTTGGCTATTCCGATCCATCACATAGACGAGGAGGATCATGCGGTAAAGGGATCGAAGATGTCGTCAGAATTGTAAGAATATATTCACCACAGACCAGCATAGTACACTGCAATACATAAATAAAAATGTCGTCGAACTTTGGTAGTTATTGGACCATGATGATCTGCAAGATTTGGACCTCAGAGAGACAACCCAGACAACTGCCAGTCTCGGACACGTCTATAACCTGAGGTTAGAGTGATTTTAGAGAGTCGAAACTCAATACTGTACTCAAGGCATACCTTCGAGGTTGTCAAGAACTGCGTGTTGAACAGAGTGAGTAAGCAAAACACTCAAAACCCTAGCGCTAGACAATTACCTTAATCGTCCTCGTCATCATCGTCAGGCTTGTTTTGGTCTATGCATCTCTCGTTAGACAGGACACGAGAGTACAGAGGAATCGAATCGTACAATGGCCAGCCCATTTGTTGCGCTTCTCGACATCTGTGTCGACGACATTCTTGTAAGATGGGTGCGGATACAACAAACGAGTCGAGACATACTCTGCTCGCCCTCACGCTTTTTGAGGGCTACGTCGTCAATAAGGTGAGTAAAACATGTGAAAATAGTGTCAGTGCTACAAAATCACTCAAAAACAAGACCAGCACTAGATAATTACCTTCGTCCTCGTCATCATCGTCAGGCTTGTTTTGGTCTATGCATCTCTCGTTAGACAGGACACGAGAGTACAGAGGAATCGAATCGTACAATGACCTGCCCATTTGTTGCGCTTCTCGACATCTGTGTCGACGACATTCTTGTAAGACGGGTGCGGATACTACAAACGAATCGAGACATACTCTGCTCGCCCTCACGCTTTTTGAGGGCTACGTCGTGAATAAGGTGAGTAAAACATGCGAAAATAATGTCGGTGCTACAACAGAAATACCTTGGGAGCGTTCCGACGCAGTGGGTGTTGCTACTGTCATCTGCAGGAGAGCGATGGAGACGAGAACAAGCGACAAAAATCCTTTCATGATTGCTAGATCTGATGTCACGGTGAAGTGATTGTTGGAGTTTCACTGGGGTGCTGAATGCACTTCGATTCGAGGAATGCTACTTTTATATTGTTACAAGCTCGATTATCAGACTGACTTGCAGACTCATTGACTCGGCCCTTTCCGTTTCGTTCTTCAAGTGACCGCCGTGGTCGGATCCTAAACAGCCACCGTGACGTAGGCTCCTTGTCAATTCCTATTTCAGTTCCGTACATTCAGTTGTGCATTTGCATATTCAATTTAATTTTAAGTTTCAAGTTGTGTAAAGTTTGAACGAAAGTGATAGTTCTGCTGATCCTTGCCGATAATCGGATGTTTGAAAGCCACCTGGCAGACTCTAAAGCCCGGGCTTCAGGCTGGGATTTGCACAACACTACGCGGTGAGTGTCACCGCACTATCGTCTCATCTGGTTGATGGTGTTTTTACCAACCACTGTGACTGTCTGCCAGCGACGACTCCGCATATTATCTCGTCACTAACATCGTTTGTACAGGGTATATGATTTTACTGTCAGACTACATCCAGGTGAGTATTTGTATTATTGCTAATGGCTCGTCAGCAATCGCCAGACTAATTAGTAATTCAAATATAGGTGAGCAAGGCGAGGAGCTCCGACATACCGTAAGTTGCATGTATCACATCCTGAACAGCTACGTGTCTGTATCAATTCCCGTTGTACATGTGAGTTTTTCTGCACCATTGTCTCATCTGGTTAATGACTTTATACTTGACTATCTGGCGAGTCTGTACATGATCTCGTCACTAGCATCTTTAATCGCTCGCACGGGGAATATGGTTTTGTTGTCGGCAATCGCCAGACTACATCCAGCCTGAGGTGAGTATTTTTTCAAGTATTGTTGCTAATAGCTCATCGCCCTTTGTGGCAGAGTCCCTCGCGGTCGTTATGTGACTCGCTGGACTGTGTGAGTATACCGTTCATTTCCATTCTGACGTGCACGACTCAGACTGACATATTTTTTGCAGCAAGCAACAGCATTAGTAATCTAGACTTTGTCTAGGTAAATATAATATAGTGTTGTATATCATACTCGCTGAGACTTTGTCTGTGTTATAACAGCGGAGACGCTGTACAAATCTGGGATGGGAAGACGGGCGAGCTTCTCAAAACACTCGAACACGATCGAGCAGCTTATCTCCGGTAAATATGGCCTGATTAGGATATTCGACACTGCCACTTGACAGCAGATCGCCGCGTCTCCTTGTCTCAGAAGTTAGAACAACCGCCTCCGAGTCCTTGCAAGTACATCTTATGATGAAACAGCGCGTTTATGGAATCTCGACACCAACCTCCCAGTCGGACCACCCGTCCAGCATGAAGATGAATTGCGCTCCGTAGCCCTTTCCCTTGACGGAAAGGTGTTAGTCACTGCTTGCCGTGACAAAAACGCGTACACGTGGGATGCTCACGCCATCCTCAAGGAAGCTGGCCTTGCAGACCTCCTACTTCCAATCAGTATCAATATTGTGAGTGTCAACATATCTCCCACTCTTTCACTGACGATTTTTACTCTTAGGCACCAAAATACAGACTCAAATAGAAGCACTCCCCACCGCTCTTCGCTAAATGACAAGTCATTTTTGGAGGTACGTGGCATGTTTGCAATCCCTCTCGTTCATTATAACAGTAACATTCCAGGCCGATGCTACGCGATGTCCTGACCAGTTTGGTGGTGTCGATGAACTCTCTCCAACATTTTTAACGGCATGGAAGTCGATGTTGATCAGTATTTATATCACTTAGTTCTCATCCAGACCTCTGCTCTCAGACGTCCCCAATGGGTGGTGCACACCCTCATTCCTCTGTAAATGCACTCTTCGCTCGCCTTTCCTCACTCCTCCACCGCTTTCGACCCAACAATAGTGAGGCTACCGAACTTCCGCAACCCTCAAGGGTTTTGGCGTTCCATCCGCACGCACTCCTCGCTCGCCTGTCGTCATTCATTCACCGCCCTCCACCTGAAAATGATGCACCTCACGAACTTCAGCAACCCTCCATGCATTCGCGGTTAGATCCGCATGTGCTCCTAGTTCACCTTTCCTCACTTTTGTCCCGATCTCGCCTCGACGCTGACGACGAAGCCTAACCCCATCCCACAACAACTTTGAGTTCACGTCCAGACGCACTCATCAGCTGGCTGTCCTCACACTTCTGCTCTCAACCCCACACCAACGAAGAAAACGAATTCACGCAACGCCCAAACCGCCCTTGTGTTGTTGAAGTGGCTGCAGTGCGGGACAGGAAGGTATGTCTCTCCTTCGTGCGCATACAATCGCCGTGGTTTAATGATTGTTCAGACTTTGGTTGTTGCTCGAGGGCCAAATTTTGAGAAACCAAAACGAGCCTATGAGCAACAAACCCAATCGCACAGCCAAGCCCAGGCGTCGCCACCGCACATTCAACCTACCGGTGCCTCAATATCCGTGACACCTCCTGCTCCAGGCACTAGTACTACCACAGGAGGTGCAGCAGTCGCACAGTCACTACCCATCCCATGGTGTGCTCGGATCGTGCTGTTTCTTTGCTGGGCATCTCTTTCACACACCAACGGCGACCAATACAGTTGGCGTTAGAGCATTTGGACCACTACTTCACCTTTGCTTCCCACTTTTATCCTTCTGTTATGTCTTTCAGTACATCATCAGTCTTGTTTCCTTGTAGCGAGACTCGTACAATGCGTCGAACGCGATAATTGTGAGCGAAGGATGGTGTGCTTCGCCTGCTTTTATTTGTCTCTTTTTCCCTTCTTTTTCACATAGAGGCCTAGATTAAACCAGAGTTTGCTAAAACGATTCCAGTCATCAGAGAACGGAATCACGACCGTGAAACAGAATGTCTGTATTATCGTGATCAACGACTTGTTGAGTGCCATATCGTAAGTCTGAATGGGCATTCCGAATGCAGACACCGGTTTTTTTGCCGCACACTGTTTCAAATGTTCAGCGTTGTTGTCTTCACTATACATGTAGGTTGCTAAACTCTCAAGTAGCTGGCTCTGACGCGTTTCAGAATGCTTAGTTCGTGCGACCTGATGGTCATCGAAGGCCTCTATAAATCTACAACTTATCTGGACGCCTTCATCTCCTCGAACACGTTTCCCTTACTTGTCCTTTGCTCTATTCCACTGCATCCTTCTCTATCTGGGCAGTGTATACCTTCTGGACGGGTCGCTTTGCGATTGGCCTTTGGCTTATCACTCACTCACGAGTGCGATCACTAAGCATTTCCTCCCCGAGTTGATCAACAACGGTATTGGCTGGGTGCATAGCTGCATACCCAATCCGCAATGCATCTGATCAGAAACCTTACATTGACCGCACCAACCGTAAGTGTTAGTTCGCGTTCAAAAGAGGCTAGCTTGATGGTTTGTTTGCTATCTCGAGTCTCAAAGTACTCTGATCGCAATCCCAGCCACTACTTCAGTCATTCGATAGCAGAAGTTCGGGTGAATTCCAGAGACGTACACTGAAGAGGAGGATCACGCGGTAAAGGGATCGAAGATGTCGTATTCACTGCAGACCAGCGTAGTACACTGCAATACATAAATAAAAATGTCGTCGAACTTTGGTAGTTATTGGACCATGATGATCTGCAAGATTTGGACCTCAGAGAGACAACCCAGACAACTGCCAGTCTCGGACACGTCTATAACCTGAGGTTAGAGTGATTTTAGAGAGTGTCGAAACTCGATACTGTACTCAAGGCATACCTTCGAGGTTGTCAAGAACTGCGTGTTGAACAGAGTGAGTAAGCAAAACACTCAAAACCCTAGCGCTAGACAATTACCTTAATCGTCGTCATCATCATCGACACGCCCTTTGTCTATGCATCTCCCGTCAGACAGGACACGAGAGTACAGAGGAATCGAATCGTACACTTAGTCTTGTTGCGCTTCTCGACATCTGTGTCGACGACATTCTTGTAAGACGGGTGCGGATACAACAAACGAGTCGAGACATACTCTGCTCGCCCTCACGCTTTTTGAGGGCTACGTCGTCAATAAGGTGAGTAAAACATGCGAAAATAGTGTCAGTACTACAAAATCACTCAAAAACAAGACCAGCAATAGATAGTTACCTTCGTCCTCGTCGTCATCGAGACGCCCTTTGTCTATGCATCTCCCGTCAGACAGGACACGAGAGTACAGAGGAATCGAATCGTACACCTAGTCTTGTTGCGCTTCTCGACATCTGTGTCGACGACATTCTTGTAAGACGGGTGCGGATACAACAAACGAGTCGAGACATACTCTGCTCGCCCTCACGCTTTTTGAGGGCTACGTCGTCAATAAGGTGAGTAAAACATGCGAAAATAGTGTCAGTACTACAAAATCACTCAAAAACAAGACCAGCAATAGATAGTTACCTTCGTCCTCGTCGTCATCGAGACGCCCTTTGTCTATGCATCTATCGTCAGACAGGACATGAGAGTACAGAGGAATCGAATCGTACACTTAGTCTTGTTGCGCTTCTCGACATCTGTGTCGACGACATTCTTGTAAGACGGGTGCGGATACAACAAACGAGTCGAGACATACTCTGCTCGCCCTCACGCTTTTTGAGGGCTATGTCGTCAATAAGGTGAGTAAAACATGCGAAAATAGTGTCAGTGCTACAAAATCACTCAAAAACAAGACCAGCAATAGATAGTTACCTTCGTCCTCGTCGTCATCGAGACGCCCTTTGTCTATGCATCTCTCGTCAGACAGGACACGAGAGTACAGAGGAATCGAATCGTACACCTAGTCTTGTTGCGCTTCTCGACATCTGAATAGGTGTCCCGCTTCTCGACATCTGTGTCGTCAACATTCTTGTAAGGCAGGTGCAGATACTACAGACGAGTTGAGACATACACTGTTCGCCCTCACGCTTTCTGAGCGCTACGTCGTCAATAAGGTGAGTAAAACATGCGAAAATAATGTCGGTGCTACAACAGAAATACCTTGGGAGCGCTCTGACGCAGTGGGTGCTGCTGCTGTCATCTGCAGGAGAGCGATGGAGACGAGAACAAGCGACAAAAATCCTTTCATGATTGCTAGATCTGATGTCACGGTGAAGTGATTGTTGGAGTTTCACTGGGGTGCCGAGTGCACTTCGATTCGAGGAATGCTGCTTTTATATTGTTACAAGCTCGATTATCAAACTGACTTGCAGACTCATTGACTCGGCCCTTTCCGTTTCGTTGTTCAAGTTACCGCCGTAGTGATCCTAAACAGCCACCGTAGTACTATGCCAACTCATAGCACCAACGTAGCAGACACTCACAAGGTTCCGAAGCAGTTTGCAGACTATCGGAGAGGAGCTGATCATGTTCATCCTCGGACTCCAGCATGACAATACTATCTTCGGAAGGTGTTTGTGACATGCCTCGTGCATAAGATATCTAGATGATGGTAGTTTTGCGATAGGGAGACTATGATACATCTGAAATAGGCGGTTTTCCAAATTCGGACACGCATGACGAATCTCATTATTGTTGGAAACTGCTGTAAGCTTAAAGTTGTGTAAAGTTTGAACGAAAGTGATAGTTCTGCTGATCCTTCCCGATGCGGATCCAGGGTCCAAAAGAGTGGGGAGCCGGGCCGGGCTTCAGGCATAGCACTACACGGTGAGTGTTTCTGACCATCGTCTCATCTGGTTGATGGTGTTTTAACCCACCACTGTCTAGCGACGACTCCACGTGTTATCTCGTCACTAACATCGTTCGTACAGGGTATACGATTTTACTGTCAGACTACATCCAGGTGAGTATTTTTTTTTGTGTTGTTGCTCGTCAGCAATCGCCAGATTAGTTAGTAATTCAAATATAGGTGAGCGAAGCTAAGAGCTCCGACATACCTGCATCCCATCCTGAACAGCTACGTGTCTGCGTCAATTCCCGTTTTACATGTGAGACCATTGTCTTGACTTTGTACTTGACTATCTGGCGAGTCTGTACTCGTACTTATTATGGGACCTCAGGTGAGCTGGCGTGCTTAGACCAAAAAAGTGGAAAGCTGTCACGTTGACAGCAAAACGTGAATGAGCGTATGATTGACAAGGTTAATCTCCAAGTATAGAATATACGAAACTGTATCGTGGTGTCCAATCAACGATGTCGACAAACAAGTTGTCGTCATGGGTTGCGTCAGATGTAGTAAGCATCAAGCTCACAGTGTCCCTCCACGTAAATATTCTTCCGTGCTGTCGTGCTTCAAAGCTTCATGGTTGGATATCTGGATGTGTTGTCCCTCTATTCATGTAATACAGCGGACTGTCGACTTTCGCACGAAGGAAAGTGACTTCTTGAGGTGGTGAATAAATGTATTGTTACTCACCATGATATTCTTGGTGAACGACAACTCTATCCTGCATACGAATAGCGTTGGCATTCCGCACAGCCTGTATACGTCCTAAAAAGTTGGCAGCATCGAGTTCCGAACATGGGCTGGAAGAAACGTACTGAGTGGAGAGGGAGGGCAAGATGGTGTCGAATGTTTGTTAGAAGTATCAAGGTAGTCATTATATATAGGAAGATGCACATAACCCCCGGCGCTTCGTCTACAGAGCAATGAAGCTGTGAAGCAAACATGAGGATAACACATGGGACGCACCTGAAAAAATGGCATGAACGAACGACTGCCCAACTTCCTTCGACTCCCAACCAGCACCCATCGATCTCTGGCGATTGCACGCTGGGCTCGTCTGAAAGGTGCTTCCCGTGAGTGATACTCTAGGCTCTTCAGCCAGTTCAAGCTGACGACTTGCTTACTAGCGACTTTGGATACCTATAAAGATCTCTTGCGTATTCTCGAATTTAGCAGCACCTGAATACGTCGTGCAAAAGCTGTCTTGTGCGCGAGGATTGGACATTGACTCCTGTAAGTATACTGTTTCGTGAGTCGTGACTTGTGTGATTCTGACAAGCATCATATTGAAAGGAGATAGGTCATCTGGACTCACCAACACTTGTCGGATAACCTGGTCTGATTCCAAGATCCCTGGGGACTTCTCTCGTATACGTGATCTGCCATAGTTGAGTCTCCAAGCGCGGACCATGTCTTCTTCCACCAGTAAAACGCCAATGATCAAGCCACGCCATATAATGCAAGGTCATACCGACTGGGTAACAGGTGTCGTGCACTTGCCTGGCGGACGACACATCATCACATGTTCGAATGACAGCTCACTCCGACTATGGGACCTAGAGAGCGGCGCACAGATAGGCGAGGACTGGCGAGATGAGGACGGCTCATTCAAGTCCTCTATGGCATTGTCTCCAAATGGAAAGATAATTGCCAGCGGAAGCCGTTTCGGGACAGTGATGCTGTGGGATGTCGGGACGAGGAAGGTCATTGCCAAATGGACAGGAAACGGCGGTACTGTAGATGCATTCTGCTGGAGTGCAAATGGTGAGCGACTAGTGAGTGGACACCAGTGAAGGGATGGCAAGAGTCTGGGATGTCCTCAGCGGCAAAGCTATCCTGAAAATCAGAACCTGGGATATCTTAGAGGTAGGGCAGGTGCATGCGGTGGTGTACTCACCTGACTCCTCAAAACTTGCGACGGGTGGAGAGGGTATATTAAGAATCTGGAATGCGAAAATGGGCAAGCATCTCAAAACACTCCAACCCTTTGCAAACCCAGTTCACAGCTTGGCATGGACATCGGACGGGAAGAAGCTTATCTCCGGTTCGTCAGGTCCGATTAGGATATTCGACACTACCACTTGGCAACAAATCGCCATCCTTGAAGGTCACACATACTCTATCTGCATCTCCTTGTCGCAGAACAACTGCCTCCTTGCAAGTGCAGCAGATGATAATACAGCACGTCTATGGAATCTCAACACCAACCTCCAAGTCGGACCAGTCCTCCAGCACGAAGATCTGTTGCGCTCCGCAGCCCTTTCCGCTGATGGAAAGGTACTAGTCGTTGCTGGCAAAGACATGAACGCGTACACATGGGACGTTCACACCATCCTCAAAGAAGCTGGCCTTGAAGACCTCCTACTTCCCATTGGCACCAATATTGCGAGTGTCGGCATATCACCCGCTCGCTCTCATTAACAATATCCGCTGTTAGGCACAAAAAAACAGACTGGAACAGAAAAGCATCTCAAGATGATTCAAGAATACGGCACACTCCACACTCTTCGCTCGAGAACAAGTCATTTTTGGAAGTACGTGCTGTGTTTCCAACCCTTCTCATTCATTATAACAGTAACATTCCAGGCTGATGCCACCCGATGTCCTGACCAATTCAGCGGTGTCGATGAACTCTCCCCAACATTTTTTGCCGGCAGTGGGAAGCTGATATTGATGTGCGTAATCAGAATTTCTATTAGTTTAGCTCTTATCTAGACCTGCTCTCAGTCCTCCCCAATGGGTGGTGCACACCCTCATTCCTCTCTAAATGCCCTCATCGCTCGCCTTTCCTTGCTCCCCCCGCCGCTTTCGACCTGACAATGATGAAGCGACCGAACTTCCGGAACCCTCAAGGCCTTCGACGTTCCATCCACACGCACTCCTCGCTCGCCTGTCGTCACTCATTCACCGCTCTCCACCTGAAAATGATGCACCAGACGACCTTCAGCAATCCCCCACACCTTTACGGTTAGATCCACGTGTGCTCCTAGCTCGCCTTTCCTCACTTTCCCCCCGATCTCGACTCAACACCAACGACGAAGCTGAACCGCATCCCACAATGCCTTTGAGTTCACGTCCAGACGCACTCATCAGCCGGCTGTCCTCGCTCTTCCGCTCTCAACCCCACACCACTGAAGAAATCGAACTCACGCAATGCCAAAGCAGCCCTCGTGTTGTCGAAGTGGCTGCAGTGCGGGACAGGCAGGTATGTCTTTCCTTCGTGCGTATATAACCGCCGTGGTTTACTGATTTCTGTTTAGACTTTGGTTGTTGCTCGGGGGGCACAATTTCAGAAGGCAAAACGAGCATATGAGCAACAAACTCAAGCCCAGGCGTCGCACACTCAACCTGCCGATGCCTCAACATCTGCGATCCCTCCTGCTCTAGGTACTACCACAGCAGGTGCAGCAGTCGTACAGTCTCCACTCATCCCATGGTGGGCTCGGATCGTGCTGTTTCTCTGCTGTGCATCTCAACCAGATATCAACGGCCACTAATACAGTTAGCGTTGCAGAATTTGGACCACTACTTCACCTTTGCCTCTATTTATTTTGTACTTGTATCTCCTTCGTTATGTCTTTCAGTGCACCATGAATTTTGTTTCCTTGCCGCAAGACTCGTGCAATGCGTCGAACACAATGATGCTAAGGTCAAGAACCTGTTGAACGCCATCTCGTAAGTCTGAACGGGTTTTTAGATGCATTCTGAGGGTAGACACTTTTTTCAGCGCTCACTGCTTCAAATATTCAGCGTTACGGTCACCATTATACATGTAGGTTGCTGTAGCTGGCTTTGACATGTTTCGCAGTGTTTAGTATGTATGACCTGGTGGTCATCCTAGGCCTCTACAAATCTGCAATTTATCCAGACACCTGCATCTCCCCGAACACATTTTTTCTTTATCCTTTGTTTCATCCTGCCGTATACTTCTCTCTCCGGGCGGTGTACACCTTCTGGATGGGTCGCTTTGCAACTTGCCTTTGAGTTGTCACTCACGAATGCGATCACGAAGAGTCCAAGTCAATCAACAATAGTTTTGGCTCCATGCATACCCCATCCGCAATGCATCTGATCAGAAGACTTACCCTGACGGCACCAACTGTAAGTGTCGGTTCGCTTTCAAAAGAGGCTAGCTTAATGTTTTGTTTTGTAGACTTCACTATTTCAACCCTGATGCTGCGTTATTCGCGCCTTGCCAGCACGAGTTGACATATTGATATCGTGTAAGGAGTGCGAGGCCAGTATACTCCTATTTCGGCTCGGTGCATTTCTTAGGTTCGTTGAGGAGGAGGGCAACACTTTTCCATAAGAATGCATCCGTACTCGCCCTGAATCCACTGATGGTAGCGCTAGTAACTCTAGTATTTGGGTTGACAAGATCTCACAGCATTATAAATCGATTTGCATGTGATCTAACTTCAAGCTTCAAGGTTCGTCTGCCCACTTGGCTTCCTGTACGCATTACCCATTCCCTCATGTGCCTTACTTCTCTTCCTCATGCAGGCATGATATAGCAGGATTATTATCCCCATCTTGTTCTGCCTCGTTGTTTCCTTCATGCCAATCATTCAACCCGACACACCCGACTACTTTCCTCATTTTGACCACAGATATTGATCGTTTGTCTAGGACAGCTTTTTGGCACTTTTCTAGCACAGCAACGGGGTGGGGAGCACACGAGGATTGCTTCAAATAACAATATCATCGCACGAGTCAAGGACATGGCTTCTGTCGATACCATGATGGACATCAGGGCACTAGATATAAGTATTATAGCTGGCTGTGGAAGAATGCTGACACGCATTTTCATTCATACATCGACAATGCCTGCATAGAACAATTTCTATAGGCCTTTGTTTGGTGTCGCATGCTAACTTACAACAAGGTAATCATACCGCCATGTTTCTATGCTCGAATTATGGTGTCGTTTGTCCACACAACCTGAGCCATGTGCTTGGTCGACTCCGAATATCGAGGCAGGTGCTCACTGTTGCCCTTAACTTCCTCTAAATCCAGCTGATCGCGCAGGTTCAGAGTGCCCCTTCTGGTGTGGAGCAGAGTGTATTGGAACTCGCCGATGTTGGAAGGTTACAGAGCACACTACTGCATCCATACTGCAACATGCAGACTCGTCCTGTGGATTCATGCTCTTGAAGGTAAGGCGAGAGTCAATACTCGTCCACCAGTTAGAGTTGACCTGATGTTGATCAGTAGTGCAAGCTTTGATGCTGTTATTGTCCTATGTGCCAAAATCGAACATTGCGCAGACAAGGAAGGGGGAAGAAGTTGATTTCAAGTTCTGCCCCTTGATTATTCTCATCTTAAGAAGACGCCATGATACCTTGTAGATATACGTAGTCCTTAGAGATATTAAATGTAT